AGAGCTTCAAACATTAAAGACTGAAATACTTCAAACATTATATCCTGCAGGCTCTATTTATACGTCAATGAACTCAATAAATCCAGCAACAGTTCTGGGTTTCGGTACGTGGAGCAGATTGTAGATAAATTCTTATACTGTGCGAACTCTTCAAAGCAAACAGGTGTTCGAAGAAAATTAAAGAAGCAAACCTTCCACCGCACACTCATACAGGAACTACAAACACAACAGGTAGTCATTCACATTCAATAACAAAAAGAGGTTATACAAATCTTGCAGCAGGTTCGGATAGACAGGGAATGCATAGATATGATATTTCAAGTGACCCAGTAGATTCAAGCACAGGTATTTTCTGTGGAACCACAGGAAATCATTCACACACTTTCACAACAAATCCAACAGGCTCGGGTGAAGATTATATGCCACCATTTGTGACTATATTCGCATGGTACCGCGTTCAATGAACGCGCTTGAGCCTAGAATAAAATCTTTAACTTTACATAAATGAGCTTGAAAGAAGTATTCGAACAACATCCATGGAGGTCATTTAAGAAGTTCAATGAAGCTGCAAAGAGTTGGGGATTTACTAACAGAGCTGAAGTGAAAAGGTTCTTTGACAAAAATGTTGTACATCAAACAAAAATAAACCCTTACGACTACTTTTTACCAATTTACTCCAACACGCCTGACGCATACCAATTTGACACTCTCATTCAAAGCAGAAAAGGAGGACATAACCCATTCCTCATCTTCATTAATGTTAACACTCGTAAAGCTTTTGCGTATATAATGAAAAATAAAGGAACTCGTGAAGTGTTAAGAGTTTTACAAAAGTTTGTAGCAGAACATAGCCCAAGTATTTTAACATCAGACCAAGACGGTGCATACCTCAGCAACGAAATCACAGAATTTCTCATTAAGCATAACATAACTCACTACACTACTGAAGACCATAACCATAACATACTCGGTATCATTAACCGCTTCATAAGACTCTCAGAGATTTAATCAAGAGCGAGACTTTACCGAAGAAACAATGAAACATTTCATCGAAGTTTACAATTCCTCAACACATTCTACAACAGGACATACACCAAATTCAATGACACAACAACAAGAAGAAAAGTATATACAAAGAAACGAAGTCAAACACAAAATATCAGAAATTCAACACAATTTACTCTCATTCCTGGTACAAAAGTTCGTGTAGTTCTTGACGACAAACCGTTGACAAAGAAACGTTTAAGGTTAAGTCGAAATTATTATATCGTAGACTCTACGCAAGGTAATGGATATCTTATAAAAGCTGCTGACGACTCCATAGCATTTTACCCTCGACATAAATTAGTCGAAAGTAGTAATGGCAAACTTGCTGAAACCATTGACGAAGCAAAGCGAGGAGTGGTTATTGAAATACTTGGCTATAACACAAACGATGACACTTATAAAGTAAGATATGAAGGAGGCGTTGAAGATGTTATACCATCTAAGAACTTGAGAGAGTCGAAGCCAACACATCTGGGACCATTAGAGCGGGAGTACTGGAAAGACAAAAATATGCCAGAAAGAATAAGAAAATTCTTCTAAACTTTTTCATTAGATGTAAATCAGACATGAATGAGAACAGTCATGTATTATTAATGGTACCATTTATTTTTGTCATAAATTTACACCAAAAATAATGTTTAGGTGAAGAGGTGAGATGTCACCCGTTTTTTCACCTGTTTTCTCACCTCATGAATTTTCGTGAATTTTCACAAAAGACCAAAAATAATGTTAGTTTTATTTTTTTTATTTTTTTATTTTGTATGTAAGAACAGAAATGTCAGTCGAAGCAAAAACATTCACGAACAAATCTAATGGTGAAACATTCACAAAAGGCACTTATAACGGTATTGAAGTCTTCGTAGAACAAGGATGGTTACATTAATGCAACAAATATGTGTCACAGTTTAGGAAACTTTAGAAGTTGTTGGAAAATAAGTCCTGGGAAGAGTATTATAAGGCATTTTGTGAAGAATATAGCAACCGCCGGAATTCGACGGTTGCTTTTATACAAAATTCATGCAGGAATTCTGATGAAATAAACAGGTTAGGAACGTATGTAGACCCAAGACTTATAAACTATATAGCATGTGGGCTTCTCCAAAATATTGCAATAGCAGTTGAAAAAATTATGGACTCCATAGACAAGAAAGTTCATGAGAAGTTAGATGAAGAGAACTCGAAGATACAGTGGAGAATGCTAAACCTTTGTTCGAAGAAGAAGTTGGAAAAATGTGTGAAAAACAATTAGAACATGAACGTGAGATATGTTATGGTTATAGAGATTCCCCATACGAACTAGACCAATGGGAACAAGAAGATTTAAAGAGAGAATTTAGAGAATATGAACTCGCTAAGATAGCATTAGAAGCTGCAGAAAAGAAGTTAAAAGTTTGGGGTCGTTTTGTACAAAAATATTGTGAGTAAATGAACCATTTATTTGGCAAAAATATAATTTAGGTGAAGAGGTGACATCTCACCTGTTTTCTCACCTCTTTTCTCACCTCATGAATTTTCATGAATTTTATATATTAATGTTTTGTCATGATTTCATCGTAAATGTTTTGTCGAAACTTCTTCTTCGTAATGAGCGTAAATGACCCAAAAATATAATTTAGGTGAAGAGGTGACATCTCACCCGTTTTCTCACCTCTTTTCTCACCCTCAGCCGCTTAGCGGCTCAGACCCTTTGGGTCTCTTGAATTTTCATGAATTTCCTTAAGATAGAAAAAATAAAGTTAGTTTTATTTTTATTTATTTTTTTTATTTTGTATGTAAAGATATGATTTCAACAATCGGCACAACAACAATTCAAGCCGCGAACGGCGGGACTCTGTCCACAACAACTTCACCAAACTCGTTAGTCATGAATCCTACGTCAATGTTGGTAGAAATGAAAAGCTTCATTCCTTCTTCATTTACTTTCGAAACAGAAATCCAGAAGATAAAGCAAGAACTTTTAACAAGTAATTTAGACTGTAGTGCGAAAGATGAAGAAAATGAAGAATATCTTTATGACATGCAGGACATTATTGACCATTTGCCCAAATTGCCTGAAATTCAGCATCAAAAACTAACCATTCCCGAATTTGACGAAATTGAAGTCAAAGCAACTGACTCAGTAGAAATAAAGAAGTTCATACGAAAGGTAAATTATGAATTCCTTGGTTTTCATTGCAACCATAAGGTTATGGACAAAGATTGCGACATGGTATATAAGAATATTTCTGACATATATAAATCTGAAGAATTTAAGACCTACGACAACTTTGTTTCGTTAGTTGCAGAATGTGTATGGCAGATAAGAGATAAAGATAGAAGAGGTAAGGTATGGAATGAACAAATAAGACCCGCTATGTTGAGTTAAAGAAAACCATTGACGCCTTGGTTGTTTTAGCAGGTAAGGTTTCAGAATATAACGCAAAAATGAACCCACAATGTTCAAAATGTTAAAGCAGCACTAAGGAAATATAACTACTCCGTCAAAAGATAGAAAGAATGCGAAACGACTATGCTGACTTAAAGAAAGAAGCAGAAAAGCCAGCAGAAGATAAAATGAACATGTTAGAATTTCTGACAAAAAAAACTATCCAACAGCAGAAGATTTCCTTCTATCTGACGTCAAGAAGAAGTATAAAGAAACCTTCGGTATTGTTAAAACTTTGATATCCTCAGCGAAGAAATAGAAGCTACGAAATTGTTTAGGATTTCAAATATACATCGTACAATTCATGTAAAAACGTTATAAAATAACTAGGGTGAAAAACAGGTGAGAAAACAGGTGACATCTCACCTCTTCACCTAAACATTATTTTTTATTGAATTTAGCAACAAAATTCTGAGTAAAATAATTTTTAGGGCTTTGTCAAACCGTTGAGTTTCACAAAATTTAAAAAAATAACGTTTACCATGTAAAACGTTTATAAAATAACTAGGGTGAGAAAACAGGTGAGAAAACGGGTGACATCTCACCTCTTCACCTAAATTAATATTTTAGGTCAAAGCTTCCACACGAGAGAAAAGATTCCTCATTCGCTAAGGATTCCAAAAATAAAAAATCGTTGATTTCGGCTGAGAAAAAACGGCAAAAACCCTTCTTCCACGGGAACAAAGAAATAAAGAAGAAATAAAGTAAATTTTTTATTTATTCCCGTGGAAGATAGAGCACTTTTATGACACATTTTTATTCACGACAAACAAGACAAATAAAGAAAATAAGAAAATACGGCGCCCGTCGCTGTTCGAACACAGACCCTGACCCCTCCATAACACCACCTTTAGACCACTGTGCTACGTAGCCTGTCGACATAAGATTTTATAAATTGCATATTTGACGTAAATTTATTTCCATCTGGCTTCCCACTGCATAAGATATTCATACGTGTTTGTAAGACATTCATTAAACTTCTTTTCTATTGCATCTAATCTTGCGTTATTTTTTTCAATAACTTGTCTGTATTCTTCATCATCTTCCAGCAGTGTTTGGGTCTTCACGTTTAAAATATTCATTGTTAACCAATTTATCTACAAATTTTTATTAGTGTTTGATTCACTTCGTTATGATAACGGTCATATTCTTTCAATACGTAAGTGAAGACAAAATGCGTCGTACCTTCAATCTTAAAGCTTAAAGAACTTTCAACACAGTTTTGAGGGTCTGTCAGTGCGTCAATGAGATAGTATTCGAAGTCAGTCAATAATCTTTTTAAAGTCATTTCATACAGGATAAAATTTAATGTTGTGAAGAAATAGTGTTTAACACAGAAAAATAAAGTTAGTTTTATTTTTATTTATTTTTTATCCGGAATGTAAAGACAGTAATGTCAACATTAGAGAACACAACAACTGCTATCGTTCATGAAGCCATAAATGAAGAATACGAATACATACAGTATAACAAACAATTGAGACTCATTCGTTCAGTCAAAGATGATATGTATCAAATGCAAAGTATAATGAACGCTCTTCGTTCTACAAAGCAAGCATATCATTGGTTTGAAAACCAACAGGCAAAAGAACTTTTAGAAGAATTTCCTCATATGATTGCTTCCCTCGGAAAACCGAGGGAAGAGATTCCGTACGAAAATCGCAAGAATTTGGCACCTGGTTTGAAAGGTTATTATGTTCATAGACTTTTAGTAAATGCTGTAGCAATGTGGGCTTCACCTCGTTATGCTTGTTATATTTTCATGATGTTAGATGAACTATATAAAGCAGAACGCGAACAGATGGAAAAGAAACTTCAAGCAAAAGATGAAGTCATTGAATCCAAAGACAAAAGCATACAGAAAAGAATACCGCGTTCAGTACCAAAAGGAAAGGAAAAGAACTATAAGTATATGATTTATACTGAAGAGTTGGAGAATGAAGAAGATAAAGATATGGTTATGTTGCATTTAGTCAGAAGAAACAACAAAAGCTTTTACGACCTTGCTAAAATATATAAATCTGACAGAAACTGGTTCTATCGTGAAAACTTACCGATTTCAATGACACCGAATGAGCAAATAAAAGAAATTGTCAAAAATACTCTTCCTCAAACACACTATGACATCAAAGGTTGCACAATACTTACCTTCAAAGAAGACTTACCATTACTGAAGGAAAAAATAACAGAATATTTATAACTTCAAAGAGGAAGAATGAAGTCACGACAACATTAACGAAGAAGTCACGACAACATTAACGAAGAGAGAATGAGGTGAGAAAACAGGTGACATCTCACCTCTTCACCAAAAATATATTTTTGGTTAAATAGCTTCAGGGTCAATTTCTTCAACCATTTCACTTCCTTCGTCAATGTCAATAGAAGCTTCTTCAACCTTTGGTAAGAACTTTTGTATAACATCTTTGTTCGTTATTGTCTTCAGAGATGAAGGATAATATTTCACATTTATTTCACCCTTCTTATATTCTTTCTGTTCGGAAAGATTTAAAGCAATACTGAAGAAGTCAACGTTAGAGTTCTTTATGACAGTATAGTGTGTATCTTTGACATTCACGAAGAAACCCTTTTGTTTCAAAACTACTGCTAACTCTTGTGAAGTATAACGTTTGCGGTCAATGACGATAGCTAATGGTCTGACATACTGACCAAACTTAGATTCTTTCACAAACTTCTTGTTAAAGATAACATTGACGTTTGCAGAACCATTGAACTCATTCTTGATGGCAGTAGCGAGAGCATTGTATGAAAAGAACTTGCAATCTTGCATGTGTTTCATTAAAATAAAAATATTAAATTATTTTGAAAAATAACTTAAAAAAAATGTAATCTAATTTTTCAAAAAATATTTTTTATCCGATAGAAAAGATGACAGAAAAATTAACTTTTTACATAGCGCCAGACCCTTCTTGCCCACATCTTTTTAAGCCACAATATATAGTCATAGAACTAAATAGAGAAAGCGAAATTCTACAAATAGAAGAAAGCGAAATTCTACAAACAGAAGAAACATATAGAGACCTAGATAACGAAACTGGATATGCACTATTCTGGTTAGATTGTCCTTATGAAATGTATGAAAAAAAGGCTTTATATGAAGAATATAGAAAATATTGTCATGAAAACAATATAAGACCAAGCTCTAGAGAAAAATTCTATGCTGGTATAAAACATCTTTTCGAAGTTCGGAATGGCAAATATAGAAAGAAATAATTTTTCTAAGTTTATTTTTTCAAAAAATATTTTTTTATTTCCTACTAAAGATGTATCGGAAGTTGTCTAAGTTAGAACACTCGGAAATAAAACAACTTCTTACAGAAGCTAATATAGATGTTGCAAAGCATTACGCAACAAACAAAAAAGCACTCGCTGACATCCTCAATGACTATAATGGTGCAATAAGTTATGATAGAATTCATGAGTTCATAAAGCCGCAACGCGGCGAGGACGAAGTCCATGCAAGAGCATTTCCTTTAAATGACATTGCTATTGACTTATATCATAGACGTTCAGTACCTCATGAAGTAAGAAGAGAAATGTTTGACATAACAAATGCAAACGTTGGTGAAACAAGAAGAGCTGTACCACATGAAGTAAGAAGAGAAATGTTTGACATAACAAATGCAAACGTTGGTGAAACACGAAAGAGAGATGACACACTGAAACAACAGAGAAGAGAGATGTTTAAAAGTGCTATAGAACAAGTTCGCAAAGCTAACGATGTCATTCGTTCCATTGACGACAAACCAAAAGAAGGTGAGAGATGGTTAAAGAAAGATGAAGAGAATAGGAAGAGAAATGTGAAGTCAGGCAATAGACTCATTGACTTTAACATCGAAGCTTTAGATGAACCAAACAGAGACTACTTACACAAACATTTTGGTAAGGTTTTCATGAGACTCTTAGAGAAAATTAAAATAAACTCCCAACAGAGATGGATGGTATGTTATAAACTTGGTGGAAAGTATGAATGTTCTACGTTAAACCTCAATAATATTGGAACATTACTACATCAGCTCTTGAAGGAGAACTTTATATCAGAGATAGAAGCAAATGCCGCAGGTATTGTTGAAATGCACTATGACTTCTTCTTGACAAACATAAAGAATCTTACCGAAATAAAGATGTATGATTTAACAGAATATGAAGGCTTAACGATGTCAGATGTAAAGAAAGGCAAACCAAAAAAGAGACCATATAGAGATGAAAGCACACTGACAAATGACCAGAAAGCCATTTTGGAAGCTCTTAAGCAAACAGGAAACCCAGCACTTATAGAAAGCTTTTGGAAAGATAATGGTGAAAAGAAGTTTTATAAGAAGAGAAGCGGTCAGTTCTGGAAGTATCTTTGCACATTACCTATAAATCTTGAACGCTACCAAATCTTCAATGAACTGAACAAAAGAACTGCAACACTTATGACAGAGGACAATTGTTTCGTTTATGCTTGCATTCAGGCTGGAGTAAATGAAGAAACTATTGACCACATGAGAGAAGTCATTCGTGTTAGAGACTTTCCTCAAAGTAAAGTACAAGAAATTTCTGACGCAACAGGTATATCATTTAATGTTACCATTGGTTATTTCAATGACTCAAGACATAATGAAATAAAGAGATATATACCAAAAGAATGCGAAACTGTTAGAACTATTGACTTACTTCTTGTTGAAGACCACTACATGCTAAATGAAAGATTACCAATGACAACATACTTCATTCGAAACTATAAAGAAATTCTCAAAGCTTGTGGTGGAATGAACATTGAGAAACAGATGAAGATTTATACAAAGAGAGAAGATAAATATGTAGTTCGTTATGATAGAACAACACCGTTATGGGATGTTATGAAAACATTGTGGGAGTGCAAATATTTCGAACCTATTTCTTATGGAGAACTTTTCACATATACTACTGACTTATATAAACAGAACCTTGCACCATTTAAAGATTTGACATATGCTCCAAAGTATTGTGTACAACTGAAGAAGAAAGCAGAGTCAAAAGAAGTAAATAAAGCTAAATGTAAATTCATACCTGAGCACGTTTTCTTTGCTGACTTTGAGTGTAGTACGGATGGCTTTCATAAAGCTTTTAACATCTGTTATGACAGTGAAGATGGTTCAGTTAGTGAAAGCATTTGGGGTCAAAACTGTGCAACAGAATTTTTGGAAAGACTTCCTGACAAGAGTTTAATATATTTCCAAACCTCAGTTATGACATAAACTTCATCTTAAGACACATGACAGAAGTGAAAGGAACTCCCATCATTAAAGGTTCACGAACAATGCAAATAACTGGCTTATATAAAGGACGGGCAATTATTATAAAAGACTCTTACAGTGTTATAAATAAGAAGCTTAAACTATTTCCTGCTATGTTTAACTTACAAACAGGACCGAAAGAAGTATTTCCATATAACTACTACAGCAGTGTTTTGTTAGCAAATGACAACAGAACTGGTGTCATTTCTGAAGCATGTAAGTTTATCCATGATGCAGATACATTTATGAAGAACATAGATTCCATCAAAGGTTGCAGAATAGATGAAAACCACTTCGACTTAGAAAAATATAGCACGTTTTACTGCAAACAAGATGTAAGAATTTTAAGAGAAGGTTTTGTAAAGTTCCGCAATGACTTATTGAAAGAGTTTGATTTAAACGTTTATGACTACGTTAGTATTTGTTCTATTGCTAACAAATTGTTTGAGAACAGAGTATACTTCCCGAATGGAAATCTTTATGACCTCTCAAATAAACCAAGAGAGTTTATTTCACGCTGTATTCAAGGTGGAAGATGTATGTTGTCAGATAACATGAAACAAAAGAGCAAAAAGAAACTCATTGCTGACTTCGACACTGTTTCATTATATCCTTCAGCTATAGCAAGATTGTATACTTTAGAAGGAATTCCAAAAGTATTGAAGGATGAGATGCTAAGCACAGAGTATCTCATGAGACATTTATTCGATGATGACCAAAAGGAACCCATTGGTGAAAAGTTTATGTCTGGCTTCTTTGTTCTCATTAAGATAACAGAGATTGGTATACCCAGACACTTTCATTTAATAGTTTGCGACCCTGAACTAAATCCAGAACTTAACGTTCCAAGAAGTTCAAACACTTGCTGTCTCATGTATGTTGACCATATAACATTACAAGACCTCATAAAATATCAAGGTGTCAAATGTGAAGTGTTGCAAGGATACTATTACGATGGAAACAGAGATATGAGAATAAGAGATGAAGTAAAGAAGTTGTTTGAGTTAAGGTTAAAGTATAAGAAAGAAGGAAACCCCTTACAAGAAATTATAAAACTCATTCTGAACAGCATTTATGGCAAAACTATTCTATCTCCTATTGAGTCAAAAATAACCATAGTAAATGACAAAGATGCTATAAGATATGCTATAAGAAATTACAACCATATAGTGAAGTTCGAAGGTTTGGATGGTTCAGATAAAACTATTTTCAAGCTAACGAAAAGCATTTGCAGACACTTTAACTTCTGTCCACTTGGTGTTAATATTCTGTCTATGTCAAAACGTATTATGAATGAAGTATTCTGTACTGCAGAGGACATGGGACTTCAAATCTTTTACCAGGATACCGACAGTATGCACTTATATAATGAAGACATCCAAAGCTTGCAGCAGAGTTTAAGAAGAGATATGGTCGCGAACTTATAGGAAAGAACCTTGGTCAATTTCATAGCGACTTTGCAGAAATAACACCTGGAAAACAAAGTTTAGCTTATAAAAGTATTTTCTGTGGAAAGAAGACCTACATAGACTTACTCACGAATGATTTAAATGAAGTTGCATTTCACTGCAGAATGAAAGGCGTGAAGCAAGATGTTATTGCTTTAACCGCTAATGAAATGTTTCCTGAAGCTATACAATGCTATTACAATGAAGATAAGAACATTCACATACCTGTTGGAACATATGACAAAGACTCTGAGTTCAGTTTAATGAAACTTTACAAAGCACTTCATGATGGTCAAGAGATTGCATTCGACTTATGTAAGTCATGTCAACCTTGCTTTGCTGAAAAGTTCAACTTTTCAATAACGACTAAAAAAGCTTTATTCGTAAGTTGAAGTTCTGAGGTCATGGGCTTCGCCTTGCCGCTAGCGGCTTATTTTTGTCAGCAATGAGGTCATTCGTGATAAAAATAAAGCTAGCGTAGATTTTACAATACTGCGATGGTAGAGTTTAAGAGTTGTGCTTCAATGTAGAGACAGTCCTTCCCATCTGGAGGTAAGAACACTGGACATTTATGGTCATGAGTGGAGAACATGTCTATCCAAAACTCACGATTGAAGCCAGTTAATTTATAGTATTTAGGGTTAGGAAGTGGTGAAGTTCTTGTATGACCAATGAACTCATTTTCAACGCCTTTGGCTATATTAGAGTAAAGTATTGCTTGCTTTCTATCCCAAATGCCAGGTGTTACAATCTTTGAAAATTCATTTTTCCTCGGAAGCATTGCATCATAATTGAAAAACATTCTTAAAATCATCACTTGGTTCGGAGATTTGAAATCTTATACGTAATGGATTTTTCTTTCTTTTAGCGACTTCATTGAATGGTGAGAATACAATGAATTGACAGTCATGAGTTCCATCTTCATTTTCATTAAATTCATAATGAAAGTCTATAAGTTGTGGCTGACTACCTTCTTCTTTCAGTTGTGCAAGAAACTCACGTAAAGGCTGTAAAGTTTGTACTTCAATGTTGAACTTTTTCTCGAACATCTCATTAAATGAAATCATACATTGCAACAATGTTGTATCGTCTTTAAAGTATTTGTATATGTGAATGTTTTGGGCGCTTAAAGACTGTTCGTCATTTTCTATCTCGACTTGAAGTATAAAGTCAACCTTTCTGAAAGCACGTGTTATATACATAGATGTTATGCCAATGTACTTCTCTTCATTTATGTTCACAATCCAGTCTGTTGGAAACTTAAACGTTACTCTGTTCCCCTTTATTTTGACGTCAGGGTTTTCACTACTGAACGCAACAGATAAAGGTATTTGTCTATACATTTAATTCGGATAAAAATAAACCATTTACTCTTTCTTTGCTTCAGCTTCTTTAGCTTTTGCTTCAGCTTCTTCTCTAGCTTTTTTGCCAGCAAACGTGGGTTCTTTGTCTTCCAGCAGCTAATGCAGCAAGTTGTTTTTCACTAAGTTTTCTCTTTGGTCTCTCTGGCTTTTGTTCTTGTTTTTGTTCCTTCAGTTCGGATAAAATTTGCTCACGAATTTCTTTCTTCAATGCTTCAACATCTATGACACCTTGGTCTTGTCCGTAGGGCTTGTCTGAGTCATTTGACTGTAGATAAAAAACTAAATTAAAACTTTAACCGATGTAAAATGAGCTTGTCAAAATCAGAACGAGAGTCTATTATATTAAATGACGCCAGAGGAATACAACATCCTTTCTATTATGTAAGTCAGAGTAAAGATGGTAAAATATATGTAAGAAAAAGAAAGGTTCCATTAGCGAATACAGAGAGCGACAACATTAAGGTGCATGGCAAGGGCGAAGCCACGAAGCCCATATAAAACCTTCTGTTCAAACTGAAAAGTCAATAGAACAAGAAGAAAAGAAGCCAGATGTACTTTCAATAACGAACCAAGAGCTTATTGCAAAGTTCGTGAATTTCATTGAAAAGCAAACCGAGTCAAAGAACCCTGACCGCCAGTGAAAGAAGTTGAGACAAAAGAGAATGTACAGTTCATTGAAAATGTCAAGAAACAACTTCCACCACGAATACCAAGAAGAAGAGTGAGAATAATGAAGTAAATAGATATTTTTATCTGAAGTAAATACATGCAGAACGAACAGCTAAACGAATTTACTCCAGCAGAGCATATTCATCAGATTCGCTCATATTTCGATATCATAGACAATGCAGTTCAAATTGGTGACACTAATAGAAAATATTCTGACGCAAAGATTCCATCACAACCTGGAACTGCTAAAGATAACACATGGGTAACATTCAATCTCTCACCTCCTGGTGAAAATATGTTGGACCTTTACAATACATTCATTACGTATAAAATGGAAGGTCAATTTATTGTAGATAAAGAAATTGGTTCAGGTTCCAATAAAACAAACCCACCAGGATTTTGGATTGGTTTCGATGACGCTTTCTATGCAGTTGCTGGATATCAAATCCTTGCAAATGGTCGTATCGTATATTCTCAAGACAACGCAAGAGAAGAAGCATATATAACTTCAAACTCACAAACTACCGAACAAATAAAGAAAGTAGATGTTTTCTCAAAGACTCGACATGAAGATGTATGGAGTCATTCGGGAACATGCAGAACAGGACAAATTGTTAGTGGTCCAATTACAGCAGGAAAAATCATTTGATTTTAAGCTTCGTTTAAGAATTCCTGTTAGAAGATTCCTTCCATTAGAAGCTATTCGATTTATTCCAGCTTTTGCAGGAAACATTCAGCTTAAAGTAAAGTTCAGTAGCGACGCCTTACAATGCACATCTATATCTGTAAATGATATCATTGCTTTCAATCCAACTCTTAAAGTTGCATTTGCTTCAGATTCAAATCCACCGACAAATAAATTTGTTCCATGGAATGAACCATTCACTATGATAACGAAGGCAGTAGAAGCTAGTGGAACAGTTACTATTACAACTGTAACCAGCAACTATTTCGAACAAAGATGGATTTTAATGAATGTTTCATTCATCCAAAGTCATTCTCTTTAGACCCTAACATTTATACAGAACTTGTAGAACATTATACAAACGAGGCTTTATGTTTTCCTGTTAAAGTTATGGATTGGATTCCTATGGACGGTTCATTCTCAAAGAATACAGATAGTTCAAGTGCAACATTTACAGCAGCTTATACGCCTATTAATGTTAAAAGTATTTGGGCACTATTTAGAAAGAAAGACAACTATTATGTTAATTTTGAGAACCCTAAGTTTAAATATCTTCAGCTTTCCATGGGAGCTTATGGAAATATGCCTGCAGAACCTGAAAAATCATATGGACCTGTATTTTATGAAATGGTTGCGAACGCTTGCAATACAAACAATGATATGATAGGATTTAATGAAGATGTTATGAGGTCATTGGTGGATGATGGTAGTGTGGAACATAAATGGGATAGCTATGACAACACACATTTCTTATGTGGTTTTCCAACAGAAGTGGACTTTTGCTTCCAGCAAGGTCAAACATCTACTGCTCCAATAACATACAAATTGTCTGTTAAAGGACCTATTGAACTAGCAACTGAAAATGTACCAAAGCCACTTATTGGATTTATGAGGGATTGTTGCTTTGCCATTCAGGTGCGTGCTAATGGAATCCCAATAATAAGATTAGATGACTATAACTTAGCTACGGACGACAGTGAGGAATAAAGGATGAACGTTTATTTTTAAAGCTTATAAATGAGTTCTTCATCAAGCTCTCGTGAACCTTCACCATCTATGAAACAAACTTTACCAAACGATTATGGAGCACCTATTGAATATTTCTTACGAGCTGCACAATGGCAAAGAGCAGTCTCACCAAGGTTAGGTGTTCCACCAGCTCCTGTCAAAAATAGCATTTGGTCAAGTCCTTATATAAGATATGGTCTCCCACTAGGTTTGCTAGCTACAGCAGGAGCAGTTATGATGTTGAAAAGAAATAAAGCAAATGTTGTAAATAATACTGAAGTAGCTGAAGTTAAACAAACTCCGACACCATCACAAACAACACCTTCAATGACTCCTGAACCTATGAAAGTACAAACTCCTGTTCAAAAGTCAACTCCTAAACCGACTCCAACATTTAAACCAGAACCTACTCCTCAAATAAATCGTAAAACTCCTGCGTTTCCTTACTGAAAAAATAACGTTATTTTTATTTAATATTAAAATTTTTATTTGATTGAAATGACGACTAAAGTCACTGAAGCAATGAAACAAAAGTTTTTGGTAGAATACATTAAATCAGGAGCGGTTCCAGAAGGTTTTTACGTTCATACTATGAAGGATGGTAGAGTTCAGTTTAGAAAGATAAAGCAACCATTAGATAGAGAAGGTATTTAAGGAAGATTAAACTTCATGAGGACAACATTGCTGAACTTAAGAAGAAGTTAGAAGAGTTGGAGAAAGGAAGAGAGTTATAAAGCAATGAATTCAAGTGGGTGAAAAAACAGGTGAAAAAAGAGGTGAATCTCACCACTTCACCTAAATTTATTTTGTGCTATGTTTTCATACGTGTGAGGGTGGTGATATCATTAATTTTTTATTTTATGAAAATTTTTATTTGGATGTAAATGACAGAACAAAAGCAACTCATACAAATCGAAAAATATAACAAACATACATTTAAACATTTATTCTTCCTTCCTGAGCATAACATGTTCTTTCACTTCATCCTAGACCAGTTGACTTTTCATTGACTGTGTATAAAGATTGTCATGGTAGTTTTATAAAAACTTATGATGATGAAGGTAAGTTAACAAGACTATGCATTTCAAAACTTGAGAAACTTTATGACTTCAAGTATGACTACAATAGAGTTAACATTGACGATGAAGATATAGAAGAAAATTTATGAGAACGTTTATTTTTTCATTAGTGAGTTCGTTAGTGAGGTGAAATGGTTGGCGGCTTTGTAAATATTTAAGGTTAAGTTAGTTTTTGCGTTCATGTTGTAAAATGTACGTTAACGGTTTTGTCAAGTGTCAAATTCACAAGTATTGGGTAAGGTGGAACGCAGTGCCGCCGTACCCAAGACTGGTGTACTAACTAAAGTTTATTTAAATATAATCACCATTGGATTCAATCACGCGTTCGCAGCGATCGATCCAGGCTTCAAAGACACGCTTTAAATCATCATGAGAAAATTGCTCAAATTGCTCTCTTACAAAATTTTCAAGATCATCTGGACTCGCGAATTCGCGTCCTTCAGCTCTCTTTTTTAGCGTGCCGAATAAATAAAAGTCAGAGGGTGCAATATCAGGTGAATAAATTGGGTTTGGAACAACTTTGACATTGTTTTCCACCAAGTAATTCATTACCTTATGACTTTTGTGAACTCTTGAATTATCAAAATGAATTGCAAACTTTTGTTTTTGTTGTTTGGATTTCTCAAACTCATCAGAATTGATAATTTGAGTAAGAACATTGTCAATTAGATACTGAGCATTCATCGTATTAGGTTTTTGAAGAATATCAATTGCGATGATGCCATTCACGCCCCAAAAAACCGACAACATCATCATTGGTGTGTCAATTTTTTTCTTCGGGAATGTTTGCGGATTTTCATCCTTCGGGATCCACATGATTTTGGCTTCTGTTGCATATTGAAACCAAGACTCGTCCCCTGTTACTAAAAAGCGAAACTTCTTGGATTGATATGCACGCAATATAGAGAGGAGCTCTTTCGAAGATTGGACTCTAGATTTTTTTTGAACTGAATTAAGGTTGTGCGGAACCCAACGTGTATACGCTAGTTTGTAGTTCAAATAATTGTGCAGATAATAACTGACTGTTGTACGTGGTATCTTTGTCATCTCCTCTATCCTTCTGAGTGATGCTCTTGGGTCTTCATCTAGCGCTTGAAGAATTGCTTTGATTTTTCTTTGATCCGGCGATTTTTTGTCATTTTATGATGGGCGCCTTTTTGTTCATGAAGTGATACATCCTAACATGATACGTTACAGTGGAATAGCTAGGAGCATCCATACCGAAGCATTTTACCAATGTCTCGTAGATTTTTTTACAGTCTTTGCATTTTTTTGCAAGAGCGAGGATGTTTTCTTTATGATTCATTAAAAAAATGAAAAAAATCCCGCCAAAATTTCCCGCGAAACCGCCTCTTGTCTCAAAATTCATTTTATATCCGGCATGGCGCCAAAATACAACATACTCATCATATACATATATTCATATTTTTTATTATATATTTATAATCAGCATATATCTCCTTTAATAGTCTCATATAGAGCGCTGTGCTAAACGCTATAAATAAAAAAATCAAAATTTATATGTTTCAAAACGCAAATTTTCTTTATTTCCGATTATTAACCAATTATGAAATAATGACGCTATCAAATGATTACTTATGTTAATGAGATTTCTTACTTAAATTAATGGTATTACAAATAAAATTGAAAACTTAACGATGAAAGATAATTATATCAATTGTTTGCAATTGAATCTGACAAAATACTATTTTGTAGATTGATTGAGTGAAAATTTCCTCTTTTTTGGACCAATAAAAAATATTTCTTACAATTTATTGAAAATAGATGAGGGATGTCATTGATTACTTACATGTAATATCTAATGTATCATTTAATCATTTATTTTTAATTCTTTCTGAGCAAGGATAAAGTTTTGTAAGTCAAAATCTGAATTTTTGTAGAAGTGATCCCACTCACAAAAATGTGATCTTAGCTTTCTCTTTATGATTTTTAGAATTGATATATGATGTAGATATTAGATCCATAGTTTGTTTGCACTACATCCTCAACGTGCTTCATTCAATTTCACTCTTAAAATGTAAATTTTCTCACTTTTTCATATTTGAAATCTGATGTTTAATAATAATTTCGAGGAAAAAGGCAAAAATAATTCTGGGGAGCACGCTATATTTGGTCGCATCACATTTACATTTTGGTATGGAAATCGTGGATTCTATTAATATTGGTGCAGATTTTAAACACCTAATATGTAGTATACATAACATTGATTAAAAATAAACATGATAGCTTCCACAAAATTGCAGAAGTTTCTGATTAAATTTCTCAAACTCGAATTTAAATTTTGTGCATAGGAATGATTTTGTTTTATAATTAAAATAATTCCCATGAATTTGTTTTATTATTAAGATTACCTAGGTACCCATAAATATGATTTTGATTTAACTAAATTCGAATCCAATCATATTATATTGAATCAGACATATATTAACGCTACCTAAATGTTACATTCTTAATTAGGAAAGTGAATATTGTATATGATATTCAAAAATTTAATTTAATACTTGACTTCGATAAAAGAGATGCGAACAATATTTATAGGTATATGCATAACTAGGCCTAGGTATTTTCCAATATGAACAGCTAAGCTAAGCTGCTAATATTGGGAGTGGGCACACTTCTATTTTTGTTGAAATAAATCTTGACTTCAAAATTTGAAATTAAGGAATCAAATCAAGTTCCTGAATATTTTTGGGGTCATTTCAAGATTTCACCAACAATTATTCATAAAAAAAGATAAAGTACAGTATCAGTATAGTGATTTTTAAACTTTTCGACCAATGAGAAACAATATCACTTTTAATGGTTTAATTCGAGAGTTTTTATATAAGTTTAATGATCTCATCCCACATTTGGATACAGCAAACATCTTTAACAAATTTGTTTAATGATTTACAACGAAGGCCCAAATGCAAATGTCAACGAAACATCTTCTGCCTTTGGAAACGATTATGGATTCTATTTTACTTTGAATGATTTGAAAATAGATGGTTTATATCATTAATTATATTTACCTTTCAATGATATTTAATTCTCAATGGGCAATAAAAAAGTGCTGAGAGTTATTGATATTTTAATTTGTTTGTAAAAAAATTATTTTAGACGAGGAAGAAGACTTAATAATTGTGAGCATTTAATTTGATGATAAATGAAGTTTTGTTTTGTTTTGATATATATTTTTGAAATTGCAATGAAATCAACGACTTCATTCGTTTTATCATCTTTGATTTTAGTTGTATCTCTAAAATAAACAATTGTTGAATTTTCTCCAAAAATTTTTTGCAATCTTCTGATAATACCGTTTCCCTTGTAACATATAATTTACTTCCTTCTGGAAATGCAATATGAATATAATCATAACTAATTTTAAAATTGCCTGGAATATGAATATTCAGGGGCTCTGAAAGTTCAAAAAATATATCTGAAGTAATTGTAATGGTATTCGGATTGTTTAGGAATGTAATACTTTTTAGATTTCTACAACCTTGGAATGCATAGTATTCAAGGTTTGTAACACTTCCTGGAATTATAATGCTTGTCAATGATATACAATTTCTAAATGCATAATCTCCAATTTTTGTGACTGTATCAGGAATCGTTATATGTATTAATGATTTGCATTCATCAAATGTATAAGAAAATAACTTTGTAAAATTTCCTTTAATTAAAATACTTTTCAATGATGTACAACAACAAAATGTATAACTCCCGATATCTGTTATTCCATTGTTAATTTTAATGTATGAAATATTTGCACAATTAAAAAAGCAAAAATCATAAATCTTTGTAACATAATTTGCAATATTATATTCACCTGAATACGATGGAACAACTTTAAATAAAGTTGAATTATTTGCATCTGTATAAACTGATTTAGAATCACTTTTATAATTTGTATTTTCTGGATCAACTATTATATATTCAAATGGACAATCATAGAAAGGATCTGAAGAAATCGTTTTTACAGAATTTGGAATAAAAATTGAAGAAAGTTTAGATAAAATAAAGCAATCATAATCTATTTTTTCTAAATTAGAATCAGGTGAAATATTTATGGTCGTTAAACCACTACTAGAAAATGCACTACTGCCAAGATAAACTACAGAATCTGGTAAATCTATTGATGTTAGATTTTCAGTGTATTGAAAGCAATTATCTCCTATACTTGATATATTTGGAGGAAGTATAACTGATTTCAAGTATTTACAGTAAAAAAAGACACTGGAATTAAGGGATGTAAGTTTTTTGCATTCACTAAAATCTACTGATTCAAGACTAGTAAGATAAAAACTATAACTGCTAATAATGACAATTTCACTATTTTCTTCGAATTTAAGTGATGTAATTGAATTTTTACAATTCTCAAAAGCATGATAATTATTATTGCTAGATATTTCAGTAACATCTTTAGGAATAAAAATTTCGCCACTTGAATCAGTTGTACAACCAATAACAACTTGATTATTACTATTTTCCTGGAATTGAAGGGTAACAATACTGGAACCAATATAAAATAGAAAATAAAACAAATTCAAATATTGTTACAAGATTTTTAAAAAAAATATTTGAAATTTTCCTTTAATTTTGAATGTTGGTTGAAATATGTGTAGTCTAGAAACTGCAAACTTACATAAATTTATGTAAGCATGTTTAAATGCGAATTTTCCTATGATGAAATTTAGAATCGTGAAATTGGAGCTTATTACTGAATTCATTTGTAATGGCAGCCGATATGATATTCGTTTATGACTTAATGAAAACGGATTTTCGTTTTTGCGGTAGATTATAAAATTAACTTGCAATATAGATGACCAAATTTAACAATTATTTGTCTGAAATGTTTGTATATCACTTTTTAAATGATATTTCTTTCTCAATGATAAAGGATATGTATTTTCGCTTGCAAAATCAGAAATACAGAATAATAGAAGTGATTCCACTCTCAATTTTGAACTTTTTCAAAAAAATAAGTAGAAAAATAATATTGCAATATATTGAAAACCCTATATCCATCGTTTATTTGGCGATAATTTTTTTGTAAAGTGTCAAAAAATTTTTGACATTCGAACTTTTTCAAGTTCGTATATATATCAACATTAATATTTTCCCAAAAAAATCGAAAAATAATTGTGTACCTGCATGGTGAAAAGTATAGAAATTATTCAAAAAGTATTCAATTTTAATATTTAAAAAAATCCGAAAATTTCAATATAATCATTTTTCTGCTTTAAATACATGGTTTATACAATTTTTAAATCGATAGTTTTACTTTTAAATTGTGGCTTTACTTATTTCTCATAGTGGTATTGTATGACATCATAGAATAATATAATCAAAAAATATTATACTTTACTGATACGAGTTTTCTATGGTTTATGATATTTTAAAAAATAAATAATGGCATTTCTAAAGTAAGAATTATTTTTTGGTTTTCGAGATTCATTTTTATATTTGTAATCATAATATATAGTTAATCTTGCACCAATGTATATATATTGCAATGAGAATTATATGTGAGGTGTATGGTCCTGATTTATTAAAACAAACAAAAGATGATATTTGCATTTTACAAATTGCATTATATTTAAGTTGTAAAACGAACCTATAGTAGAATGTAGATACATTTCTACTTCTTTTAAAGATAGATTTATATTCAAGACAGAATATAATCTCATTATTCTTATTTTTTGATTAAATTAGAGTTACTTTTAGATATTCAGCATATATGACGTATTTTATTACATATTTCATCTGCAAAAATCACAGATAGGTTATAAGAGGCAAAATCACATTTGGATGTTCATGAATATAGTTACTTTGCCAATCTAACATCATAATATGGTAATATATGACAATGATAATTTTAGCATTGATGATTATTATTGAGAATTAACTAAATTTATGAGAATTCAATTATTAAATTTTGCTTCACCAAATATAATTCTGTATTAGTGACAGATATTACTTCTTGGTCTGGTACTTACTCTAACTCCTGAATGTTATCTGTTCGTACCTCAAAAACAGAGTGGAGGCACTTCTAGAATAATGAAAAATACTATTTATTTATATAAATAAAATTAATATTTTCCCGACTTTTTGTCAGGGACGTGAAGCGGAAAAGTGTAATTCTATTGAATGTTATTATTTTTGCTTTTAATGTAGAACAGCATTTGAATCAAAAATAATCGTATGCTAGTGAATTTTGATTTTAAACAATTAGTTTTGAGTAGATAGCATGTATATACGAATAGATTGATGGACTGCAGATTTAAAATCACAGCCTTTGGTGATTTCCATAACAATGTTGTGTGATTTAAGAACTAAGTCTTCAAGATTAAGAATGTGTGTTTCGCAGATGGAGAAGATCTCTTTGGTTTGATGAACTAATAATCGGAGTTGTTCAAGTTGTTGACGAAGTTTATCAAGTGAAATACCTTGCGATTCAACAGATGTAGGTGGAAAATCGATGCCACCACCATGTGTGATGGAAAATAGTTCATCACGAACTGTGGACAAAAGTTGGGTCTCTTGTGAACCTAAGATGCTTTTGTTACCATCAATACTTGCAACTAATGAAGGTGATGCAATCTTCAAAATTTTAGTTGTTTTTTCGAATAATGGGAAATTGATTATACATATGAAAAGCTCCTCACATTTGTTTAAAGAAAAATTGATATTTTGGATTCATTAATATAATAATAAATATTAAATATGTTTATAATATAGTTATTTAACACGTGGAAGAAGACTTAATAGCTGTGAGCATTTAATTTGATGATAAATGAATTTTTGTTTTGTTTTGATATATATTTTTGAAATGGCAATAAAATCAATGACTTCATTTGTTCTATCATTCCATATTTTAGTTGTATCTCTAAAGTAAACTATAGTCCTCTTTTCTCCAAAAAATTTTTACATTTTTCAGATAAAATTGTTTTACTTGTAACATATAATTTACTTCCTTCTGGAAATACATTGTTTGATAAAGAAAATCTAATATCAAAATTTCCTGGAATGTGAATATTCATTGGATTTGGAATATCAGAAAATATTTCTGAAGAAAATGAAATGGAATTAGAGTTGTTTAGGAATGTAATACTTGTCAAATTTGAACAACCCTGAAATACCCAATCATTAATAGACGAAACATTTCCTGGAATTGTAATGCTTGCTAATGATGTACAATATCTAAAAGCAAATGTTGAAATTCTTGTTACTATTTCAGGTATTATAAAATTTGTTAACGATGTACAATATGCAAATATACTGTGATTTAAATTCGGAATATTCTCTTTAATTGAAATACTTTTCAATGATGCACAATTATTAAATGCAGAGTATCCAATGGATATTATATCATCACGAAGTTCAATCGATGAAATATTTACACAATTATAAAAACAATAACTATTAATTATTGAAACATAACTACCAACAATATATTCACCTGAATAATTAACAACAACTTTAAATAATGTTGAATTATATATTCCTGTATAAACTGATTTAGAGTCACTTTTATAATTTGTATTTTCTGGATCAACTGTTATATTTTCTAATGGACAATTATAAAAAGCATATGATTCGATTTTGTTTACTGATTTTGGAATAAAAATTGAAGAAAGTTTTGTATCACTAAAACAATATTCTCGTATTGCTTCTAGTTTAGAATTAGTTGAAATATTTATGGTTGTTAAACCACTGTATTGAAATGCACGATAACTAAGAGAAACTACAGAATCTGGTAAATCTATTGATGTTAGATTTTCATTGAATTGAAAGCAATATCTGTCTATATAAGTAACATTTGGAGGAAGTATAACTGATTTCAAGTATTTACATTCATAAAATACATATCGATCAAGAAATGTAAGTTGTTTGCATTCACTGAGATCTGCTGATTCAAGACTTGTTTGATAAAAACTACTACTGATAATACTGGTAATTTTACTATCTTCTTCGAATTTAAGTGAAGTAATTGAATCTTTACAATTCTGAAATGCATAACTATATGGATGGTTGCTATATATTTCAGTAACATCTTTAGGAATAAAAACTTCACCGGTCGAATCTGTTGTGCAGCCAATCACAATTTGATTACCATCTTCATAGTATTTTAGAGTAACACTACTAGAACTTTGATAAACTAGAAAATGAAGCAAATTTGGATAACAATTTTATATGATTTATTTTAAAAATAGCAAATTTATATAGGTAATTCTACATTTTTTTTTAATTCTGCATTTTTATCAAATTATTTGTATATCCAGGAAACAGTATCAAATCCACGCTTCTATGAGAATGATTTATAGAGCAAATTTTAATTTTGTTGATGATAATTTGCGAATTTTAGACTTAAAGATCAATTATAGAATTTACTGTAATTAAAATGGATAGCCTACTCGTTATTGATTTCACAAAGGGAGATTTTCGTTATTTTGATTGACAAAAATTTAAAACTTGAAATTTATAGGACATATCTGTTTGATATCATCAATTAATTGTGATTAATGTATGTATAATCAATTTTTGAATGATATTTCTTACCCAATGAGAAAGAGTATTGTATTTTTGAGTTCGAAATTATAAATGCAAAATAAAAAATGTCTACAATTTTCAGTACAAAACACCTGAATGTCAAGACATACACTATATTTGCATTTTAAATCAAATATTTGAAATAAATAATTCGATGAGAGACTTCATAATGAGCATTGCCAGAAGCATTCTTACTACTTTTTCCTTGTTCCCAAAAGGCCTTGGATTCTGTAATTAGAATTAACATCACTCAATTTTTGGAAGAATGATGTTAAATTTTTTACATTTATTCAAATTTGAATAATCACATTTTGGACATATCAGTATTTCTTAGTTTCCATACCATGATTACACTCCAGGTACATAATGAAGGTAGAACTAAAACTTTCAGCATCTAAATATTCAATCTATTCGATAATTTAATTAAAATTAGATAAAAACAACAACGAATTCACTTGATTTTAAAAAGACAATTATTTGATATCCTATATAAAACATATATAATATTAATTTTATTAAACAATCAGCGCATAATGAGATATAAGAAATAAACAATAAAAAAATAATCGTCATGCTCGGAATTTATTTTTTTGGAAAAAAAGTCCAAAATTCAATTAAAAATAATCGTCATTTTGGACTTTTTTTCCACCCGAAAATAATCCATTAATTTGATGATAAATGAAGTTTCGTTTTGTTTTGAGGCTTATTTTTGCAATGGCTATGAAATCAATGACCTCATTCGTTCTTTCACAGATGATATTAGTTTCGTCTTTATTTTTATTACAAAAGAAAAGGATAAAATGTGTCATAAAAGTAGTTGTTTTCCATAGACTTTTTATTTAAAATTATTTAACTTTCGGAATAAGACTCAATATATGCAAGCATTTAATTTGATGGTAAATGAATGTTTGTTTTGCCTTAGGATATTTTATCGAAATATAGGGTGTCCAAAGGTGCGTTTAGCACAGCGCTCTATATGAGACTATTAAAGGAGATATATGCTGATTATAAATATATAATAAAAAATATGAATATATGTATATGATGAGTATGTTGTATTTTGGCGCCATGCCGGGATATAAAATGAATTTTGAGACAAGAGGCGGTTTCGCGGGAAATTTTGGCGGGATTTTTTTCATTTTTTTAATGAATCATAAAGAAAACATCCTCGCTCTTGCAAAAAAATGCAAAGACTGTAAAAAAATCTACGAGACATTGGTAAAATGCTTCGGTATGGATGCTCCTAGCTATTCCACTGTAACGTATCATGTTAGGATGTATCACTTCATGAACAAAAAGGCGCCCATCATAAAAATTGACAAAAAATCGCCGGATCAAAGAAAAATCAAAGCAATTCTTCAAGCGCTAGATGAAGACCCAAGAGCATCACTCAGAAGGATAGAGGAGATGACAAAGATACCACGTACAACAGTCAGTTATTATCTGCACAATTATTTGAACTACAAACTAGCGTATACACGTTGGGTTCCGCACAACCTTAATTCAGTTCAAAAAAATCTAGAGTCCAATCTTCGAAAGAGCTCCTCTCTATATTGCGTGCATATCAATCCAAGAAGTTTCGCTTTTTAGTAACAGGGGACGAGTCTTGGTTTCAATATGTAACAGAAGCCAAAATCATGTGGATCCCGAAGGATGAAAATCCGCAAACATTCCCGAAGAAAAAAATTGACACACCAATGATGATGTTGTCGGTTTTTTGGGGCGTGAATGGCATCATCGCAATTGATATTCTTCAAAAACCTAATACGATGAATGCTCAGTATCTAATTGACAATGTTCTTACTCAAATTATCAATTCTGATGAGTTTGAGAAATCCAAACAACAAAAACAAAAGTTTGCAATTCATTTTGATAATTCAAGAGTTCACAAAAGTCATAAGGTAATGAATTACTTGGTGGAAAACAATGTCAAAGTTGTTCCAAACCCAATTTATTCACCTGATATTGCACCCTCTGACTTTTATTTATTCGGCACGCTAAAAAAGAGAGCTGAAGGACGCGAATTCGCGAGTCCAGATGATCTTGAAAATTTTGTAAGAGAGCAATTTGAGCAATTTTCTCATGATGATTTAAAGCGTGTCTTTCAAGCCTGGATCGATCGCTGTGAACGCGTGATTGAATCCAATGGTGATTATATTTAAATAAACTTTATATATATGTAACTTGTTTATTTCTATTCGCAGTATTCAGGTTTGTGCTAAACACACCTTTGGACACCCTATAGCTATATATTTTATGACATCATTTGTTGTTTTATCACTAATTTTAGTTGATGTTTCGATATAAACATAGACTGATTTTGAACCAAAAAATCTGTCACAATCATCTGATAAAATTGTTTCGCTTGTAATATATAAATTACTTCTTTCTGGAAACGCTTCGGTTGCACTAGATTGCTCAATATTAAAATTCCCTGGAATGTAAATATTTATTGGATTTGGAATAGTAGAAAATGCATCATAAGAAATTTCCATTGAATTGGAGTTATTCAGGAATGTGACGTTTTTTAGATTTTTACATGATTCGAATACAGATCGTTTAATAGTTGAAATACTTCCTGGAAATATGATTTTTGTTAATGAAATGCAATCTGAAAATGCATAATCCATAATTTTTGTCACGGTTTCAGGAATTGTAAAATTCGTTAATGATGTACATCCACCAAATGTAAATTCATCTATTTTAGTTATATCTCCTTTAATTTTAATACCTTTCAAAGATTTGCAACTGGAAAAAGCGGAACTTCCAATTTCTGATATATTTCCATTGATTATAATATCAGTTATTTTTGAACATCTTGAAAATACATTTGAATTAATACTTTTGGCATTTCCAAGTATTGTAAAAGATGTTAATGATGGACAGTTTGAAAATGCATAATCTTCAATTTCGGAAACATTTCCAGTGATTGTTATATTTATTAATGAGTTGTGGTAAGATAATGAATTAACATAAATTTTATTTAAATTTCCATTAAAAATAATGTTTGCTAATGATTCACAATTATAGAATTGACTTTGTGCAATACCTTCAAGATTTCCTTTAATATTAATGTTTGTTAATGATGAACAATTATAGAAGGCAAAGATCCCAATAGATGTTATACTATTATTGGTTTGAATAGATGAAATGTTTATACAATATGAAAAGCAATAACTATTAATCGTTGTTACATAACTAGCAATAATATATTCACCTGAATATGAAACACAAACTCTAAGTAATGTTGAATTATCTGTTCCTGTATAAAATGATTTAGAATCACTTTTATAATTTGTATTTTCTGGATCAACTGTGATATTTTCTAATGGACAATCAATAAAAGCATCCATAGGAATTGTTTTTGTTGATTTTGGAATAAAAATCGACGAAAGTTTTGAAAATCTAAAACAAAAATCTTGAATTTTTTCTAATTTAGAATTAGGTGAAATTTTTATGGTTGTTAAACCACTATGTTCAAATGCACTATGACTAAGAGTAACTACAGAATCTGGCAAATCTATTGATGTCAGATTTTCATTGTATTGAAAGCAAATAATTTCTATACTTGAAATATTTGGAGGAAGTATAACTGATTTCAAGTATTTACAGAAAGCAAAGAGTGAATAATTAAGAAATGTAAGTCTTTTGCACTCACTGAAATCTGCTGATTCAAGATTAGTTTCATAAAAACTATTACTGCCAATACTGACAATTTTGCTATCTTCTTCGAATTTAAGTGATGTGATTGAATCTTTACATTTCTTAAATGCATAATTTAAGCGATCTATACTATATATTACAGTAACGTCTTTAGGAATAAAAACTTCACCGATTGAATCTGTTGTACAATTAACAACAATTTGATAATTACTATTTTCTTGATATTCTAGAGTAACAATACTAGAACTTTGATAAAGTAGAAAATAAAGCAAATTCTGATAAAAATATTATATGATAATTGCTAAAAATCGTAAAATTTGGAAAAGTATTTTTGAAATCTTTCTTCATTTCTATTTTTTTATCAAAATATTGGAAATGTATGAAAATGTTATCAGATGCAAACTTCTTTGAGAATGATTTAATGAGTAAATTTTCGGATTGTTGATGAATATTCAAGAAATTGAGAATTATAGAATATTTATATAATTTATTGAAACTAAAATGGATGGTATACTCTTTTGTGATTAAGCTAAGAGAGTATTTTGTATTTTTGTTAGCAAAACTTGAAAATTATTAGACATAAATGCTTTATATCATCATTTAATCGTTTGTAGTGTACATATAATCATTTCTTGAATGTTACACAATGAGAAAGGTTCTTGTTTTCTTACACAATGAGAAAGGTTCTTGTTTTTGGCTCAGATATCAGAAAAACCAATATTTTAAATGAAGTAACCAATGATCATTTTCAACACAAGAACTCACAAAAATCATTATTTTTCATAATATGGAATTGAAATATCCAAAAACCAAATAACAATCAAATTCAATTCACTTCAATTAATTGAATGCGGCTCAAATAGCCTAAATAACTAAACACAATAATTTTTGATGTAAATAAAAATGCAAATATCATTTTAAACAATCAATTTTGAGGAAATGTTGTAAAACTATTAACCTTAAAAATTTTTGGACCCCCTGGAGGAATCCTGATCGAGCAAGTTTGGAGTCTCCCTCCAGGTGAGGAACATGCAAACGAGAGAAGTGTTTAACACTTCATAAAGTATCTTGTGGATATGGTTAGATATATAGTTCTACTTAATGGAAAGAATTAAATTGCGTTAAAGTAAAAAATGGAGTTATGAACTCATTTCGATATAAGATGCTTCATTATAATATATAGTAAATGTTTTTATTCAAATTAAGCTTAGTTAGATTTTAATTAAAAATTGGCAATTCCGATTCGCTTTTATTTTGGAGGGTATATGCGTATCCTGAAGCTGGTAAAGTGGTTTGATGGGTTTGCAAATCTGTCTGTACAATTTTTCAAAACGATTTGTAATTTCCGTTTGAATAGATAACTAGTATAGCTTGTAATGTCAGTAAAGTCAGTTTGCCTTAGTAAATGAAAATAAAGTTGATTCAAGTTGATTAATCTTGATTTCGGTGTTAATTGAATCAGGAATTAACAGATTCAGTAATTGTTTTGAATTTTGGAAGATAGGCGCACTAAATTATGGTTTTTAAAAACATTATACTATGTTTTTCTAAAGAGGAAAGCTTTGTTGATAGCAATTCGTAAAATGAGGAAAAAGTACGTTAAACTTTACATGGCAAATTTTGAAAAACTTGGGAAATAAAAATAGCCAATATTGAGTAAATTAATATCTAATATATAAATAAAGAATATTAAAGTAAGAGAATTTCAAAATTATATAATTCCTATTAAAATCGAATAATTTCGAGTCGATTTACAGGAGCACTCATAAATATGAGCGTGACTAAGAAATTAAAAGTTAAATTTAGTCTGAAATTTTGTATATATTACACAATTAATACAAGATAATAAGTAATTGGCTCATTTATAAGATTAAGTCAAACAGTTTAATGTCATATGTATTTTTATTTTTAGATTTGAGTGGTTAATGAGCTATATTTTTTAATGCTAGCATAAGTATCTAATGACCATATCCCCAAAATTAGAAGCAAATCGGAATTGGGAATCTTAGTTTTACTACGTTTTTTTGAGGCAGAATCGGCAATCTCTCGAGATAGTTTATGGAAACGAATAGATTTTTCTGCTGGAAATTTGAGATCACATCCTTTAGTGCTTTTTATGAAACTGTACAGCAACAAAATATTAAATTTATGGATGTTAAACTACTTCCTTGAAATATAAAATCACGATGAGTAATTACAGAATCTGATAAATTGATTGATACTATTTTTGAAATATTCGGAGGAAATATAACAAGTTTTAAGGATATGACAAATCAATAATTCAAATAGTTGAATCAGCCCTACACTTTTTGCTGTTTATGATGTATAATGATTTGAATGAGAAAATCAAGATTCTTTACAATCCAAAATTTAGCAAAAATTAAATTTAATTTTTTTAAATCAACAAATTTTGCATTCAGAGATATTACTGATTAACCATGACTTCAGAAGCATAATGGAAATGAAATTAACGAAAAACCATTGGTAAATAATCTAAATACAATATTTATTTGATATAAATAAAAATACAAATAAAAATATGATTTTATACAATGAGTTTTGAGTCGGATTCGGCAATTTCGCGTGAAAGTTTGTAGATATGAATAGATTGTTCAGCCGCGGATTTGAGATCACAGCCTTTAGTGATTTCCATAACAATGTTGTGTGATTTAAGAACTAAGTCTTCAAGATTAAGAATGTGTGTTTCGCGGATGGAGAAGATCTCTTTTGTTTGATGAACTAATAACCGAAGTTGTTCAAGTTGTTGACGAAGTTTATCAAGTGAAATACCTTGTGATTCAACAGATGTAGGTGGAAAATCGATGCCACCACCATGTGTGATGGAAAATAGTTCATCACGAACTGTGGACAAAAGTTGGGTCTCTTGTGAACCTAAGATGCTTTTGTTACCATCAATACTTGCAACTAATGAAGGTGATGCAATCTTCAAAATCTTAGTTGTTTTTTCGAATAATGGGAAATTGATTTCTCGATATTTGAAAATACTAAATAATGGTTGAAGATATCCAATCAATGCAGAAACATATTTTCGAATGTCACCAACTTTATAGTTATAATGAATGATGAAATCATGAACAATTCGAATACGTTCGTCAATGTTACGATATTCATTTTCAATTTGTTGTTTGGTTTCTTTTAATTTATTATATTCTTGCTCATAATATAATTTAGATTGCAAAATATCTTGATATTTCTCTTTAGGAATCATATCACGTTCAATCTTTGTTAAGTTTGTCTGCATAGAATTGATAGATGTTTTTGTTTGATGTAATGAATGTTGTAACTTTTCGTTTTCTTCTTTCAATCGATCGTTTTCTGATTCAGTTGTAGCTTTATCTGATAAAAGATGTCGTGTTTCTTCTAATTCAGTCTTAATTGAAATGTGTTGTGATTTAAGTGATCGTAATTCTCTATTAAGACGTTCAATAGAAAGTTGCTTTTCGTCATTTGATTTATGAAGGTCATCAATTTCTGATGTCATCCTTAGTACTTGTTCTTCATATTTCTTGTTTGTTGTTTCTGATCGTTCAAGACGAATTTCAAGTAAATGATATGATTTTTCAAGTTCGTTCTTCTCATTAGATGTTGTGATAAATGAACGCTTTGTTGAATCTAACTCTCGTGAAAGTTGTTCGATTTGATTGATATATTCTTGGTTATTATTTTTAACATTGTTGTTATTTTTAATCTGAATTTCACTGATTACTTCATTAAGATGATTAACTTTCGCTTTCTCTGATCGGATGTTACTCTCTTTTTCAAGGATTTGGAGATGAAGTTGTTCATTTTGTTGACGTAATTCATTGATGGTTCCTTCTTTCTCTTTCGTTGAGATTGATAAAGTTTGTAATTTGTTTTCAAGATCTTGAATAGTTTGTGATTGATCACTCTTAGTACTTAAATCAATCAATTTCGATTTTAATTGATCAATTGTTGTGTTTTTATCCAAAATTTGTTTCGTTAAATCTTCAATCGTTTTATCATTCGTTTTAGACATGTTGTTCAGTTGTTCTTTCAAAATTTCGATTTCATTTTGTTTCTGTGAAATTTCTGAAACTTTAACCATCAACTCATTATCTTTCTTTGAAAGTTCATTTGTTTTAGATAAAAGTTCATTTTGTTTCTCTGAAAGTAATTTTCGTGATTCTGATTTTATTTCTAATATATCATTTCGAAGTGTTTTCTCACGTGATAATGATGATTTGAGTTCAGATTCAACAACAGAAAATCGTTCGGCCATTCGTGAAATTGTGTTGTGTAAGTCTGAGATTTGTTTTGTTTGGTCTTCAATGATCTTTGAATTCTTATCATCAATCTTAGATTTTGTTGGTGAAACTGTTAATTGTCGTTTCCTCAATTCATCTTCAACTGCTTTATAATGTTCAATTTCTTGTTCAAGATTTGAAATTTTGATTCGTTGTGAATCAAGTTCTTGTTCGGCAGCGAAATGTCTGTCGATAATATCTTTCTTTTCTGTTTCATGTTTATTTTCGATGCTTTCAAGTTTAGTTTCTAGTTCAGCTGAATATTTTTCAGCTGAAATTCGAAGTTTCTCGTTTTGTGAATTCTCTATTCGCAATCGATCAATTTCTTTCTCAAGATTTTTATTGATGTCTTTAGATTTATTTTTAGATGATTTCAACTCTTCGATTTGAGAAACTAAATCTTTGTTTTCTTGAGAAAGTTGATTGATTTGATTAGATAATTCTGAAATCTTTCTCTTGTTTTCATGATCTTCGTTTTCATATTGTGATTTCTGTTGATCTTTTTCTGATTTCTCCTTGGAAATTTGTCGCTTAAGTTCATTTTCGTTTTTAATTAAATTATCAATTTTTTCTTGGAGATTCTTGTTGTTTTCTTTCAGATTACGAATTTCTCGCTTAGATATTTCATCATTAGTTGTCATTTCGCCAATGGTTGAAATAGATTTCATGTGTTGCTGTCTCATTTCAGAAATAGTTCGTTCAAGATCATTATTCCTTGTTGTTAATGCTGAAATGTTTTGCGAATTAACACTCTTTTGATTTTCAAGTGATTTTTCAATTCGTTCGATTTCATTTTTTAGTGTTGTGTTTTCATTTGTCAACTTGTCATTTTGAATCTTGATTTCGTTGATTTCTTTAATTGATTTCTCTTTCAAAGTTCTGTAGTCTTCAAGAAGTTTGAAATTACTGGATTCTAATTTATCTTTTTCTTCTTTCAATGTTTTCATTTGAGAATTAATTGATGAAATCTTTCCATTTGCACTGGTTTCCTTCTCTGTGATATCTTCCAATTGACCAAGTAAATCTTTGTTCTGTTTCTTGAGTTCTCGAACTGATTTTTCTGTTTCACTCTTTTCGTTTGAAACTTTGTCATAAATTTCTTGCAAATTCTGTTTAGATCTCTTTATGTCTTCCAATTCAAGTTTTGTTGTTTGCAAGTCTCCACCTAGTTGACGATTTTCCGATTCCAACTGTGTGATCTTGTTAATTAAATCTTTCGAATTTCGATCAAATTTCTCATTTTCTTTAGAAAGATTTTCAATTTGATCTTCATTTTCTTTTTTAAGTTCATCATGTTTAGTTTGTAAATCATTGAACTGTTTCTGAAGATTCTCGAAATTAGTTTTCATTGTATTGAATTTAATTTCCAATTCATGCTTCTTTGTTTCACTTTCATCTAAAAGAACAACTTGATTACGAAGAGTTTTCTGCAAATTCGATTTTTCTTCATCAATTTTCTGGTAATTCTTCGTGTTGTCTTGGATTTGTTGTTCAAATAATTTAACTTTGCTGAACATGGAATCTAATCGACGTTCAAGTTCCTCATTGTTCTGTTTAGCACTAGAGATTTGTTTCTTAAGAGTTTCATTCTCTTCAACTTTATCATTAAACTTAGAATTAATTTGATTTAATGTTGATGTTTTCTCTTTGATTTCATTCTTAAGTTTATCAATAATTTCTTCTTGACTTTTAATTGTTTTATCTTTTTCGTCATTATCTTGTTTAGTGCTGTTGTAGATTTCCGTCTTTTCTGATACTGTTTTGATAAGATTTGTTGCATGTGACTTTGTTTGTGATAACTCATCTTCTAAGTTTTTGATTGTTTCTGTTTTGACAAAATTCTCTTTTTGTAACAAATTGTTCTGTTGTTTAAGTTCATTTTGTGTTTGATGAAGTTCTTCAATTTCATTCCTTTCTTTGTCTAAATCATCTAATGCAACTTGTAAACGTCGTTTAACACTCTTCATTTCACTTAATTCACGATCTTTTTCTGAAATTTCATCATGTAATTTAAGAATCATTTCATTAGATTGTGATAATTGATTCTTTTGTTGTTCATATCGATCTTGTAAACGCTTCAATTGATTGATTTCATCATCTTTGTCTTCGATTTGTTCATTCAGTTTGTTGATGATTTCTTTAGCATCTTTGATCTCTTTGTTTAATTTAATGATATCTTCTTTAGATTCATTATTCTTCTTAGAAATTTGTTCCAATGCTGTTGATAATCGTTTGATTCTGTCATTTGAGCTTTCATTGTTACTTTTCAGTTGAATTTTCTCGGTTTCAAGATTTGAAATTGTTTGGTTCAATTCTAAAATTGTCTTCTTCATTTGTTTGTGTTTGTTTGATGTTTCTGTTTGTTCATCATTATACTGTGATTGTGTCATTGACAGTGAGTTTTCCAATGATTTGACTTTTGTTTCTGATTCAGTTAATTTTTGTTTCAGATTTTCAATTTCTGTATGACTCTTTTCGAGTTCATTGTAAACTGATTCTGTTCTTGAATCTGACTCTTTGAGAGCTTTAGCCATCTTGTTTGTTAATTTCTTCTGTTCTCTCTGGATTCTCATTATTGCTGTTTCTTTTTCTTTCAAGTTATTTTCGAAATCATTTTTGAGATCCGAATATTTCTTTTCCAACTTTGATTTGTTTTCTTCATTATCTGTTTGGATTTGGATGATTTTGGCTTCATATTCTTTTCTGATTGTCAACTCTTTGTTCTTATTAGAATTCTCTGTTTCATCAATAGTGGATTTGAACTTAGTTTCATTTTCTTCGTTTTGCATTTTCAGAGCTAATATTTGTTTGTTCAATTGGTCAACCATCTTTTGAGCATCTTGTAAAATTGTTTCTTGTTGTTCATTCTTCTTCCTCATGTTCTCCATCTCTTCTTCCAAATCATTTATAGTCAAATTTGCCTTTTGTAAGTCATTTCTAACATTTGTTAATTCATTCTTGCTTTGTTTGATTGTGTTTTCTTGTTCCAAAAGAGAGATGTTTTTTTCTTCAATTATACTCTGTAATCTCTCGAATTCCTTCTGAGAAAGATCTTTTTGTAATTGTGTTTGGTTAGTTGTTTGCTCGAAATTGAGTTGTAATTCCGTTTTTTCTTGCAAAATAACTGTTTTCTCTTGTTCAATTTTAGATTTTTCTGTTTCTAAAATTGATTTTTCTTCCAAAATTGATGACTTTTCATTATTGAGTTTATCAATTTCTTCTTTGGATTTAGATAACTCATTTGTTAATTCAGCAACTTTAGAGTTCAGTGTTTTGTTCTTGTTGTCCATTTCTTGAAGTGATTTAGTAGTTTTCTCTAATAAATCTTTCATTCTATTTTCTAATTTAACAATTTTATTTTGTTTCTTGGCAATCAACAAATCTCTCTTTTTGTTTTGTTCGTTTTGAGCCAAAACAGATTCATTCTGTTCATCGGAAATGGCTTTGATTTGATACTGCAATGATGAGTTTTCTAAATCTTTATCTTTGATTTCACGTGCAAATTCTGAATTCTGTGTTGTCAAAGTTGTCATTGTATCTTGTAAATCACTGATATCACGTTTCATTTTTTCATTATCTGCCTTAGATTGATTTAACAAATCTATAATGATATTTAACAATTTCTTTGAGTTCATGTGTTTCAAATTTGATAAATCTGTGTTATTTTTAACAATTTCAATCAATTTAGATCGAACAAATTCAATTTCTTTAGTAAGAACATTGAAATCATTCATAACAACTTCAATTAATTTGTTATCATCCATAGGAGAAAGAGTATCAAACCTTGATAATATATCTGTTAAAACCTTCCTCAGTTTTTCATAATTTTCGGTTGTTTGTGTCACTTTTTCTGTCAAATTTTTGATTTTTTCATCATTTTGAGTGAATATCTTATATAATGAATCTAAATCACTGATGTTCTGTGAAACACTTCCACTATTGATGATAATCACTGATGTTTCGACAGGAACAATTTTATTAGTAACTTCTGTAACTTTTTCTTGTAATTTATGATATTTTTCTTTGACTTTTTGAATATCTTTTTCCAAACTATCTTCTCTCTTAAGTGAATCTTCAAGAGCGTTTCTGCAACTGATTAATTTAGCTTTCATGTCATTAATTGTGTCGTCATCAAGTTTGGATTTATTCATAGCGTTTTCAATTGCTGTTTGTGATCTGGCGAAAACTTCTGTTTGTTCTAATATTTGGGATTGGAAAGTATCAATTGTTTTGTCTTTGTTTTTGATGTCTGATTTAAGATTTTCAATTTCTTTATGCAAAAATTGATTTTCATTTTGCAAATCCTTCAATGTGTTTTGATCATTTTCCGATTTTTGTCTAAATGAATCAAATTCAACTGATTTTCTCTGCAAATCTTTCAATTCAACAGTTAATTCTTTAATCTTCACATCTTTCTTCGAAATAGAATCTCTTAAACTATCATTTAGATTTTTAACTTCTCCTAACTCTTGTGCCGCTTTTTCGTATTTTTGAATTTGTTTTGCTGCAACTTGCAAACTTAATTTGATTTCACTAACTTTTTTGGCCAAAGCATCATTGTTCTTTGAAGCAATTTCGTAATCAGAAATTGCTTGATATGCAGAATTAAGTTTGTTATTCAGATCATTCACCAAATTTTCAAGATATTTCATTCTATCGTTTTCATCTTGAAGTTTTCTTATTGAGACACCATTTTTATCATTATCTTTTTGTAGATAATTTACTTGGTCTTTTAATTTGTTGTTTTCTGAATTAACTGTTTCATTCATTCTTTTAAGCATCAAAATTAATCTAGAAATCTGTGTCAAGGCATAAATTGGTTCGTTATTTGCTTCATTCAAGTGTTCTGTAGCTACTTCATTAACCTTATTTTGTAAACCATTCAAATGGTTTGTTAGATTTTGAATAACGGTTAATTTATCGTTTAACAAATCTTTAATAAGATTGAATTCATTATTAAAATCATTTGGATTTGTTGAACTGTGTTTAGCATCAGGAACTAAATCTTTACAAAGATTTTGAACTTGTTTCCTTAAATACTTAAGTTGATCTTCGTAATTTTTTGTCAGTTCACTTTTTTCATTTTCAAATTTTATTTTGTTGTCATCTAATTGCTCTTTTAATTGTAATATCTCGTTTGCTTGTTCCTTAATTGCATCATTAAGTTTGTCATCATTTTTATCATTTTCTAAAAGTGAAATTTGATTTTTCAATTCAGATTTTTCATTTTCATTCTTTGCTAAAATTTGTTTTAATTTTTTAATTTGGTCTTTCATATTTTCTATTTCATTATCTTTTAATTCTTGTAATTTTTGTTTCTCCTCTTCTTGGGACTCAATCTTCTTCAATAAATCTTGGTTTTGTTGTTTAATTTTATTGTTATCATTTTGTAAACCTTTCAATTTTAAATCATTTTCCTTTAATTTCTTCAGAAGCTTTTTGATATTATTTTGATTATCTTTGTCCTTTGTATTCAATTCTTCATTAAGTGATTTAAGAGTAGAAATGTCACTTTTATCATTTTCTTTCAATTTTTTCATTTCTTCAATTTGTTTTGAAATTTCCTTGATTTGGTTTTCTTTTTTAGCAATTTCATCTTTAAGCATGTTCCTATCATCATAATTACTATAAAACTGTGTTAATTGTTGATCTTTGTCGTTGATATCATTTTGCATTTTATCAATTTTGTTTTGCATCTCTTCTATTTGTTTTTTAAGTTGATCTCTTTCATCAGCAAGTCTTTGTTCTGCTTCTGAACGTTCTGTCATCAATAATTTTGATAATTTTTCTGCTTCATCATCTGAATTTGATGATTCTAAGTCAGAATCAAGTTCAACAATTGTAGTATTGTTTTGTGAGTTGTTCTGTTGCAATTGTGTTAAAGGGGCAGTCTGAGAATTGAGTTGGTCATTAGTTTGTCTTAATTTTTCTTCTAATTGCAAATTTCTTTCTTGTAAAACTTTCATTCTTTGTTGAACAACAGGAGATTGTGTTACATGGATTGTTGTAGAGTCTGTTTTTCTTGATTGTTGTTGATCATTTTCCATTTGGTTAATAAAATACATTTGTTGTTGAGTTTCTTGTTTTAATTTGGTATTTTCGTCTTTTAACTTATTGTTTTTATCAATTAAAATGGCTATGTCTGTTTGGAACTTCTGTAATTGTTCTTTGGCTTGAGAAATTTGTTGTGCAAAAATTTCTTGAGAATTTGCATTTTGTTTGTTGATTTTCGATTGCAATTCTGCAAGCTGCGATCGTAATTTTTCTTTTTCTTCATCATTTGCGGAATTTAAGTTTAAATTTTCAGAGAATTTTTGATCAGATGAAGCATTCATTGAATTTTGCGAAATATTTAATTTTAATTGTGTATTTTCTCTTACGAGTTTCTCATTTTGGCTTGCTAATTCTTGATTTTCGCGATATAAATCGTTTAATTGTGATCTTGAATATCTTTCTGCAGCTTTTCTGCGATATTCAAGCTGAATAGTATCCCTATTGAGAGTATTAAGTTGTGGTAATGTGAAAGTGATAAATAAAAGAACAGATTCGTTAAAACTTAATTGAGTTCCTTCTAAATCTAAAGATCTCAAATTTGTAAGTGGAACTAAGCTAATAATAGAGTCTGTATTTGAAATAGGATTGAATGCTAATCGTAATACTGAAAGATTTTTAAGTGAAGATATTGTTGGCGGAATTTTCTTAATATTATTATGGGAAAGTGTTAAATCTTGAAGTGTAGTTATAGAGAATAGAGGCTCAATGTTGACAATTGTGTTATAACTTAAATTTAATCGTTTTAATTTGGGTAATGACTGGAAAGCTGATAGATCAGTGAATGCATGGCCAATCAAAGATACCTCTTTGAGATTTGAATACTTTTTAAATGGCTCGATTTGAATAATTCTTCCGATTTTGGATGAAAAGTCGAGAGTTAAAGCTGTTTTATCATCTGATTTCACTCCATTACTAATTTTATCAATAAAATCGTCGTTTAATGTGATATTCTGAGTGTTACCTGATCCCTTGCTCATCAAATTAAACGGTCACCGCAAGAAATATTCAAAAAATGCAAGTAAATATCAAATTTTATGCTATTTATTTAAGGTATATTCAAGAATTTGTCAACAAATAAAGCTTGAGAACATTTTTTTTATCTCGGTTGAAAGTTACAAGCTCTCAATTTTCGTCCCTTTTGTACGTTTATTATAATTGTAGCATATTGTCATCAAGCACGCGACTAACCAGCAAAGACGTGTCCTCTAATTCCGTCCCTAGTTCAAAAATCTGGAACTATTTAAGCAAAAACATTCGATTTCAAAATCAAGCATTCTTTATTCAACGAGTAAAACATTAAAGTATGATTTGTCATACACGGAATAATGACAAGCTCTTAGAGTATGTTTAGTACAGAGTTACTGCCAACTTGAGTTCTTGAATTTGGTAAGTTAGAACAAAAGAAGCCATATGTCGCATCTAAGGACTTGTACTTATCAGAGTATTACTAAATGTTTAAGAATGTTAGTTATTCGTCCCAAACTCGTACGTTTCCACGCGAATCTTGATAATAAATATACTATTTTGGACTTTTTGCAATAAATCTCTTTTTACCACATTAGCATATCTGTGTGTATGCTACTTAACCTCTTTAGAGACCATTAAGATAATGTTTTTTGATACTTTTTCAAGACTATGCCATAAAGTAAACGAATAATTTACAAAATGATATTAAAAAATTTAATTTTATTATGCTTTTATAAATATTGAGACTTTTTAGGACTATTTTAAAAATGTAAATAGATCAATCATTTTAATATTAGATAAGATAATCTAAAGACGTCAGATGTTTCAATAACTTCAGATCAATGACTAATATGAAATTTAAGATTTGTGTTAATTTAAGAATTAACAATGGAATCTGGTTTAGAAAGATGGAAAGCATAGAGAATCTAAAGGATAAGAGAGATTAAATACAAAATGCTGCATAAAAAGGCAGATCAGTGAGAAGAAATCATGAGGTTAAAAAGGAACATTCAAATTAGAATATAACATTGCATATTACAATATTAATATTAAAGATAATACTGCACATCATTGTGCAGTGATCCATAAATCAATATTAATATCTCATATGATAAAATCTAATATCATATTACAATATTAATATTAAAGATAATACTGCACATCATTGTGCAATTACACTATTTTAAATATTTTCATAAATAATGACTTACAAGTTAAAAAAATGTAGAATTAACTGCATGATCCAATATTGGACCGAATGTATGTTTGAATCTATAACTGAATTCATTAATGACAAAAAAGTGACTCTATAACTGAGTATCTGGCTGACAATATGCCTGAAAGTTTGAATGTGTCTAGGAATATAACTGACAGTTTGAGTGACATTTTGAATGAGGGTTTGGTTGTCAGTATAACTCAAGGTTTGAGAGAGAATATGACTCACAGTTTGACTGACAATATGACTTAGAGTTTGAGTGACAGTATGAACAACAGTTTGGGTGATAGTATGAACTACAGTATGACTGAGAATATGACTGACGGTTTGACAGACACTTTGACTTACGGTTTTAGTTAGAATAAGACTGACAGTTTGAGTGACAATATAACTGACGGTTTGACTGACAATATGACTTACGGTTTTATTTAGAATATGATTGAGAGTTTGGGTGACAATATGACTCATAGTTTAAGAGAGTGTATGACTGATGGTTTTAGTGAGAATAAGACTGACAGTTTGGGTGACAATATGACTGTTGATTTGAGTGAGTGTATGACTGACAAGTTGAGTGGCAATATGACTTCGGTTTGACAGACACTATGAATTAGCTTTTTAGTTAGAATAAGACTGACAGTTTGAGTGACAATATGACTGACAGTTTGACAGCCTCTATGACTTAAGGTTTTATTTAGAATATGACTGACAGTTTGACTGACAATATGACTGACAGTTTGACTGACAATATGACTGTTGATTTGAGTGAGTGTATGATTGAGAGTTTGGGTGACAATATGACTCATAGTTTAAGAGAGTGTATGACTGATGGTTTTAGTGAGAATAAGACTGATAGTTTGAGTGACAATATGACTGACGGTTTGACACACACTATGAATTAGCTTTTTAGTTAGGATAAGACTGATAGTTTGACTGACAATATGACTGTTGATTTGAGTGAGTGTATGATGAGAGTTTTGACAATATGACTCATAGTTTGAGAGTGTATGACTGATGGTTTTAGTGAGAATAAGACTGATAGTTTAAGTGACAATATGACTGACGGTTTGACACACACTATGAATTAGCTTTTTAGTTAGGATAAGACTGATAGTTTGAGTGACAATATGACTGTTGATTTGAGTGAGTGTATGATTGAGAGTTTGGGTGACAATATGACTCATAGTTTAAGAGAGTGTATGACTGATGGTTTTAGTGAGAATAAGACTGATAGTTTAAGTGACAATATGACTGTTGATTTGAGTGAGTGAATGACTGACAGTTTGACTGACAATATGACTGACGGTTTGAGTGACAATATGACTGACGATTTGACTGACAATATGACTGACGGTTTTAGTGAGAATAAGACTGATAGTTTGGGTGACAATATGATTGTTGATTTGAGTGAGTGTATGACTTACAGTTTGACTGACAATATGACTGACGGCTTTAATTAGAATATTACTGACAGTTTGAGTGACAATATGACTCTGGTTTGACAGACACTATGAATTAGCTTTTTATTGAGAGTAAGACTGACGGTTTGACCGACAATATGACTGACGGTTTTATTTAGAATATGATTGAGAGTTTGGGTGACAATATGACTCATAGTTTAAGAGAGTGTATGACTGATGGTTTTAGTGAGAATAAGACTGATAGTTTGAGTGACAACATGACTGACGTTTTGACTGACAATATGAGTGACGGCTTTAGTTAGAATATGACTTAGAGTTTAGCTGACAATTGGCTGACAGTTTGAGTGACAATATGACTGAGAGTTTGACTGACAATATGACTGACGGTTTGAGTGAGTGTATGAATGAGAATATAACTGACGTTTTGACTAACAATATGACTGCCGGTTTGACATCGAAATTCATTCATATATATGTATTGATCAATGCAATCACCCTATTTAATATTATTATTTATCAATTAATTTTTCATTACTACATGCTCTCAATTATTATGACATTAATATTTATCAATAAATATTTCATTACTATATGCTCCCACCCAATTTGACATTATTGTTCTTTGACAAATTTTTCTTTATTAAAGACACTCTCACAAATTCATATCAATATATTTTAATTATCACCTATTCCAATCCATTTTCATATTCATATTCTTATTGAGTTAGAATAAATTGAGGATGACTGAGAATCAAATTATAATTAGTGAGAATCAATTGAAGAATACTGGGAGTTAATTAAGGTTGTTTAAGAATAAATTGTGAATAAGTGACAATCAATTGAGGATGAGTGAGAATCATTTGATTATTAGTGAGATTCAACTGAACATCAGTGAGAATCAATTGAATAATACTAAGAAGAAATTGAGGAAGAGTGAGAATCACTTGATTCTTAGCGAGAATCAATTAAGGATGAGTAAGAATCAATTAATAAGTAGTGAGAATCAATTTAGGGTGACTGAGAATCAATTGATTCTTAGTGAGAATCTATTGATAATTAATGCGAATCAATTGATTATTTGTGAGAATCAATTGATCAGTAGTAGGATCAATTGATTATTTGTGAGAATCAATTGAAGATGAGTAAGAGTCAATTGAGGATGAATATGTGTCTATTCTGATATGACTTAGTATCTACTGAGGCTAGATGCTAACATCTTACTTTTATGATCATAATTTTTCAACTCCATTAATATTTATAACAATATTTTGATTACTATTTAAATAATTTTATCAAATGATAATTATTAACATATATTAAGAGTATGTTTAATTTTCAACATACTCTTAAAAATCCGAAATTTTAAAAAGTGACAATTTTTTTAATGCTAAACCATCTTCATCTACCATTAAATGTTTCGGATGATTTGATTTTAATTCAGTTGGGTTCTATTAGATGTAATAGTGTAAATTCTGATTCAACAATTTATATTATTCTTCCAATAAACCCTATCAAAAAGAATGGTATACAAATAAAATAACTTATCAAGATGGTAAACCTAAATTCACTGTTTTGGATTCATTATCAAATGCATATGTCGGAGATTCACCATCATATCCTTGGGGACAAATCGTTTCAAAAATCAAAGAATTAAACAGAAATATTAAGAATGTATATAATTTTGGACATAAATTATTTGGATTTGAAAATAAATCTATCATTTGTTATTTGGAGGAACTCAAAGAGCGTTTTATCTCGAATAGCGATGAAGTAAAGTATCTTCAAACATATGAAACAACACCTAAATTTCAGAAATCCGCTGAAGCTTTTACAGAAATGGTAAATATGATTATAAGTGAAAAATATTTGCAAACAGATCTCAGTCAAATTAAAATCAAAATCCATCGTCTAGGGGAACAATATATTCTTAAATTTTTAGAAGCATTTATAATTGCCCGCCCCAAATTTTATGCACAGGTTATAGGTTTCTTACAAAATTTTTCATTTGACCAGGAATTATACTCAAAAGCAGGAATTTCTAAACCATTAATACAAGCAATAATTAATGGCGATAAAAGATATTCGAATATTTTTGCTTTTTCAGGAAAATCGTGTGATTTAACAATCGAAGATTTTATTAATGTTTTAATTTCAGATCAAACAAATCAAAATGGTGAAGAATATTATCAAATACGTATCAGATCTATATTGGATAATAGTAAATATTCTTTCTATGAACTAGCAGTTAAATTTGAATCAATTAATATTTTAAATTCGTGTAATATAGATAATGTTACACCAATCATGAAAGCATTGATAATGTCAAGCCCAAACGAAACAATTTTCAAAATGAATGATAAATTCAATTTGCAGACTTATCAATTTACAAACCAAATCAAGTATGTTTTATCTTTTGCATACAATATCTCAGAGTTATTTTCTACATTTAGAAATCCATTACTCTCTTCGATTGTTTCAACAAATAATATTATATCAGTAATGAATTTGAATGAAAGCAAAGTTATTCGTTTAAAGATTCATTTAATCTTCCATGAGGCCCTAATTCAAAATAATGATTTTATGTACAAGAACTTTAATGTTTTGAATCAAATAAAAAACAATGACCTTCTGGAAATTTTAGCAAAAGCTTGTTTGAAAGCTGACAAAAAAATTCAAGCAGATTTTGAACAAATCATGGGTATTAAATTTACAGCGATCAAACAATTTCATGAATCCATAGAAAAAATTCCAGTTGATCGGTCTCCAATTACAATAGATGGTTGCCATATTTGTTTTGAATGCTCTAAAAATACTGATATTGAAAAACTCAAATCAATGCAATTAATTCTAATAAGCCCTGGTATTCATATCAATGTGTTAACTTATGAACAAACATTGAAGTTTTTGGAACAAATGCCAGCATTTATTCATTTGGGCCTTTCCAATATAAGTTCTGATCGATCTGTAAACTTAAATTATTTTCTACTTCAAAACGAAGGTTATTCCCCTTTAAAAATTTCTACAGATAATTATTATTACTTTAAGATCACATTGTATGACAAAATCGTATCCTTTGAATATTCAAAAGTATCAGATACGTTGTGGATGATTACTGTACCAAAAAACATGAAAAACATAAAATTACCCAAAGAGTTTTCAGGGAGGTTAAAATGGTACATTCAAATAACGAAAGTTGATCTCCCAGGACATCCTCTGCAAGATGAAATACAGGAAAAAATAAAGCATGAGAATGAGATTGGTGATATCTTAACTTCATATCCCGGGAAATTTTATGTAAATTATAGCACAACGATAAGAAGTGATAGTTTATTCGTCAATGGAAATCCTATAGAATTTCTTATATATATTCCAAGCGAATCAGGAAATTTGGCGTTGGAGTGTAATTTAATTCACTTAGATGCTACTTTTTCATGGCCGAAATATATATTTATTTTTCCTCGTGGTAATTACTATATATGCGAGGTTACCCTCTAGGGATATACATAGGGCGCAGCGAATCATCCGCTGCTTATCAACGGTGGCTTACAGCCATGAATATTGAATTTAAATCATTAAACATTATGGAGCACTTTTCAAGAATCAAATGGATGAGCGATTTAGGTACTGGAGTTTTAAAATTTTTGAATACGAATCATTTCCAAAATTATATCTGTATTAGGCACTATCTCGGAACCATGGGCAATAATACTTTACTACATGTTTTTGCTCTGATAGTATTATTATCAAAATTGGCCCAAGATTTTGAGGACAATTACAAATGTTTTGATCCATCGGTTCAGAAAATGTATGCTACAAAGAATATATCAGATGAGCAGCTGGAAAAATGGAAGCAGATATATAAAGATCAAGAGCATTTAGTAGTAGGGATGCGACGGTTTTACGCCATGACTGTTTAAAAATAGAATAATACGCCATTTTTGGGGCCGAATGGCGGGTACGAAGTAGCCGCCATTCGGCCGAATAACAAAACAATACAAAATTATCGCCGTCCTTTTTTTTCTTTCTTTCTTTCTTTCTCTTTTTTTTCTCTCTCTCTTTCTTTTCTCTTTCCTCTTTTTACTCCTCTTTCTCTTTTCATCATTAAACGTAGAAAGATATATTAATATTATTTTAAAATTAAAAAAAAATAAAGAAAGTATAATAAGTAATTATTTAGTTATCGATATATATATGTAAAGTGATAATCTGAGGAGGAGTCTGAGGATTAGACCGAGGAGTAGTCTGAGGAGTTTGATGATAATCTGAGGAGTTTGAGGAGTAGTCTGAGGAGTAGTTTGAGGAGTTTGAGGATAATCTGAGGAGTTTGAGGAGTAGTCTGAGGAGTTTGAGGATAATCTGAGGAGTTTGAGGAGTAGTCTGAGGAGGAGTCTGAGGATAATCTGAGGAGGAGTTTGAGGATAATCTGAGGAGGAGTCTGAGGATAATCTGAGGAGGAGTTTGAGGATAATCTGAGGAGGAGTCTGAGGATTAGACCGAGGAGTAGTCTGAGGAGTTTGAGGATAATCTGAGGAGGAATCTGAGGATAATCTGAGCATAATCTGAGGAGGAGTCTGAGGATTAGACCGAGGAGGAGTTTGAGGATAATCTGAGGAGGAGTCTGAGGATTAGACTGAGGAGTAGTTTGAGGATAATCTGAGGAGTAGTTTCAGGAGTAGTCTGAGGACTAGTCTCAGGACTAGTCTGATGAGGAGGACTCTAAGGAGTAGTCTGAAGAGTAGTCTCAGGAGGAAGATCTGAGGAGGAGTCTTATGAGGAAGATCTGAGGAGGAGTCTGATGAGGAGGGGTCTAAGGAGTAGTCTGAGGATGATGAGTAATCTGATAAGGAGTAGTCTGAGGATGATCTGAGGATAACCTGATGACTAGTCTAGGAGTGGTCTAATAAAAATGTAAAATATTTTCAAAGAAAAAATTCTATGAATTTTATATTTTAATTCTTAGCATTATACTGAATAAAATAAACATAAATATCAAAATTTGAAATTGAACACGCCAAAAAATTGATAATCCACATTCAATATTTTGTAAGTGGCGTACTTTTTGAATACTCGCCATACGCCTTGGAGTTCTCAATTTTGAATTCGCCTTTATTTGGGCGACCTCAGAAAAATACGCCATTAAGAAAATATTGTATGAGATTTTAAATTTGAACACGCTCTACCTTAAGGAATTAAATTTATTAAGATATATTTATATATAATAAACGATTACTTAAAAAAAGTATTTCATCGCTTATGTAAGTTTCAAAAAAATCACGAAAATAAAAAAATCAAGATTAAAATTTTATTTTTAATTTTTGAATTTCTCAAATGGCGAAATTTTTGGGCGAACAAAAAAATGTACGCCCGGTCAAATGGCGTGTTTAACGCATCCCTATTTAGCAGCATACCACCGCATTCCACCTATAAGCACTAATAATAGTGCAGAGGGTAAGCATAGACACATTAACGAACTTGCAAAAAAAGCAAGAAACTTTTCTACTTTCATCAAATTCATTCTGAATGATACTATCATTAGGATTAATGAATCAATTGATCCCATTAATAAGCAAAAACGCGAGAAGAATGACTTGTTAAACGAAAAATGCATACATTGCGGATTCTCCTATAATGATATTAATACTGATAAGAATCCTTGTAAATATTGCAAGGATTTCTTTATGAATAAGAGTCATGTTCCCTCTGCAGGCATACATGTTATGAAAATAGGAGAAAATGTAGGTGAAATCATAGAATTCCCAATCGATAAAAATGTAGGTGCTCAGGATGAACTCGTGGATCACAAAGAAAAGAGTTCGCCGATCGAAATATCAAAATACGCAGAATTTATTGATATTGACGATAAAAATAAAGCAGTTTTAGTCGTAAAACTGCTTTATAATCTTGAAACGTTCCAAGATGCCAAAGATTTAATCAATTCTCTGGAAAAACAATCAAAAAATTATGAATCTGCATTACAAAATAAACCAGAAATTTGGTTGGAAAAATACTTGCCTGAATTAATGAAGGAAGTAAAAGATGCGAGAGCTGCTAGAATGAGATTGAAGATAATAAAGAAGTAGAGATGATGAGTGAATAAAAACTTTGTATTAAATTTGTATATAAGAGAATTGTAAAATATAAAAATAAAGAAGTGGTTGATAGGAATTTGAAAATTCGTTGGGTGCATATAAGTTTGATAAATATATCTATGAATATTAATGTCAAATTGGGTGGTTGCGTGATAGAATGCTTCTGTGGATGTGTGGCGTGAGTTAGCATCGGGTGGTTGCGTGATAGAATGCTTCTGTGGATGTGTGGCGTGAGTTAGCATCGGGTGGTTGCGTGATAGAATGCTTCTGTGGATGTGTGGCGTGAGTTAGCATCGGGTGGTTGCGTGATAGAATGCTTCTGTGGATGTGTGGCGTGAGTTAGCATCGGGTGGTTGCGTGATAGAATGCTTCTGTGGATGTGTGGCGTGAGTTAGCATCGGGTGGTTGCGTGATAGAATGCTTCTGTGGATGTGTGGCGTGAGTTAGCATCGGGTGGTTGCGTGATAGAATGCTTCTGTGGATGTGTGGCGTGAGTTAGCATCGGGTGGTTGCGTGATAGAATGCTTCTGTGGATGTGTGGCGTGAGTTAGCATCGGGTGGTTGCGTGATAGAATGCTTCTGTGGATGTGTGGCGTGAGTTAGCATCGGGTGGTTGCGTGATAGAATGCTTCTGTGGATGTGTGGCGTGAGTTAGCATCGGGTGGTTTCATCACAAATTTTAACCCATCCAAATCTTATTAATTATTAAAATTCTTTTACAATTTCTGATGTATTTTTTGAAAACATTTCATATGCAATATTTCTCCTTTTCTTTCCTCAAATCTTCAGATATTGGGGGTCGAAAATTGAGAGCTCATATCTTTAAGTGTTTTTATCTCTGTTCAATAACTTTCTATAGATTATATTTAGGCTTCAACTGCATATCATATAAGCAGTTGTTAGCTTTTTAGTTGAGTATGGAAGCTAAGGGCATAGTAGAGAGTGAAATATGTTATTATTGCAATCTTTCAATAAAAATATACTTTAAAAATAGATATTTTTGTATAAATTCATTTATTAATAGGTTATACAATGAATGGTATGTGTTTATTGAAAGAAATTGTCAAATTCAAGTATTTAATAGTCTTTTGCAATTGATTATGTGAATAATACTACGAAACAAATCATAATGTTTCTGTTTCTATCTTCTCCTCTGCCTAAGAGCCATGAATGACCTGAGATTGATAGATTCTGAAAATGGATCCGCAAGTATAGGAAGTGATTGTTTTGTTCTGCATTCCTCTTCTGAAAGGTGCTTCAATTCATTCTTGATTTCTTCATTATAAGTGTTTTTGATTGTTACACCCTCTGAGTATTGTACATTTCTTAGAAAACAATTAATAACTTCTATTTGACCAATGGCATCCTTATGAAATGTATTAACTCCATGGTTATCAATGATATTACATTCTTCGATTGTTAACTTTTCTGAAGAAAAAAAATCGATAACATGATCTTGAGCCGAGTTGCCAATAATGTTGTATTTGTATATTTTCGGTGAGGAAAATGCATAGTAATATATACAATATAATTCTGTTGATGTATTATTTAGTAATGAATTGAAAGCTGAAATCGATTCTGACCCATGCGTTTCTAATGAATACCCACATGCTGAGTTTGTTTTAAAGTGAGATATATTTGTTTGTGTAATGTTTTGAATTCCATTTTCTAAGCAAATTGGTGATTCTCCCTTGTTAATTTCAGAAAATCTTAATATGATGCTTTCAATAATGTAATTTTTGGATAAACTACCGGATTGTGAACAGAAACAGTATTGTCCCTGCCCTGGTGTGGAACAATTGAAAGAGCATATTCTGTGATGAACAATTTCGCTTTCTTGAGTGAAAACAGCACCACCATCTTCTGATTGATGTGATACATCAATAAAAGTACTATCTTCGAACAGAAATTTAGAATTACCTACTGAATAAACTGCACGATTTTTAAGATCGATGAAGAAACAATCTTTGATGCAATAGTTTTCGTTAGCCAAATCAGTGCCACCATTTACATATTCATATTGACCATCAAAATAATCATTGAAATCTTGATTGATGAAAAAAAGCCTTATTATATTTTCATTTATTTGTTTAACTTTTTTCTCTCAGAAAAATTGAGATGACGATCCGATTGTTCAATTACAAAAACAACCAAAAATGCAAAGTAGTGATATTTAACATAGCAATAAATTTGAAACAAAAGTGACATGATATAATAAAAACACATTTTCAAGCGTTTTATACATAATTACATACTTATATGTATGGCAGTCCCAACGGGAACCGCGGTAATTTACCGAGGTTTCCGCACACCGGTTCCTTTTTTTAGGAATTTTTTAGATTAAAAAATATGCTTTGTAAATCATTTTTTGTAAATCGGCAAAAATTTGGAAATATTCTGACGACAATAAATCTGGGAATAGTATTTGAAATACGAGAACAACCTATTTAAAAGTGTTTCGCTTGTAATAAACAGAAATTCATCAAAAGTGACAGCTCTCAATTTTTTGACATTTGTAAATTCTAAATTGAATGAGAAAAATGAAATAATACTAAGCATAATACAATATTCTAGATTTAATTATAATTAGGAAAAAGTTAGTTTTGAGAGTACTTTTCATAGGCATATAGAATGAAATCTTCTGAAAAATAATATCACATAAACTCATATTATTTTCTAATATATAACTATTTATATAAAATCAAATTCAATGATCTTAAAAGCGAAGGATAAACCTCAAAATTTACGAATATAATGAGTGGGAATAGGCGTAAAGCAAAAATTGATATTTCATATGGTTTTATGATAGATAAGCATTATATTCCCACTCATTATATTCGTAAATTTTGAGGTTTATCCTTCGCTTTTCAGATCATTGAATTTGATTTTTATATCAAATAGTTATATATTAGAAAATAATATGAGTTTATGTGATATTATTTTTCAGAAGATTTTGTGTTCTTCTTCAAAATTTTGCTTTTTTATTAAAAAGAATCTTTACAAAATATACATTTACTTTAATTAATATTTAAAAACGTGCTCTATCAAAAGTTCCAAAAATTCAATATTTTAGCTTTTCTGAGGTGTCACTTTTGATGAATTTCTGTTTACAACACGCTCGATTTTGTATAATTTCAAATTTTCGCATATAGCTTTCCGTGAATTACCGTGATTTTACCGCCACATCAATAGTTTACGACACTTTTTCCGTAAATTGAGTAGTTTACTGCACTTTTTCCGTAAAATTGAGTTACGGGAATCCGTAAGATTACCGTACCTCACTTTTAGTTGAAAATAGCATTAGTATATAATAAATAGATATATTATTCATATTTTTGATTTTGAATTACGGAAAAAGTGAGTTCAGAACTTCCAATTATTATTTGATTAATTATGTTAAAAATACTATAAGGAATTAAAATACATAATGTTGAAATTTGAATTACGGAAAAAGTGAGGGTGAAAGTGAAGTGAAAAAGTAAGATATTTTTTGTTGAAATAATCATAGTTGTACAATTTTGAAACTATATGTAAAGCTATAAATTGGATAAATTCAAAAACAAAAATTGTTTATTCTTATTAATAAATTTATATTAATCAATATTTGAACAACCCGTAATTAAAATTGAATTCCTCTTAAAATTTAATCCATACGTTAATTTTTAATTTGCTCGGTGAATGCCGAGCTTCCCTACTTCTCTTGTCATTCCTTCAAAAACTCTAATCTCATCGCACTTACAAACATCATGATTTGATGTATTGTCGAGAAATCTTAGACTTGTTTGTCATTTGATGATAGCATTTGAAAGTCATCTCGAAAATCGATTAACAAGACAATTTCCCAAACATCTACATACAAGTAGATGATGGTAAACCCATTAGAGTTGTTTTGCTATGATTCCTCCAATCTTATGATGAGAAAAATCATATCAAAACAGCTCTAATCGAACATTCTACACAGCTTAGCATCCAGCTAGTTCCAAGTAATGCGATTACAACATCAACGGCCAAAGCCTTTCAGAGTCCTTTAATCATTTCTTCTCATCTCAATGTGAAGTGGCCCCAAACGAACTACAAGCTGACGTTACAACGCATTACAACCCGGTTAATACGAGCATATACATTAGAGCTGCTTTGTTATGATCTCCTCATCAATTGATGAGAGATCTCATTATGAAGCAGCTCCAATCGAACTAAAAACCTACATACAAATGAGTGAAAACAAATTCATTAGAGTTGTTTTGCTTTGATTTCTCTCATCAGAAGATGAGAGATACCAGAACAATACAACTCTAATCAAACTTTCTACACAACTCAGCACAGTATCAATGCAAAGTAATGCGTCTGTATCGTTAACAAGCAAAGTTGTTTCGGGTCCTTCCATTTTGGAAGAATTCGGAACAACTTTGCGAATTGATAGTGTAAACCCATATACATGAAAGCGTGCATGCATAAAGACAGGTATTGTCAGCAATGACTACCTGCCCAGCTATGAGTGATCAGAGAATTACCATCTCAGGCTTTTTGAGAACGTTTCAGCCAGGACCCTCGTATGTTGACTGTGAGAAAGGCATCCTTTATCTGAAATAGATGCTTTTCCAACAATCAAATTCGAAGATCTTCGACGTTGTTGTAAAAAGAGAAGGAGAAGGAAAGAAGAGGAAGGAGAGGAAGAAGGAAAGGAAAGAAGAAGAAGAAAAAAGAAAAAAAAGAAGGACATATTAAATATAATGCGCACTTAATAGTGCCGAGGCGCGATTTTTTTGACCCTATATTACCGCACGGCAATGTTTTCTCGATTTTGTACAGCCCTACTTATATGTCATAATTGAATTTGTTTTACGTATCGTTTGAAGCTTTTTGTGGAACAGTTGAAAATGAACTTCGCTATCCAGGGGATGTGATATGTGTTTCATCATTGGCCATCTCAAGCCAATCAAAATGCTAAATTCCGAATTGATTTTTCAAATCAGATATCGAAAGAAATTTTGTGAATGAAATGATTTTATTATATAGTCTTAATCTCGTAAACGAAAAAGAGGATTTGACGCAGTCAAATCCTCTCTCTCAAAAAGTGGACTTTACATGGCAAATTTCAAATGCATGTAAGGTCCACTTTGATCAGTTTCAGGATGGAATTGGAGGCCATGAGGTACTGACATTGCATCAGTATCTCATAGCCTCCAATCCCTTCAAAAAATGGGAGAAACTTTGGTCGAATAATTTAACATTCGGCCAAAGTTTCTCCCATAATTAATGAGAATGAAAGGGTAAGAGGCATATAGAGTCACTATATACCTCTTACCCTTTCATTTTCATTTGGAGGTCAACAAACCCGGAGTTAATTGCAAACAATTAACTCCAAATTTGTTTATGTTAAGGAAGGAATTGGAGGGTAAGAGGTACATAGTATGAATATGTACCTCTTACCCTGCAATTCCTTCTAGAAAGTTCCAAAACTTTGGGTTAATTGCAAACTATTAACCCAAAGTTTTGGAACTTTCAAGTGGAGATGGAAGGCTTTGGGGTATACATTAATATAATATACCTCAAAGCCTTCCATCTCCACTACAAATGGGAGAAACTTTGTCCGAATAGTTTAACATTCGGACAAAGTTTCTCCCATCTTTCAATGTAATTGCTACCTGTGAGGTACTGACTTGAAGTCAGTGCTTCACAGGTAGCAATATCCAAAAATTTAAAAACATTTTATCAGTTCGTTAGAGAACTAGAGCCTCCTAGGTACTGAACCAGAATCAGTGCCTAGGGGACTCTAGTGATCTATATAAATCTGAGAAACTTTGAGGAAATGTCGAACAATTTCCTCAAAGTTTCTCAGCAATTTAGCGAGGAATGTTCGTTATCGTGTAGATATTTATAATATATACATGATAACAAACATTCCCCGCTAAAAGATGTAAAATCTTATAAGAAATAATTGCAAAAGAATAACAAATTGCAACAAATTTTATATGAAACTGAACCTTATGAGGTAGTGATTCAAGATCACCGCCTCATAAGATTCAGTTTCAATCTCAAGTATCTCAAAAGTAAGGCTCTATTTTTTGCCATGTAAAGTGTCACTTTTTCTGTCAAACTGTTTTTATCGTTTTCGTTTACAACATTAATTATAGCAAAATATATTGTTTTTGATATATTAATAAGTTTAATCGATAGTTAAACATTTCATAGTTTTAATGTCTATGTTTTCTTGAATGGTGGTGGTGTGTCTTGAGCTGGCCTGTCTTTCTATCAATTGTGCCATCATCCATCTTTTCGGAATAGCATTTTTCGCAGCATGGCGCACCACTAACGTTTGTGAATTTCTTGCCAAGTACGCCTTTATCGCAGAACTGGCATCTCAAACATTGTGGATGCCAGATTGTTCTGCAAGCAGTAACTGGTTCATCAACAATTGGCTTTCCGCATCCAGCGCAAACTGGTTTATCTTCTGTTGCGCAAGACTTGCACTTGAGAATTCCGTAGTCAAAGACGCAAGTATTTGGCTTAAGGATTGTATTGCAAACAGTGCACTGGAAATGATGGCTATGCCAATAAACATTTTCCATTTTGCTTGCTTGTTCGAAAATAGGTCTGTTGCATGTAGCGCAAATCTTCTTGCATGCCTCTTTATAGCATTCATAGCAATATAATCTTTCATCTTCAACGCAATAAATTTGCTTATCTGGATCTCCTCCATTGTCAGGAGCTTTACCGCACTTAGGGCACTTTTCGCAGTCTGGGACATGATAGAAATACTTATGTCCTTCCCAGAAGTATGACTTGCACTTGTCTGTTGGAAGAACTGGCTTCTTGCAGGCAATGCAAACTGGGAAGAGCTTCATAAGTTCTTCATAGCATCCAGAGCAATATGGAATGCTATAGAAACTACTAATCCTGCTGGAAAGAGTCTGTCTTGCAAGACATTTTTCACAATGCAAACAATTTTTGTGGTAAATTCTTCCAAAAGCTTTGCAACTGTCTTTTGGTTCTGTAAGTTGTGTGCATCTAGAGCAACGCTCGTTGTAGCACAATTTGTAGCACTCTGGATGGAAAATTAAATCGTCTCTTGCAATAAAAGAGTTAACATCCATTCTTTCACGGCATAAACTGCAATTGAAGCACTCTAAATGCCAGAAGCGATTAGCGGCTTGAACCTTTTCGCGATCAATTTTTGTATCACAACGTGGACAATTTCCTGGAGCAACATCTGGAATATGCCATAAACGTCGTGGTGGTGTATATTCTGCGATTGTGATCTTCACGGCGAATGGAAGGTATTCTCCGATGTATGGTTTCAAGTTCTGCATGTTGTTTAATTACTTTTTTTGAGCACATCATAAAAAATCACTCAACCTCTCAAAAATTTGCGAGAAAATAAACATTGAGAGGTATATCCTGTCCGCAATTTGAAAAACTATATCTTGTCAATATAAGTGTAGAGTTGAACAGTTTAGACTCGTTTCCTCAAGAGTAAATATCGATAATATTATATATTGTAATATTGAATCATGAACCTGCATGCTATCTTATCCTTCATGACATTATTGTAAATATCTTTCGATTCAAACTTAAATTTTATGTTCAGAGAAGATTACAAATTGAAAATATTAATATTTTCACTAAATAACCATACCAACATAATTATAAACATAAGTTTATTCTATTTATTAGGATATGAGCTGTTTATATTTTAGAAACATTTGAATTCATTTCAAAATTGTCAAAATTCAATAAATCTAGCTATGCAACAACTCAAAATTTGATTATATTCTAGATCAAATGACGAAATACAATACATTCGCTGAAATAAAATTGAAATTCAATAGATATGAGAAATTAAGTACGATTTTTAATCGCAACAAATTATAGTGTCTTAGGTCATGCTCCATTAAGTGTTCATTAAGCTAACCTTATTTAAAAAAATGGATGATTTTCTGAATTTTCTTGGATCACCTTGTTCATCGATTAATCAGTTGAAAAATGACTCAGTAGCAATTATTAAAATACAAAAATTCGATATTTCGTTCAAAGAAAGCGATCTTTTAGAATATATTAAAACAAATTTGAAAGAAATCGAATATTACTTTAGATATCCAGATGATTCTAGCTATTATCTGACAATTGCATCCAAATCTAAACAGCTATATCAATATGCTTTTGAAATTCTCAAAATATTATCAACACATTTCATACGAGCAAATATTTACAAATGCAACATTGATAACGAATTACTGAAATTGAGATTACAGCAAGTATATGGTACACACACAGTAGAAAAAGATGAAAAATCAAATGATCAAGAAGAATCAATTCCTATACCAGATGCAGAAGAAGCAGATATTCCTCCAAGCCAAGATGTTCAAAATCAAGACCAAGATGCACAAATTGAACAGTCAAATGAGAAAACTGCTGAAGTAGATACAAGATCTTCATTAGAGAAATGGAAATCCTTAAATAATGTCTCATCAGCATGGGATGACACTCTTTTTGAAGTTTTACTTAAAGATAACAAATGGAAATTATTCCAATCAAGTAAAATTTCGATTCCAACAAAGTACAGTCTATACAAAGACCAGGCTAAAATCGATTCTTGTGGATTACCTCATCTTTCTAAAGAGCAATGCGAAGAAATTTCCTTGGCTAGTTCAATTTTCGATCCATTGTAATTTGATTTTATATATAGAACGTTTTTCTTGATAAAGTTATGTTTGTTTTTGAATATTTTCTTTATTTTAAATTATTTTTATATATCACAGCTAATTATGAGTAGAAACATGATATAACAATTGTCACACATGAATAGAGTAATCATCAGAATGATATAATATCATAATGTGGTAAAAAAGGAAGATTCAATATTATATAAACTAGGATATTTCGAAATTTAGGATATTCTGAGCTCCCTGATACGCATAGACAGTTTTGTGAAAGTTTGAAGTATTAAAAATATTAAAAAGTATTATTAAAATCATATTTTTTATTGACATTTTTTCTTTGAATAATTAATTTAGACATTAAAAATCAATTTTTGAAAGTTTTAACACTGCTATTTGATCATATATTATGCATTGATAATTACCACCGCATTATATTAATATTGGTTAGAAATTAAAAGTTATCCAACTTGTTTATACAGAAAGATATATTTAATATTCGAAAATGCAAGAATTAAAAAGAGTCTTTATATTCTTGCCAAAGCTACAATTGTGTCTCATTTTAAAATCAAAACTAATAAGTAATTCTTTATTATCGACAACAACAAGAAAAAAGGTTTATATCTGATCAAGTAGTGCAGCACTGACTTTCTTTGTAGCTTTTCTCTTCTTATTAAATAAGAAATATCCCATAACAGCAACAGCTGCGATTACAGCGACAATTATAATTGGAAGTCCAATTGCTAAGAATAACTTGATCTTATTTTTATTGGATGGTTTAGTAGGTGGATAAGGAGTTGGTCCTGGAGTTAAATCAGGTGTAATTTCAGGAGTTATTTCTGGAGTTGGCGCTGGTGTAGGAATATAAGGAGTATAACTATCATTATATGGCATTAAATATGATGTTAACCATCCATTCTGGTAGAAAATATTAAATGGTGATAATAAGTTCTCAGGACCGTTTTTGACGTAGACGAAAGGAATATCTTTAAATTTAATTGAAGTTAAAGAAGAAGATTGGTATCCACCAACAACAAGTTGCCCAGGAAATGCCGAATATATGAATGCCGTCGGGATTTGTTGGTTTTCGAAAATTTTCATATTTAATTTCGAAGTTATCCAATCAATTAACTCTTGTGGATATGTTCCACTTGGATGTGGCTTAGCAACCAATGTGTAATTTGGATATTTCAACAAAGTTTGGTTGAAATAACTTTTAACTTCAAGGGAATTCACCGGATTTGATGTTAAAACGAAACATGTCTTCTTTCCTTCAACAAAGTACTTCTCTTTATATGCTGTTCTATTGATCATTGAGATTTCATACAAATAATCCACTTTTTCTTTTGGTTGGTTCTTAATAATATCAAGAACATCGATTTTAATGAGGTTCATTGTAGCAAGAATTGGCTTTAATGCTTCATCTGTTGTTAATAACATATCTGGATCAGATAATTCCATAAAAATGCTTGGATACGTTGCTGCTCTGAACATTAATTTATTTAATCCAACATCGCAGTTATTAATATGATAATTGATTGTTAGATTGCCAATTAAAGCTTGTTGATAAAGATCATCAAACTGTTTTGCAAAAATATTCCATCCTTCAGTAGTATTTATGTAGTTATTATAAAATATGTTATAGGAACCTGTTCCATCTGATCCTAAATGTATTTCATAACGAGATTGATGAATTCCTTGTCCAATGAGCCAATAAATTGGTTAGCCAACTCTTATATCATCTACTCTAACATGGAAGTATGAATTTGGATCATCACGAGAGATATTTCTAATTAAATCGTAAGTATGTAATGAATCACCAGGAGATGAATAATAAATTGTATTAGGATAATCTTCTGTTATCTTGGTGAAATTAAAAGTTTGATATCTGTTAATCTGGAGCTCCATATTGATATCTCTTGTTAAATTGAATATTAAATAAAAGAAGGAAGTGATCATTGGGAATATTCCACAATGGTTAATAATATAGTAATAGTTTCGTTTCTCTTTTGGAACTTCATTTATATTAATTTTGATTGTAACGTTCTCATCATCAGGATTTGTACCCGAAGCTGTAATTGTGTATTCTCCAATGTCATAAATGCCATACAAAACATCTCTTTCTGGAGTAATAGCAAGATTCTTGCAATTTGTAGAATTTATTTTAAAAGATTGAGTATTTGTAGTGTAATTTTCTTCTGCAATGATATCACCTCTATAATTTGTGATTTTTATGTCGCATTTAGCATTTGCTGCTGTAATCAAACTCAAAAACATCTAATCAAATTTTGAGTTCTCAGAAAATGATTCTTGATTTGGTTGAAATGGTATGCTAGATTGAAGCGAATAAAGAATATTACGTGATTAATACTCTTTGGACACAGATGATAAAATTTCGAAATTCATTTTGCCATTTTGAGATGTGTTGATGCTACATTCTCCATTTTTTATTCTTAACATTCATGTGCACTCATTTTATAATCGATATATGCATTATTTAGAAGAATTTAATTCAAATACAAATAAAAAATCCTCAATTTTATCAAATTCTTTAATACCAAGTAGTGGTTAATTATTATTGATATATTTTATCATAATCTAAAATTGAATTAATTTGTAAACCTGGGGTTTGGACCTCCTTTATCGAAAATGTCGAGCCGTAACTTCTCTCGTACATTTAAGAAACCAATGCGTCCATACGAAAAGGAACGTATGCACAAGGAGCTCCAGGTCGTCGGTGAGTACGGTCTTAAGAACAAGCGTGAAATCTGGCGTGTTTCATATACACTTTCCAAGATCCGCCACGCCGCCCGTGAACTTCTTACACTTCCAGAAAACGATTCAAAGCGTATTTTCGAAGGTGCAGCTCTTCTTCGCCGCCTTACAAAGCTCGGCGTTCTTGATGAATCCAAGCAAAAGCTCGATTATGTCCTTTCTCTTACAGTCAACGATCTTATGGATCGTCGTCTTCAGACACAGGTTCACAAGCGTGCTCTTGCTAACTCTGTTCACCATGCTCGTACACTTGTTTCCCACCGCCACATCTCTGTTGAGAACCAGCTTGTCAACCAACCAGCTTTCCTCGTCTGGAAGGAATCCGAGAAGAACATCAAGTACGCTGACACATCAGTCATGACAACAGAGAAGCTCGGCCGTAAGAAACGTATGCGGGCTCATGCACAGACAAAGAAGGCAGATGAAGAGTAAGTAAATATCCATACATACATTTTTATATTCTTATTTTTATATGAAATTATTATTTATTTCCAAAAATTCAATTGAGTAATCTAATTTATTTTAAGATTTCTCTTTCTGTTCACCATTATCTCCTTATTCTTTAACGTATTTTCACATAAGATATGTCCATAAAAAACCATATCATTTCAAGAGTACCAATAGGGGTTTTATGACTGGTTACTTCCTTTTGCATTAGAAATTGCTTTAATAAGAAGAATAATAAAAATTATTTGTTAAATGGCAAGATTGTTTTGCATCTATGCATTCAAATTTAATAGGTTTACATTATGTCTTGCATAGGATTATGATCTGCTTTTAAAAGTAAATTTTATAAATTTATTCTGAATGAAAAAGAGTTTAAGGTATTTGATTAACGCTTAAAACCAATGTTTCTTTTAATAACAAGGAATTTTTAATAATTAAATTTAATTTGGTTTGAGCCTAATCATATGGCAAGAAATGTCACCATTTTCTGTTCCGGTGACAAAGCTTGATCCGAATGGAGAAACAGCTACGTATGAAACTGGGGAGGAATATGGAGCTGTTTGTCCGATATAAGTTCCGTGAGAAAATTCGAAGCTCTGTGTTAAGTTGCAGCCAGAGCCACCAGCGGCAAGGGCCAAGCCATTTCTAGATACCTTGCAAGCGTTGATATAACATTCTTTCTTAGCAGTTTCTGGGTTGATATTGATTTCTCTAAGCTTCTTGCCTGATCCGTAATCCCACATTTCAATTTGCTTCTTGTCTCTTGCAGAAGCTGTTATAATTGTATCGTTATGTACGTCTAAGCCAGCACCACGAATGTGAGGGCCTGCAATGTTACGCTCAGCATTTCCTGTACGGACATCCCAGTAAAGGACACGATCATTCCAACCAGCAGCCAAAATAACGTTCGAATCTTCCGGATGGAAACAAATATCGTATATATTTACTTGCTGGGATGCTGATGTGCGGGAAGCCATTTTAACAAGAACTTTAGTTCTCTGTAAGTTTTCGAGATCGTAAACACGAATTGAACCATCTGCGCAAGCAATAGCAAATGTTTCACCGAATGAATCTACATTCATAGCTAATAAGTTGCTACCAAGATGTCTTGACATTTCAACCATTTCGCCTTTAACGATGTTGTACAAGAAAATAAATCCATCTTTACTTGTGCAAATAAGAAGATTTTCTTCGAAAGGATGGAATCTAATTTTTGTAATAGGGTTGGTTGTATATTTTTGCTCAAGTACTCTTTTGATTTCGCCAGTATATGAAGTTGCAATTGTAATAATACCTGGTTTGTTTGAATAAGCAACAAAAGCACCATCGATTGAATAGTCAATAGCAGTTACAGCACTTCCACTAAGATCAACTGTCCATGCTGGACTTTCAACGACGAAAAGCTCTTCAGGTTCAAACATTTTTTTTTCTCTCTCTTTGTAATGAATTCAATTTTTTGAATTGAGAAAGGAATTGATGACATGATTGATGAAATAGTTTTATGCCATTTTCAACAAGAATTTTTCGAAAACCTGTAATTCAAAATTTGATTCGTCATTATTAAAAGAATAGATGCAAATTCTATATTAAAATAACAAGCTTTGTGTTAGTTTTAGTTGGTATAAATGCTTCCGCTTATTACTCTAGCTTTTTTGCTAGTAATTTTGTGATCAATTGTAATAATAGGCAAAATTGAAATGTACTCTTATAATAAGTCTTGATCCATACACATCTAATTGGTGCCGGGAAACGATATTATAGTACAGCTTGCATGCAAATTATTTAGAGGAAATATAAAATCATAACATATATCAAGTGTGAAAGCAATGACTTAATCATTTTATCTCTTCAAATCTATAGAAGTGATGTGCAAATTAGGAATTCAAAGTATGGTAGAAAAAAAAAATTATTTTGTTATTTGGTATCATGATAGAAATAGATAGTTTACTCAAGTAAAATATTTAAACAGACAAATTGATATGTATTTTCAGATGCTTCATTTCTTGTCCATACGTAACAAACACAAATTGTAAGCAGAAAAGTAGTATCCACTCGCCAATTGCTGATGCAGTTGCATCCATATTTGGTTCAAAAACAGCATCAGTGAATCCAAAGATCAGATATCCAATTGTCGCAAATGATATCAAAAATAACCTAACCATTGCGAGATTTGTATCTTTTCTACAAACAACATAGCATAGTGTTTCGAACACAAGTATACCTGTGAAGCCAGAGAATGCGAAAAGAAAATGATATTTGTAAACTTCATTAATTGGGCAAAATCCAAATCCGCCAACTCCAATGCATGATATCATTATAACTAGAATAAAAACGATATTAAGGAGTCTGGAAAGGTTGTAATTAAGTTTCACATAATTATAGTACATGAATATGATAAAGAATGTAGTAACTGAGCCGCATGCTATCATTGATGCAAAAAGAGCTTTGTTTTGGTACTCTGTTCCAGATTCTGAAATAGTCGGAAGATATCCTGAGAGTCTGCCTTCCATAATGAATAAACCGAGACATACAATTCCAACACAAAGTGGAAACGCGAATATTGGTACACTTATCAAGTCTAATCTGATTTTGATTTTAATTTTATTGTCAAAAATTTGTGATTCTCGACTGACATCAGGTGCGCATAATTCTTCTGTATCTTCTTCATGTTTCATTTCTGTCTGATATGTATCTATTAGATTAGAAGTGTCCATATTTTCCAATTCAGATACTCAATAATCTGACTACCTCTCAATTTCATCGGAAAATTTCTGAAAAACAAATCATTGGGCCAACAAGTATAAATTATTCTTAATTTAAAATTAAAAATATGTTATCATGCTATTAATTATATCAAATTTAGATCGAGTGAGGATTTTTTATTGACTTTTTTTTTGAAATTACAGATTTCGGTATTTATAATATAACAATATTAAAATATACGTTGGAAAGAATTGTTTCCCTTTTAGAAACTATGATTTATTTTAGAAATTTCGTCAATGAATAGATATCATTCACAATACTTCAAACATTTGGGGAAGAATATTCTTTGCCGACGAGAGTATGATCCAAACCCCACTATATTTCATTTAAATCCAAGATATTAAAAATTAAAAAAAAATTATAGAATGAGTTCATATTATATATAAATCTATCTTTATTTAGTTGAAGGTCACACGCATGCCCAAAGGGCAAGCGTAATAACCTGAAACCTGAAATTATATCATTATATTTGAGTTTTGAGCCAAAGAATAGAAGTAAGTTATGTATTTACCCATTAGATCTCAAACTCGACTCAGCTGACATGGACAAAAAGTAAAATGATAAATTTGTCCATATTCTTTTTAAAAAAGTATGTAATAAGACTGTTTTCAGTTCATCTGTATGGAATAGGCTTAGTTATGGCTTTGCAGTTCAACTGTATTTTCAAGTGCAATAATTCTTGCATTAAGTGCTTCTAATCTAACTCTAATATTTGTTAATCTGTTATTTAGGTGATCTACAACTTTGTTAAAATCATCAAAAGATGGAACCTCTGATATTTTTCGAGTTTCTACTAACAATTTTTCTAAAATACGAATTTTGGAGGATAATGCTGTCTGACTTTTATAAACCATCTTCATGGATTGAGAAACATGTACTATAAGCTCAGATACTGCCTGATTTGCAAGTGAAATTTTATTTTCATCTTGCATCGTGTCACTTTTCTCACTCACATTTCAGTTCAAAATAATCGTTCTCATTTTGAGAATTTATTTTCATGAAAATTCGAATTATATCAACCACTACAACATTTTATCCACTAGATACGGATGCTCAAGATTTATCTCACAAGAATGACAATCTTACCCTTAAATCAATGCTGATGTATCTAAAAAGAGAATTAAATGAAGAAGTTCGTTTTTTTAGGGCAGGAGACAAGTTTGTTGTTTTACAACAATGGAGAGATGCTCTTTTTGTTATCGAATCTGATGAAAACTATTCTCCTGAACTCCTAAAATTGACGTTACAAGCAACAAGAGAAATTTTAATCTTTTTGTTCGGTCCAAAATATGAAACTGTCATGGGAACAAGCATATCATTAGCAAAGAGACAAGCATTTGCAAGATATATTGATACTTATTTGAATCATTGCGATACAAATTATTTATCTCTCCTTCAGACTCCGATACATGATATTGACAATTACGAATTAGGAAACTGTTTTTCGCAATGTGCCGAAAATGTCTCTTCTCAATACAAATCAAATTTAATTGCTCTATTTTTGTTCAATAACAACAAAATAGTATCAATGTACGTTCCAAAAAATGCTTCTAAGATTGATCCAGAAATGCTGTTCATTATTCAGCTATTCGAAAACGTTGAATACCCGAATACAAAATCTGAACCTAATTTTCAGTTGATAAGTGAGCAATTTGTCGAAGAAAATATACGTACAAGGATCGCGTTTATCAGATCCAATAGAATTCCACTCGCTTGCAGCTTAACTTCGTCACAACTTTACGCAAATTCTCCATTGTCAATTCTAGCGATTACACAAGACTCAAAAATGACTATTGAGCAAAAGGATACGATAAAGAGCATGATGATGAACCTTACAAAGTCAGTTTCTACATTATATTTTGCTCAACCAAATTATCCGCCCATTGAAGTTGTTGAAGGTCTTATACATGCAGCATTTATCAATAGAACAAACGGTACGTCATTCGAACTTACTCCAGATATCACAATGTCATTGTTATCAAGATATATGGCATTTCAAAGTGAAGAAGAGATGGAACAAATGGTCATTTCGATGAAGAAGAGCTTAGCAAACAAAGCTATAACAGCTTTAATGAAAGGATACACGACAATGATTTGGGGTGAAATGGATTTACAGTTTTGCTATCTTTTGGCATTCAGAGATGCTGATGGGAATGAGATAAAGCCAACCCGGGTGTTTGAACCTCCTCTTTTTGATGATGACAGCGGAATTACTTTTAATTTAGTTGCAAGCTCCGTTCTTCCTGATGTTAGAGGAAAAATTAATGTCTTTGAAATATTAACGGTATTTACCGGTGAGATGCCTGTCAGAGATGTTTCTTACGGAGTTCATTTGATGTTCCAAAATTATTTGAAGGACTATGTCATGCTTTGATTCATTTTATATATATTAGTAATAAAAACCTATCTATTGTTTGTTTTTTATATTCTATTCTTTCGAAAATTAATTATTATTTTAAATCTCAAAGTTTCGGCCTTTTATTGTAGGAATAGGAGCATGAAAAGCTCTGATCTAGAATAAATGCATCAAAAATCCTATTCCTCATAGAAATTGGAGATTTTTTTGCCCAAATAACTCATCCATCATGGCTTTAATATCTTGTCCAGACTCTTCTTCATCGCCTAATGATAACTCTGTCTCTGTAAATTTACTCATTTCTCTAAATTTTCAACAAATCACCCAATTTATTATGAGATTAGACCCTAAGTTATTTATTTATGCAAGAATTTCAACTTGAAGAATTATTGAAATGGATAGATGGAATTCCTCTATCAAGAAAGAAAAAGAATCTCTCAAGAGATTTTAGTGATGGCGTTTTGATGGCAGAAATTTGCGCTCATTTTTATCCAAAAGCTGTTGATCTTTTCAATTACAATGAAGGACTTAAAGTTGACACTAAAATATACAATTGGAATACACTCAATGCAAAAGTTTTACAAAAAATCAAATTCCCAATAGATAAAGCTACAATTACAGATATTGCAAACTGCAAACAAGGAACAATCGAGAAAGTTCTTTGGGATTTCAAACAATTTGTCGAAAACAAGCAGGAAGAAGCACAAAAACCATATTTCGAGGATGTTCAAACAGATCCAGATATTGAAGAAATAGAAAACGCACTAAAAGCAACAGATAGAACTTTACTCGAGAACAAAATCAAAGAATGTGAAGATCAAGCTAAATATATAGAAGAATTACATGCAAAGATTAAAAAAGTTGAAGACTTAATAAAAGAAAAAGATCTGACTTTATCACAACTAAAATCATCAGTATTTAGGAGATGAGAAGAAATTTCCATATATTATAGAAAATAATTTTGTTTATAATTATTATTTCATTAATTTAATCTTCTTTGTGATGCGAGTCCATGCTTTTTGTTATATTTTTGTTATAAATCAAAATAATTTTTATAATTTTTTAAAGGTGACCAAACTATTTTTTGAAAGTCCGCCATAACTTTAATGGTACTATTTCAGCGTGTACAATGAATACAAAAATTCTAAGAGTGCCACATAAAATAGTACTTTAGACTTGAGTTAATGCTACCAAGCAAATGTTAAAAAGATGACTTTAGTGTTTTGATAATCAAAGATTAAAATCATTATTGTCTAAATCAATAATCATAACGACAGAAGTTAATGTTTTTTCATAAGTGCTTTAAATCCACTTTTAAAAGTATACCTCAAAAATCAAAATATCATTAAAAAAATTGGCCGATAGGTTTGGCTTTAATTTTTGTCTGCTTTTATGATTTGATATGGATGTTATAATTTTAAAAGTTGAGCCAAATTCACCAATAGATTTTTGAGATTTGCAAATACTCAATAATTTTCAGCGTGTTATCTTTTATTAAAAGAACTATTTGGTTTCAGTATCATATAAATTGATATTTACTTTCTATTTGAACCTTCATTTAGCTAATGATTTAATAATACAGATTTCATCTAGTCCTTATAAGAGAATTTTGAATTTGTTATAATAAAAAAACAAACAGATATAGCTTACACTTCTATAATAAAGATACCTTTTATAGAAATCAGTATGAAATGTGTTTTGGCTTATTGGAAGCATATCAGACATAATCGCCATAATCAAAAAATCTATATACCCAATAAGTAATAAATTTGTCGATATAGATTTTCCATAAAATTAGTTTTTAGTCTGATCTTAAAATAAATTTAATTTTTTATAAAAAAAATCACATTTAAAAGTACCTTTTTAGTAGCTCGAAATCCTGTTGGTGGATTTCGGGCGTACTTCAAAATTAGCTTTTCTTCTACATATGCAAGCTATATTTTAAATATGGAGCAAATCGGATCGGCGAAAGGAGTTTAGTTACCTTTAATTTTTTTTATATTCTTGGCAGATATATATTCAAAGGCTTAAGATTCGAAAATTTTTTGCCATGCAATGATGTAACATAGCTATTTAACCTTAAGATCCAATGAAATTCAAAATTATTAAATTTCATGCATATAACGTTTTTATTTGAAAGAATTCTGATCATAGTATAACAATCCATATCTTTGTATGTATTATTTCATTCATTTGATTGAGTAAAAATCATTTCTTCCTTATGTCTGCAACATTAACGGACAAGGAGAAAAATGATATAACAACAATTCTTGATCAGGTTGAGTCCAGTGTACAAGATCCTAACAAACAATATCATTCATTGCTGAAAATTGATGAAGAATGCCGAGAAATATGGCCATCATGGAATGGTAGCTTTTATACACCAAATCATAAATCAGTATCATTCGTAAAAGGAACTACTGCCACAAAATTACCAAGCTATACAGAAATTTCAGAACAAGTTCACGAAGAAAATAAAACTCAGAATAATTTTCGCAATAATGACCAAATTCAAGTCGAAGTTACCACCCAAAATCCTGAAGCACAACAGTTGGTTAATGAGGTTGATAGTATTAAAGATGATCTTACAGATTTAATGCAAAAATTAAGTCAGACAGTTCATTCACCAGATCAAGTGCCGCAACTTGTTGGAGCTGATCCACTTACAGCATGTGATATGAATGAAATTTCTAGTGTTGACTTCAATCATTCACGAGATGATAACCTATATGGTCAACTCACAAAACAACAGCAATTAGCAATTGTCATTCAAGTTCAAAGGGAAATAATGGCTCAAAAAGAAGCAAATAGTGCTTTAGAAAAAGAAATTCAAGATTTGAAAGTTAAATATGTGAAATCTCAAAAGAGAATTGTTTTCCTAAGAAACGAGATTAAAAAGAGTACAATTGTTCTCCAAGAACTAAAAAGAAGAGATGAAGAAAATAAACCTAATGATAATCAGCTTGTTGATACTTCTCAGATGTATTAAAATGTTTGTATTTTGTTATAGTTTTAACTTTCATGTTGTTTTTCTATGTATTTATTATATGAAGGCGGAATTTTGATTTAATGCACAAGATTATGCTTTAATTATTTTGTATGTAGCTTGGAGAGCAATATTGATATCATTTTATTCTTTCTCATTGACATCAATCATTTTTTGTGAGTATTTTCCACTTAGAAAAGAGATAACACCCAATTTCTACTATTTTTTTAAAATTAATCTCTAAATTGACTGAGTGTCTTTATAAGAAGCTAAACCTTAAGTTGCATGAAATACTCTCGGAGAATATGATAGCAAAAGAAATTGACAGGTTTTATTTATCCTTTCAATATTCAATTGCATAGATTTTTCCATCAAAAATTAATAATTTTATTTAAAACTATTAAACCATATACATTTATAATTTAGGTCAGACAAAAGTGTCAAAAATATTTTCGATCTGATTTAAAATAAATCAAAAAGTATAATTGAGCATTATACTTACCAAAAAAATTTCAATGATATCTCAATTGAAATAAAACAACCCTGAAATTTACTCAAGTAATATTACCCTAGTATCATTAATATTTTCAAATCATCTCTCTTTTCAATTTTTACAATACTAATTTTATTCAAATATTCTTGATTTGAATCTCTATCGATAGAAAAATGTTTGGGTTCCTCTTTCTCTATTTTAGCTTCAGCGAGCGCTGTATTTCTTATCATACAACAAAAATTGGTGACTCTCTCCTCCAAATTCAAAAAATCAGCGGAAATACTGCAGAAGAGCTCTTTGAGCTTAATCCAAATTTAAATCTTCAGAGACTTTCGCCTGGAATGACAATATACATATATACTAAATGTTCTACATCTCAAACCAATACTCCAATCTTCTTAGAAAGAAGCGACATCCAAGACTTAGATCTAATGTCAGGTTCGTTGTTTTTATGCTTTTTGAAATACAAGGGATATACAACTGTAGATCAAGCAAGTCATTCATTTACAGATCTATTTGAGAAAAATCTTATTAATATGGATGGATCAATTGATAATATTTTCCCTGTTGCACAATACTATGGCTTTAATTTTGTCTATCGCAATGTACCAAGGAAAGACACCAAATTAGAAATAGGCGAGTATGTTGTTGACGGTAATTCTCATTTTTGCATCATCGAAACAATAGATGGCCAAATATCTATTGTATTCAATCCAAGTACAAAGCCAAAGTTTAGAAATATTAATCCAAAGAAAGTCATGAACCATTATTATTGTGTTTAAATTTCGAGTATCTATTACTCGTATTTCTTAGTATATAGTGTTGATGATATATTTATTGATTCTATCAAATTTATGTAAACTGTTAACTTTTAATTTCACTGATTTTATTTCGAAAAAATTGAAGTCAGATACTTGAGTAGTTGTTATAGTATCGATAAAATTCGCAATATTAATCAATATACTAAAATATACAAACAATTTATTTAAAAAAATATAACATGAATAACAAAATATACGTTAAATGGGGTCTGACATAATTATTTTAAGCTGGCTTGCTCTTTGATTCGTAAGCCATAGCTAATGCTGATGAGATTGAAGAAATAAACGTAACAAATCTAGAAAGAATCAAAAATATCAAGTTGTGAGTCTTTGCAGCAGACATTGAGTTAAGTGTTTGATGTAACTGGTTCAACTGTCCCTTGAGATAATTATATGATTGAGATTTTGGATCAAAACTTGAGAATTGGCAGTCAAAATTAGTGAATATGTTATTAAGGATTAATGCAAATGGCTTTAATGATTGTACTGATCCCTCAATCATCTCAAATTCTGAGACAAATTCTGGAATGAAAGAAAATGGATCAGTTTGAGAGGCACTTTGCATGTATTGGAAGATTGGTTCGAACATCTTGGTGATATCTGATAATTTCATATCTTTTCTTTGAGCAAGGAGTTGCTTAATAAGAATATCAGCTGATTCTACGAGTTTTTCAAGATCTTCAGGGACATTTGATGGCTGATTTAAGAAATTCTGAAGTTTCTTGACAATTTCAACTATTTCTTCTTTATATTTAACAGTTTCATTTGAAGTTGTCTTCAGTTTCTTCTTTGTACTGGTCAAATCATTGTTTATTTCATCAACTGCTTGCAAAACTGCATCTTCATTGTTTCTATCGACCTCTTTTTCTAAAATTTTTGATAATTTATCAGCAATTAAAGCGTAATCAACGACATTTACAGTTTCTTTCTCCTTAGGAATGCTTTCTATATTATTTATGTAATCTTGGACGTCATCTAAAGCATCATTTACCTCATTTTGAATAATTGGATTTGTTTTCTTTTCTTTTTTGATGATTTGATAGAGTCTTTCTGATACACTGTTCAAGAAAACTTTGTTATTTAATCTATCTTGTTCCGCTTGCCTTAAATTATTTTCAATTTGGTCTAAATAACTTTCAATTGACTCTGTTTGCTCTGTTTCAAGGATAGACTTGAGTCTTTTCATTAAATCAGCCACAAATTCTTGTTGTGCTGATGATTTCTGGTCAGCAATTCCGTCCATGCTTCTTTTCATCTGATCGAGGTTTTCTTTGACCGTGTTATACGTATATTCGCCGATATCCACGGCCTTGGATTGAGAAACGTTAAAAAGTGCCAAAATCTTGAAAAACGATTCTCTTTGAGATCCAATCAAGATATTTGCCTGGGAACATTCCATTGACCTTGACTTCAGATTCATCTGGTTTTCTCTGAAAATTTTTACAAAAGTTGACATCATTTTTTCGATATCTTCGTCTGGCTCGATATAAGCGGTCATTGTCTCAACAAGTCTCCTCTCTCGCTCTAAGAATTGAACACAGCGTTGGCATTTCTGACCAAGTACCCCTTTAAGTAGGTTTCTGAATGCAATTAAAATTTTTCTGTCTGTTTCCATTTCAGGAACATCTTCATTCAAGAAGGAAGCGATATGAGGAATCGATTCTGTAAGCGCTCGTCTAAATTGTGTATCAGCTCCTGCATTTTTATCGTATTCTTCCATTTTTTTATTATTTTCATCCAAAATTTTCTTCATTTCCTCGTATTCTCTCTTAGAATCTTCTGCTATCTTGCATGCAGCTTCTTTTTCTGCTCTAGCTTGTTTAATTTCTTTTCTTATATTTTCATATTCAGAAATTTTCTTTTTTAACTCATCATTTTCATTAATAATAGCAGTTGACTTATCATGGATGATCTCTATGAACTCAAGAACCTTCTTATCCTCAAAAACTTCCGTTCCTTTTTGAAGAATTTCAGGGAGTGAAGCATCTCTATTGAATCTGATAGTTATTTGTTCAATATCTTCTGTATCACAGTCAACAAGTTCTCCTAGATTCTTTTCTACCCCATTCTTATCAAGTAAACTTTGAATTGCGTAACGAAAATTGTCATACGCTTCAAACATTTGAGAACTATGGCTATCGAACATTCCTGCTTCTCTTACAGAATGTATTATTGCACAACATGACGTATATGAGTCGCTCCTGAGCTTTTCTAGGGCTGTAGGACCTAATGGAGACTCCGCGAACTCAGATGTAAAGGAATCGTTAAGAACACGTGAGAAATTCCTGATATCTGTAGTTATTTTCGTGGTATCTTGGCCTTCTTGGATAATTAAAATTGATTTTCGCTTTAAATTCATTAACTGGTTCTTCAAAGTCTTAGATTTTCGAACTGCAGCATCATGTATGCCTGTTACTGATGTTGAATTCTTTCTTATTGTCTCAAGACAATCGCTTACGATTGTAAAATGCATATCTATGGCTTCATGTATTGGATCATTGCCACTTTGACGTATTTTGCGCATTGCTTTTGAAAAAACTGCAAATTGCTTTAAAAATGGAAGAAAACTCTGTAAAAATTTATCTCCATTTTGACTTTTTGCTGAACGAGCGGATTTTAGTGCTGAAGATGATGTTCTTGGCAGATTTATAATAAATGTATTATAGAGTGCATCCATTTCGTTGATCATAAGATTGAATTGAGATCGAAATTCAGAAGTAGTATTATTATGAGATAAAAATGATGCTACATTATTCATCATTATTTGATAGTTGTTCTTAAAATCTGATAAAACGTTTGATTCTCGAGGAGATGGAAAGATTTGTCGAATATTATTGCCCAAAGATGAATAAGAAGTTGGAGGAACAAATGAGGATTTACTTTGAGAGCGAACACCAAAGGATGTAGTGGCTCCAGGGCGGAGAATTCTCGCCCCAACTTCACTCATACGTTTTTTTTTTGTCAAATACGAAAACATAATTCTAAGATTAAAGTTAACATATGAGATCATCGGGCTTGGTGTTATAAAGTTCATGATATCGTGAGCTTCAATTTTATACCAATTCTGTAAATTGTATCAATTCTACTCCATTATTTTGATATATGATTCATTTTATGATAGAAAACTGATTAACTTCTTGTACTAAATCAAATCGTGTCGATATGTAAGCAATTTATTTAAATAATTCATGGGGATAATTTTATCCAAGCTCAGCTTTCTACATATATATGCTATGTGTAGTCCCTGTACAGAGTTTCAGACCAAAATTTTGGTTGGAATGATGTGAATTTAGTATTTTTTTATTCAAACAAGATGATATATATAATTTTAAAATTAAAACAGTTTAATTAACAAGATGTTTCCAGAAAATATGCGTAGAATGATAACGTAAAAATTTGAGCATTAAACGATTTTTGGAAACATGAGCAATATGACATGAAGTCATAAGTCTTTTAGGAATTCCAGAAGAAACGATCATGTGAAGATAATCAGTGGATGTGTTCTCAATAATAAGAAGGCATCGAATGGAATTGCAATCATGGAATGCATCAATCTCAACATCTGAAACTGAAAGTGGGAAATTGATGTATTTGAGATTAAGACAGTTGTTGAATGAATGATCTTCTATAACAGAAACACTATCTGATATAATTGTGATATTTTCAATGTTGTTACTGCAATTAAATGAATAACTACAGATGATACTGCAGTTAATGTCAAGCTCTTTATCTTCTGAGTTACTCAAATGAAAAATAAGTTCCCATTTAGTATTGTTTTTGTAGTATAAAGTATTATCAATACATTTGTATTTGTCTGATGAAAAATCACTGATATTTGTAAGAGATTTGCATTCTGAAATAGAACTAATTGAAAAGTTCCCAAGTAAATTTGTTTCACTGAATATAATTGATTTTAGTTTGTTACAATCAAGAAATGAATATTCTGAAATGATTCGAATAGATTGTGGAATTGTAATACTTTCTAAAGAAGAACAATTCTCAAATGATTTAATTCCGATTTTCTTTGATCCTTCTCGTATTGTAACTTCTTCTAAACATTTACATCCACAGAAACAATTATCAGGAATATTTAAGATATTACTAACATTCTTTAATTTAATGCAATTCTCAAATGCATTTTCCATAACAGTCAAAGTTAGAGATGAAAATGTAAAATTTTCTAAATTAATGCAATCTTTAAATGATGACACTCCTAATATTTGTAAATGAGGAAATGAATAATTAAATGACATCATTCTTGAGCAATTTTTAAATGCATTATTTTCTATATCAGTGATTTGAGAATCTTTTGTGAAATAAAATTTCTCAATTATAGAATTTTCGAATGCTTTTTCTTTAATTTTTGTCACAGAATTAGGAATTGTAATAGAATAATGAGCAAAATAATTATCAGGATTGTATCCCCAATATTCATAAATTATGGTTTGATTAGAATCCATAAATCAAGCCACATTGTGTAATAATAAGATTTGATTCATTCAGATATGAAATTGAAACTTTTGTATTTCTTTTAATTGAATCAAAAACATATACTTGAGAATGATAAAATAGAGTTTTGTAAGTGAATGACAATTTGACATTTGGCATATTTGTTGATACAAAATCAGATACTGTAACAGTCATTGTTGAATTAGGAAAAATAATTAATTTAAGACTTCCACAATAATCAAATACATATTCACCAATGTAGTCTACTGGACCTAAAAAAGTAACATTTCTTAATTCATTACAATATTCGAAAGCACCAATTTCAATCCTTTTCACACTTGATGGAATTATAATTGATCCGAGAGAGGAGCCATAAAAGGATTGCACCCCAATAGTTGTGACTGAATTTGGAATTATAACTGATTTGATGTCACAATGTAATAAGAAATCTTCTCCAATTGTTGTGACTGTATTTGGAATTATAATTGTTTTAATAATTGAACCTGAAAAGCACCCCTTTCCAATAGTTGTGGTTGTATTTGGAATTATAACTGTTTCGATATATGAAGAATAAAAGCACAGTTCATTAATACTTGTGATTGAATTTGGAATTTCAATAGTTTTGATATGTGAATCATGAAAACACAGCCCTTCAATAGTTGTTACTGAATTTGGGATTATTATAGTTTCAATAGATGAATATGAAAAGCAATTATATCCAATAGTCGTGACTGTGTTTGGAATTTCATATTCTGTTTTGTTACAAATAAAATATAAAATACTTTTATTTTTTGAATAAACAGCATTCCCATCTAATATTAAGTAGTTATTATTAGGATGTACTGAAATATTTGTAAATTTTTTGGATCCAAATGCTTCTCCGTCGATATCGGAGACTTTTTCCGGAATTTGAAACGAAGTGATTTTAGTACCAGCAAATACATCAGTTGTTAATGAAGTTAAATTTGATCCAACTGGAAAAGAAACATTTTGCAGTTCATTACACATACAAAATGATCGATATCCTATTATTTTAACGGATGCTGGTATGATAATATTGGTCAATTGATAAATATATTGAAATGCATAGTCTCCTATTTCTAAGAGTCCTTCTGGTAAAATTATCTGATTGACATTTATGCATCCATCAAATGCATTAGAAGAAATTTTTGTTAGTTTTGTGCATGAAGATAGATTTATTATGGTAAGATTTGAACATGAAGAAAAACTATAACTTTCAATTGTTGTTAAGTTTGGATTTTCTTCAAATGAAAAGGAAAACAAAGTGTTAAGATCGTAAAAGCATCTACGATTAATAATTTCGCATGTAGATGATATTCTGAGTTCTGGTGATGTGTCATTAACTTTTGTAAGGTTTTTTCCGTCACTTGAATAACAACTTTTGTCAATATCTATGCAAAGAAGTACTAAAAACGTAATCATAATGAATTATTCAAGTATGCTTTTTTCTTACGTCTTTGTTTATTGTAATAATATGTGACAAAAAAAGAGACCAACTCTCAATAAATTTTGAATTAAAAAATTGACAAGAACTATCACTCTCAAAAATTGGCAGTGTTCGTAGATTTTCACGTTCTCAAAAAATGAAATCTGAGCTTTTCTATTATGGTTTTTAGAATTGAAAGATGGAAGACAAAAAAATGCTACAGGTGCGACCAAGTTCAATTGAAATTCCACCAAAAGTGACACTAATAGAAAAACTATTATCCAGGATAGTTTCGTATACAATTAATCAGAGTCTATTCTATGCTATCATGTTATGGCTTATGATGGAGTTTGAAGACTTTATAAAGTTAAAGTTTCCAAATCTGGAGAGTTAATACATGATGCATCAATACAAATTTGTCTCCGCTATTAGATTAAAGCAATCAGTTATCGTTAAGTTGAATTTCATGTACATCATTTGCTAAACTATATTTCTGAATAAACAAAGCTTCAGATGGTTACTCCCCATACATATATATATAAGCCCATTACCTGGCATTTATATTTAAGCCCTGATATGATAAAATTGAAACATATTTTTTGGAAAACATTGATAAAAATTGAAAAATATATAAGGTCTAAAGAATAATGCACGTGAATAAGCTTATTTTCAATTATTTTGTTGATAATTCGAATGAATTTTTAAAATTGTTCAAATCGGAAAAAAAAATCAAAATCTTCAAATTTTTTTATTTCATTTTTTATGCTTGATAGCTATACCTCCATTCTAGAATCTATTAAAAAAGATGACATTGAAGAATTCGAATCAAAACTAACCCCTGGGTTTGATTTCGAATCCAAATTCAATCTTCCACCAGATTTAATTCCAGATATTCTTAAAGATGGTGCATGCTGGATCCATTTCATAGTCCACAGTGGTGCAGTCAATATAGCGAGATTAACACTTCCCAATGTTAACCCTAAAATTGTTGACGAAAATCGAAGAGCACTAATTCACTTCGCAGCTGCATCAAACAACTCCGAAATGTTCACGCTTGTTGAAACTTTTACATCTTCAAGAGATATACTCGATGCTGACAATTTTAGTGTTGCTTGTTACGCAGTTTTTTCTTTAGAAATCTTAGAATACTTATGGATGACTGGATATGAATTCAGATTACTAGATCTTACATATGCAGCGCAAATACAGGCATGCGACGGCTTTAATTTTATTTTTGATATTTTATATGAAGAATATGAAAAAGTTGATATAACAGTTTTCTTCTTACCATTACAATCAGTTAAATGGCAGGTAGCTCACAAAATTTACGAGCATGTCACTGAAAAAGGTTTAGATCTTACAAATCTCAAAGATCCTAATGGTCGAACTCCTCTTCTACATTACTTTGTATACAGGAATGACTTTAGGATGGTGAAAGAACTCATTCCATTCATTAATGATTTTGATTTAAGAGATAGTTTTGGTTGGACAGCCTACGAAATAGCTGCAAAAAATTCCTTTAAGAATATAATTAAGGCTTTTGACGATTTTGAAAATAAAAAGAAACAAATATAATATAAATATTTTTTTTTCTTAATAATTTATCTTTAAATGGCTATTTCGATATCAGAGTAGCAATTTAATATCTTTTTAATAATCTGACCTATTTTTGTGTCCAAAAAATTGGACGACTTTTTTTTTCAAAAAAAAAATGCCACATTCCCTTTTTAAACTTTATTAAAACCATTCCTTTCAGGGCTTTCATATGTTGGATAGTTTAAATGCATATTCCGTAACACAAAAATATTTGTAGAAAATTTCTTATAGTAGAATGTACCAAAATAGAATCATGCATGTTTGTGTTCGACTCAAAACCTGCTAAATCACACCAAAAATTGAATGGAGCTCTCAACTTCCTGAAAAAGCAATAATCGTTAAATTTGACACTTTTGGTATATTGAAAATAATTATAAGCTTATGACTATTTTTGCTTTAAATGCGTAACATAATCGTATTCTCGAAGATTAGTATTTTATATCAAAAACTAGCATTCGTCAACAGCAACAATAAAAAAAAGAATTATCATGAATATCATGTTTAAAAAGTGCCTCTAAAGTCAAATTAAAAAGTGCCAAATAATGTGATAAAGGATATTGGATAGAGGTTGTAACAAAATCATTTTTTGGTAGAGCTAAGGATGTCAATTCGGAAAATTGTTTTCATTTTAGGAGAATATAATTTTCCTTTTCGAAAATTTAAAAAGTGAGACGCGCAGGATTCGAACTTTTTAAAAGTTGATTTAAATATATTCTAGTGTGGATTCTAAGGATAATATCATATTTAAAATAAGAATATACTAGTTTAGGTGGTATAATTTTTTTCGATAAATTTGAGAGCATGTACGTTTAGGGCATCAAAAGTGTCAATTCGCTCAGCGAAAGCTGAGCTAGCGCTTCGTTCTCGAAAGAATAGGGAAGGAGTGAAAGAGAGTGATACAGATGTTGACACATTCATATCATTTCAACAAATTTTGATCAAATTGAAATGCAATGAAATTCAATTCAATTCATATCCTTCAGTCAGTACATTGACATCCTTCTACATCACAATGATAACTCGTGCATCAATAGTTCTACAACTAACTCAGAAAAAACAAGATTTTTCCTTCCAGCTTACAGCTTTTAAAAAGTTTCGATGATAAAAATCACTCTACTCTTGTTTATCGATATGTTGTGATAGTAGGTAAACGTATTCTTATCGATATTAATAAAAATATTTTTACGAAAATCTGAACCAATTACAGAGTTATTCATAAAGTTTATGATAACTGTAATTATTTCATCTTTGTTTTATATTTGAATAAACAATTTAATTTAATTTGCATAATTTTTTTTAGTTGAAAGACAGGAAACTTAGTTGAGTTTGTATTATTTTTATCGTTCAATTCATTGTATATGTGAGTGATCCAGATATTTAAGATATTTAGAAAAAATTTATTAATTTGATTAACAAATTTTAATCAAAATAGCAAAAATCTATTTGATAGCTGTAAGCAAATAATAATTTCTATTTCAACCAAAATCACTTATTTTCATCTAAACGTATAAAATTGTCAATTTTATGAGAATAAATTTAAAATCTCATGAAATATAAAGGAGAGTAATATTTTTCAATTTTCTTTTTTTCTTTCTCTCAAATATTTTCTATTGGGAATTTTCTTGAGAGGTAGGGCAACGATAGGTCAAAAAGGCTTCTCTGATAGATTTCCTTGCCTTTTGGATATGCTATAATATATAGCCTAGCATGATAGGATATGATGTCAAAAGTTAGAACATAACTTAGGATCTTGAGAAAAATGAAAAACAAAAATTACATAAAAAAAGAAAAATTTTATCTAATTTGTTTTTTTGGACCGAATAAGTAATTTTATTGAATTTCAATACGACACATAGATTTTATTATTAGTAATAAATATAATGGTTTACTATTAACAAGGAACCTAAACTAATGAAAATTTGATTTCAAATATTGTATATGATTATCATAGATTACCAAAATATATTGCTATTTATGAGGATATAATATTGATTATTAGTAAATCGTATAAATTTAATAAATATACCATGAATATTGAATGAATTTCTTGATTCATAGGGGTAAAACGCGCTTGTATATGATTTAGACAGAGAATTTATGAGATGTAAATAACACAATAAAGGTTTATATTGAATATTTTCTAAAAATAAATCGAAATTATAAAAAACAATACATTTATTCATTGAAACTACTTGGACAAATATGAAACAAGCATTCAGGCAATACTTTTGAGACTTCAACCAACGCATCTGATAATTTTTATATAACTTCACCTCTTATGCTTAGAGTGGAGGTATTGAGATCGTATAAGTATAAATGAACTCACATTCAGATATGATGTGTGAACTTCTGTTTTCACTGCAATTTTGAATCAGAATAAACTCAAAACAAGAATAAAATGATATACTCACTCTCTAAATGTGTTCGAGATTTAAAGTTGTATGAATAAAACGATTCATCTTTCGAAGCCTCCCATTTAATGAGAGACTTCGAAAGATGAATGTATTCATGTAGATGAAATACTATATATGACCATGTGTGATACTAAAGATATCAAAATGTTCATTTTTTAAGTGCAATAGAAGGGTTATCTCTCGTAAAATCTCAATTTAAGGAAGATTTAGAAAGAACTCCTTTCCTAAGTAGATAGTGTGTGGTTTCTGTCTTTGATCAGGAACTATGAAATTAAGTCGGACAGAAAGAAGTTCTTTCCAAAACAGACTCCAAATGAGTTGTTCGAAAAGAACTTCCTTCTGTATATGGATAATTGTAGTTACCGCACTGAAGTATGTGATTGTGATGATGGAGTTCTCGATAAATCTAAAATCGGATTAAGATTAATTGAAAACTCTAGTAATTCTTTGAAATCTTGTGTTGTCTGGCACTATAATAACCAAAGAATGAGAATATTATGTTGAATGATGATACGTGCTCGGCATTCGCCGAGCGAATTGAGTTTAACGTACTATGAAAAGTGACAAATTTGGGCTTTTTTTCCTAGGGTTATGATCTCTTCCTTTCTGCTCAATACGACAGAAATGAAAGAATGAATTTGTACTCCCTAATTGATTACTACAATCTGTATCTATCTTTAACATAGAATTAGCTGCATTGTGATTTATACTCCAGAATTATTCAATTTAAGATCAACCTCGTAAATTTTAATCATATTGCACCAATACTCCTACGTTGAGATAAGAACATGATTATACATACCAAAGCCCCATATTAAAAATCAAAATTTAGCACCTCCATTATGCAACCACATTATTCGTCGCAAATAAGTATATTTACGCATATTATGATGCATATTCACACAACTCGTATACATGAAAAGTTATTAAAATCAGACAAAATTATTGCAATAAGGAAAAAAAAACAACTTTATTATATATGTTAGTAATGAATTACAAATATTTCTACAAAGAATGCTCAATACTTCATATAATCTTCGAATATTTCTTATTACAAGTTAATACATTTTGACTCGAACATGATAAACAAAAGCTGACACGCTGATTACTACATTTATGAAAATATAGTACGTTTCCATTCATCTGTTTACTTGTTTTTGTTGGAATAAAATCATTTTTTTTTTCTTTCATGAAATAAGAATTTTGCTGCGAAAGCAATATCTCTAACAATAATTAATACATTACGTCAACTCTGGAATGAGTATTTATCAAATATGATATCAAAATCAAAAATTAGTTGTTTTTTATGAGTAAAAACGATGTAAATTGATTATTTGACTAATTATCAAATACTTTGATTTTCCAAATTTTTTTCGAAATTGATTTTTTCATGTGAAAATTCAAATTGTTTAATTTCATTTTTGAAATTTTGAATTTTTTTTGGAATTTTGAGTTGATCAATTCAGCAGAATTGATAATGCTATTGCTTTAGGGCATACCACAAGGTGATGAATAAAAGGTGAACATTAACAAATTATTTTAAATCACAAATATCATCCTCATCAACTTTAATTCTAAAAAGAACTGTACTGAATTATGAAAATGCATGATTTACATTATTAAAATCTTTGAATGAAAATAGTACAAGATAAGTTTTTATTCATTTTTAATTAGATTTAAACGAAAAACTACTCCATATTAAAATTTAAGTCGAGAAATCGTATTTTGTTCTTATTTGTTAGCATTTTGTAGACATTCTAATCTTGAATTAATTTGTTACATGATATTATTAACAAATTTAACTGAAAAAATATGTTAATATGGAATAAACCATGATTATATAAGCTATCAATGCTATATATACATATGTAAAAGATTCATATTAACTCAATTAACAAAAATGATAGATTTTCATAAAGGTTCAATCTAGGTTCGTCCGAAAATTTTGATTTTTATATAGAAGACATAGTTTCATATACATAATTAAATTTTCAAACAAATTTGATCATACCATTTATTAAGCAGGATAGTATATTAATTACTATCAGTATAAAAATATAAAAATGATTATATTTAATTATTGCATAATTTAGTCAAAGAGTTATAAGCCTCAAGTGATCGTTATCACCTTCAATGCACGTATACTTTATTGATTCATAGATATTTAATCTATGTTTGACATGTTGTTGTCGTCATTCGTTTTGTTCCCATTCTTCCTAAGTTAGAATTAGAGAATACACCATCCACATCATCTAATTTGGTCCTCAGCGATAGATTGGTTCATTTTGGAGGAGTCCCATCAGACAGTTTTCGAGCACCAAATATCAAATTTTAATGTATACAAATCTTTAGTGATTTATCTCTTTTATGATGAGTAAAAAGTTTCTGCTCATCAACATTTAATTTCCGACATATATGATTTCTAATTGCAATTATTTACTTTCTTTTTATAATCTAACTCTGTGACTCATACCATAAATTAATTATTGGAAAGTGTCAATATGTTTGGCACAACGCATGGCGGAAGATACCAAACCATGCAGGGAATATGATACGTTTAAGATCTCCGAACTTTTTTTCCAAAAATTTTCTATCGTTGCCCTAAACCTCTTTTTCTTGTTATCAAAAAATAATTTTAATATTTGTTTATTTCATTACATACAATAAATTTTAAAAACTCTATTTCTTCACAAGAAAATTTTTTTCCTTCATATGAAGAAACATTTTGTTCTCCATTTGATGCTGAGTCTAAATCTCGATTTTTGAATTTTCTTCTTTCCAAATTTTTTTTTCCAAATTAGAAGTTTAATTCAAATTTTCAATAGTTTATATATTTTCTCAAACCGTCTTAGATTTTCTCACTTTTTAGGGATTTTCTCTCAAAATATACAAAAATAGTAATACCAATACATGTGTCTAATATACTTTAAAACCATCGTGATAAAATTCAAAAACGAAGAGTTCTTCTCTCCAAATTTTTTTCAAAATCAAAAAAATGAGAGAGGGTCAAAGTTGCTATTTGTCACTTTTCCACAAGAATATAATGGGGAAAAAGTTATCATATAGTTGATCTCATTCACCGAGGTGAGAGATGCATGTAGTGTAATGTGATAAACAGTGGGATTGCTGCTCTAAGTCCTAGGTTCGAGACACATTGGTTTCATTTTTCTCTTTTTTATTGACGTAAACTATTCAATTTTTGTGTTCTCCATTCAAATTTCAGAATTTTTTTTGCAGATTTCACGCTACATTCGAAGTTACCTTTTGTAACAACCACCACTGCCTACGAAAGACGAAAGTGTGTCACGATTTCACCCGGAAATCCGACGGTTGTTTAAGAGTAAGCACTTTTGGCACCTACTCTCAAAAAAATGAGATAAAAAAATACGTTTGGAAAATTCATTTTTAGCATTTTAGGAATTTTCTCACTTTTCTTCCAAATTGACATCCTTAGTAGAGCAGCATCCTTCTTTACATTGAGTGAAAATGAAACTACCTTCGTGAAAAAGGAAATTTAGATGCTACAAAATTATTCATGTGAAGTTTAATATTTTTAAATTATTTCTCCTCTATCCATAGTTTATTTGTATGTAAGATAGATAAGCTGAAGATGTTTAATTGTGTCTAAAAAGTGACAAAATATATGTTGTCAAAAGACAACATTGTTCATTGATTTAAAATATGTATAATTGAAACTAAACTTTTTTATTTATATAGCAATAAGCGGTCATAAATATGCAATCATATATTTATGAAGTGAATACTCAGTATTTCATAAATTGAATTTGATCACATTTGAATAAAACAGAATTTGATATTTTACTAAGAATTATAATTGATGTATATCATACTATCTGTTTATACGAAGAATATGAAGAAATCTTTGTTAAAACATTAAATTTTTAATTTGTTGATTTTGTATCTTGTTTTGTTAAATGATAAATGCCAAATTTTACATGTGTATGCAATAATAATGTGACTTTAATAATGCATCTGATATATTTATTCATGTCAATCATAAAATTAAGAATTGGAATAAATTGATTTTTGCGATTTTAAGACAATGGTGATATATTTGAAATGAAATTCAGCTGCATTAATTATCTGTAAAATCTGCATTCTCGGAAAACTGAACATAGTGGGAAAAAAAAGTCGATCATTTCTCATTCAAAAGTCTTAATTTTTTGAGGATGAAAAAATATCCAAATTCCACTTATTTCAATTAAATATGTATTAAAAATCCATCTTTTAAAAAGGACATATTTTAGCAATAGTATAAATTCAAATATTTGGCGAAAAATGGAATTCAATAATTTCAGTACGATAAGTTATTTTTGAAAGAGTATAGAAATCATTTTGCGATAGAAATTATGAAATGATTAATTGAGTTGATATCAACTTCATTCAAGTACTTTTTAAATATCTATTAAAGTATTAAATTAAATTTAAATAACTAGTAATTATTTGAGAATAATATACAATAAAAATTCTTTAAATAAACTATTCAAAAAAGTCTCATTTTTTATAGTCGGTTTCTCAAATTTTGAATACCCAGATTTTCCTGACTTTTACCACCCCTCTAAAGCTGGGGACACCGCCTATCGTTGGAAGTAGCTATTAAATAGAACCACCAAGGGTATTTTTCGAACTGCCAGTGTGGTGTAGTGGAAACATCCGACATAATGATTTATTATGCCAAGGTTTGATTCCCATTTACCCATTTTTTTCTTTTTTGGATCATGAATTTTTTTTTGGGTCACTATAAGATTTGTTTCATGTTCTAAATCTGCTGCATATGTAATCTATTTTTATTTACCTATTTTTTAAAAATCTATTGGATTGCCAAATTTGAATACATTTAAAATCATAAAAATCCAAAAAAACTATAAATATATGTTTTATGCATAGTGCCGATACTCAAATATCAGATTACTTAGATCCATGAATAATATCCGAATTTTTTTTCTTAAAATTAAACTTCAAAACTTCTTGCAATCTTATTCTTAATCAATTGTAAATTTTTAAAACCATTTTTTAAAATAATTTTGCGTAAATTTTATTCACATGTTGTTTTAATCGAAAATTGATACATTTTCAAAAAAATAATATTGACTTATGAAATTCATTTTTAAGGTGAAATAGTATTGTTTTTATTAAAGTATATGAATAATATATAAAAATTAATGAATAATATAAGCAGATTTTTAGTTTACAAAACAAATATGAGCAATGCAATTTCAAACTTTTGCTGGCAATTTCGATATTGCTCAAGTTTGTAGTATTTGTGATAACTATAACATCGGCTTAATCAAAATTCGATTTTGCTTATGAGTTATTGAGAAAATTTGATTGCAATGAGAAGGATTTCGACGTTTTTGATAAACTAAGAGCTGAGCTTTAGGGGTTCAGTTCATTTATGGCTGTAGTTTGATGCGTAGATCTCTTTTTTATTGTAAATTCTTTCAGCATGGAGATCGAGAATGAATCTTTTGAGAACTTTATGAGTTTTTACACCCGTAAAGAGGTCCTTCGAGGAAAGATAGTCCAGACTACATGAAGATGTGGGTTAACCAAAAAAATCCGATGGTTTCCCCATATTCATGTAGATCTTCGAAAAAATGAGCACCAAAAAAGCCAAAAAAATAGGCTTTTTATTGGATTTGTACACTAGATCAATAACCTATTTAGGATCTGACACTCTTTTTAGCCAGAGATATGAGGTCCTTTCTAGGAAAACGATCTATTCATCCATAAAAAAAATGAATTATCGTTTTCCCCAGAAATTACATGGGGAGTGGTAAAAGTAAGGAAAATCTGGGTAGTTTATTTTAAAAAAAAATAAAATATTTGAAGATGAAATACGATTTTTATAGCATTAAAAAATCTCTTGATATGAATCTGGATTTAATTCTGACCATGACATATTGTTTTCTTCAAATTCATCAAATTGAATTGGATTTTCTACAAAATTCATATCTGTTTGCCTATTTTCATCTTCTCCATTGGTGTTGGCTTCAATATTATCTGTGTTTTCATAATCACCAATGTCTGTAATAAATCCTTTAGGGGTGATATCTTCTTGATCATTAAGATCAATATCTGCAGTATCATTTTGATGCAATTTCTGTATTAATTTGTTAACATCAATATTATTGATCTCTCCAAAATACCTATGAAATATTTTGATTCTGTTTCTAATCATCCAATCAATTTTTGTTTTGATGATTTTAGCAAGAACTGATTGGCTTGTGATTCCTTCCTTTAATTTTTGGGCAAGCAAAATATCTTCTTCAATAGTGAAAACATTTTTGATCCCTTTTTGAATGCAATTAATATAAGTTTTTATCTTGCGCACGCTGTGTGGTACCTTCTGAGAAATGACATTAGGATCTGTAATTCCTTGAGAAACGAATTGTTCAATTTGTTTATAGTCTTCAGGTTTGATAAACTTTTTGGAGTGACCTAGGTCACCCCTCGCCTTCTCCTTGCTTGAATTTATGCTCATCTAGCAAGAGATAAGTATTGTAAATGAACTGAACTCCATTTTGATGGCTATTGAAAATTTTATCAACAACCTTAAAAAGTAATATTTAATCATAGGTATTTAAAAGTACATAATAGTGTTATAATTTTGGGTGTGATTTTTTTTTCTTCCGGTATACTCTAGATTCATTGAAAAAAATTACGCACTCAACATAAAATGAGTCTTTATAATATCACTAGCTTCAAAAAGATCAACCTGTGAAATTAAACTGTTTTCAAATTTTTCTATAATTGAGAACTTCATAATTTTGCCAGAATCAGAAAAATAATAATGGATAAACATCTAAGGCCATTCCACTAATTGAAAAATGGATTCCTTATTGATGACTAGAAAATAATTCTCGCATGAACCCCTTTTCTGGAATGCAAAACTCTAGAAAACAAAATATTAATAATTAACTTAATGATATCAATATTATCTGTATTTCACATATCAATTACAAAACATAATAGTTAAAGAATGTTTTGGAAAAATATACTTTCATCAATCAGAGATTCGATTTCAAATAATATCTAAACTATTTCAAGAAATGTATATTGAAAGATTAAGATATTGAAAAAAATTCAAAAGAATATTTAAATTAACAAACAAACAAAATTAAATTAATTATAAAACAAAATAAAAAAAAATTAATTATTTCTTTGGAAATCTTGGAAGTGGATAAGACATTGCTTCTGGGAACATTTCATCGAACTTAGTAATAATTTGTTGTATATTTGGTCTATGTCTTTCAGATCTCTTTAAAATAAATTCAATAAATGGAACTAATCTTACATCATTTGGTAATCTCTTGATATCTTTCTCTGTGATCAATGGCTGATTAGGATCTGTTATTCTTAGGAAAAATCTGCTCCAATCATTGTCAACAAACAAAAATTCACCTGTCAACAATTCATAAAACAGACAGCCAATTGACCAGACATCACTTGCAGGTCCTGCTCCTTGTTTCTGCCTTCGATCGAAGTTTGGATTAGTCAATGCAGAGTTCAAAGCAATAGACAACATTTCTGGTGATTTAATCCATTCGGTGCCTTTATTCAACATCGAATATCCATTCTGTTCATCAACATAACACATACTTTCTCCGAAATCGGCCAGTGCACATTTTCCTGTTACATCTAACATAACATTATCACATTTGATGTCGAAGTGATTGATGTGTCTGTTAGATAAAACAGTAGCAGATTCAAGGAAATCTCTAAACAAGCGAAGCATTACACCTAACGGTTTTTCTCCCTCACTTTTTCTCCAACTTCTCAAAGTCGCCGGATAAAATTCCATGACAATATAATAAGAATCAGAAGTGCATCCGTAATCAACAAGTTGTGTAACTCTCCTATCTCCTTTGCACAACTCCAAAATTGTTACTTCATGATAAACTTCGTATAAGTGTGGATTGTCAAATTCATTACGACTTTTTGGTAAAATTTTGACAGCCAAGTTTCCGACTTTCATAACAGCTCCAAATGCACCGGAAGCGATATGTTGACCGTTATTGTATTTATCTGGTGTGAACAAGTCGGGGGCTGTCAATCTCAATAATCTTCTGAAATCCTCATATTGTCTTGCATGAGAAAACATTTGTTTTGTGCTGGATCTTGAACTAGAAATTGCTTGCATTTCTAATTCACTTGTTGATTGGATACTAGCAATGAAAGAAGGGAAAGCTTGGAAGCTCTGCATAGATCTTAAGTGGCTCATTGATTGTGTGATAGGTATTTTCTGTTCTTTCAAAGGAACTCTCTCAGAAGACTCACTTTTCTCTTGTTCCGGCGAAGGAGTGAAAATATCCAACAAATTCTTTTGTATGTCTTGATTGTATTTTCCTTCCATGTGGCACATCAACGTATATAAAACATTCATCTTTCGATTCACATGTGGGAAAGGATCGACAAAAGCCTTATCTAAAACATGCAAACTATGATCAATCAATGTTGCAAACAGCAATTGAATAAACTCTAAATGAATGTCCATTGTCAAATAGATTGGTTTTCTCTTTCTTTCGTCTAAATACTGCCTATCAGTAATAGAAATCGAAGCTCTGAGAGGAGTATTACTCTTTGGTTGGAAATGCAATTGTAGTTTAGGATTCTGCAAATCCAAAGTAGGAAGTTCTGTTGGTAATCGAAGTTTCGGAATGTCCAAATATGAAACATTTTTAATGTTTGTTTCAACAGGTTTTGGAGGTTCCGCTTTTTCACCTAAGAAAGCTTCCAATTCGAATTGTTTCACAGTGAACTGCAAGAAATACAAATGTAATAGTTGTTCAGTTAAATTGGAACCTCTATTCGAGATAATTGATGTCAAAACACTCGAATAACTTTCCAAAATCACAGAACAAATTGTATGTCTATAAGTAGTAATAACTAAAGCATTAAAGAAAACACTCGTATGCCAGAGAATTGATTCTTCATCTAAATAAGGTAAAGCAGCAATAAAGAATCCACATGACATCTTTACACATGTTTCCCTCTTCCTATACGCGTATAAAAACCGATGAACAACACTCAAAGAGTTTTGAACTTGTCCTAAACTTGCAAATTGTTGTGGCATGAATCTGGAAAGATTAAAAATGGCTGTCAATCCGGCACACGCTCTATTAGTTGTTAGTTCATTGAGGAAATGTGTTGTGATCTTCGTCGGTTCGAAAATGATGGCATTTTCTAAGTTCTTCCTTAAAATACTGTCGGTTGTTATATCGAAAATTGTTCCGAAACAGGCCATCCAACCGATAAATGACGTGTAATAGTCAATGTTCTCTTTCTTCATGATCCTGTTCTGCATGGTATTGAAGTATGGCATCATTAAATCAAGTAATTGTACTAAATGATGCTTTATTTCGGTTTGAAGAATGAAATCTCGGGCAATGTATGCGGAAATGTCGGCATCTACATCAAGGAAATGGGCGAAATAGTAAAGGAAAGTATCAGCATCGTATTTCTGAAGGAAAATATTGATCAAATTATTTCGGATTGAAATGAAAGTCAAAAATGAGTCATCAATCTTATGTATTTCACCTTCAGTGAATAACAAGAAGAAAAGCGATGACTCATTGTGCTTGTAATGGTCGAAAACCGCTTGCATAAAATCTTCGCATTTCAGACTCTTAAAATGAGAATCTACTGTAGGAGATACTAACGATGCCAAAGAAAATTCTTCTTGGTGCTTCAAATTTTGAGTAATCTTGCCAATGTTGGCAGAAAAACGGCCAACGTAAAGTGAGCCGATTAATTTTCCCACAATTGTAATTTCATTGACCACTTCATCGACTTGAGCACCCAAAGCTCTAGGAGTGTTCATCGCTGAGAAGACACGGCGTGTACTTCGCGTTCCTGGTAGGAATTCGTTGCCACTACTTGCATTTGACATTGGAATTTTCGGAATATTGAGATTTAACAAAGGAATTGACGAGAAATCTGACTTAAATGTGTCCTCATTAGGAGCTTGTTGTGCTGCTGCTGACTTTGGGAATGTAAATTTGGTTGTGGAGCTCATTCCGGAAAAATCTAATAATGGAACACATTTCGGACGTTGTTTTGGTGCATCTTTGACAAATTTCTTGACTAGTTTCTTGAGTTCTTCGAGAATTTGTGGTATTTCTGTTGCTTTGAACTCATATTTTTCTTTTATTCCCAAAATCTTTTGTTTAATGCGTTCATTTTCGTCTGTAATGAATTCTTTTGTCTTCCCTTTCTCAATAGTATTCTGTTTAAGTTGGTCTAAGAACATTTTTTTCGTATCAATTACAGATAATAATCTTTCTGTGTAATCTGGGCCCATTCGAGCTTTTAATGTTGCTTTCTTATGTGTTAAGACTTCAATATCGCTATCAATATGATCTAACTGATAAGAAAGTTTGTCATTTTCGATTTTTCTGTTTGAAAAAAGCTGAGCGATTTCTTCTGGTGTAAACTCGCCAAAATGCTTTGCAAATAATGACTCTTGCTCTGACATATTCTCTCTAGATGTAACCTGAGTTTCGATTTCGTCTACTGATTTTATCGAAATTGGGGGTATAATTGCCGGCTGATGGAAATTGTCAATAGGAGTCTTAAAGTGTATCTTTGGTGGACTCTTTCTCTTCATATTTAGCTGGGGAGAGTCTGTAATTAATTTTGTCGGGGAATTTACTCGAGATTTTGCTCTGCTATCTGTAATTTTAGGCTTCTGTTGTGGTTTGTGAGAATGTTTAAGTCCTTCACGAGGAGTTACGAATTGTGTTTTCGGTCGAGTAATTGTATTTTTTAATTCTAGAATTTTCGGCATAGGAACTGCTGATCTTTGTGTTGCCAATGTTGGTGGACAAAGTTTGGCCATATCCTTAATAAGGTTTTCGTATGTTTCGCCAATTTTTTCTGCGATATCTGCTTTTATAGTGATTGAGTCGAGTTTTTTCTGGAGATTATTCTTGTGTTCATTGAGTTTATCCGCATCCTCTTCAATGCGTATAGGAGACCCATTCATCAATTGTAGTTGTAATCCGTTATTATTGTTTTTTGTTTTTTTGATCAGCAAAGTCATAGAATCTATCTTCTTTCGTAGCATACTTATCTTTCCATTCAGTCTTGTTACTTCAACTCGATCTGACTCTGGTGTGGAGTAAATATCTCTTGTTATTCCATCAATAGGAAGAAATGGTTTGATGTGGCCTGTACGGGCTAGGTTGTTATCTGCTTCTGCTCTATTGTAACGCTTCAAATCTTTAGCAAGGAACGCCCCAACGAAAATATCATTGGGCTCATTCATTTTTTACACAAAAAAAAATTAAAAAATAAAAACAGACGCAATGTTCTTGCCAAATATCTAATAATTATATTAGTTATTCAAAAGTATTACGATCTATTTAGAAATAAATGTCCAATTCCAATTATTTGCAATAGAACTTGATATCAAATTGAAAATTTTTGATTTATTTTCAAATATATTCTTATATTTAATATGTGCATTTGAAATGCCTTAAATATATATCATACGAGACATAAATTAGAGCAAATTTTATGAACCAAAGTTCGCATACCCGGCCTCCATAACAATTTTTCAGTGATTGTGGTTTATAAAGACTTAAATTATGAAAATGAGTCGTGACGTAATTTGAAAGGGTCTGACTATCAGAAATTTGCGAAAAGAATGTGATAAAACATTATTTGGAAGAATGATAAGGATTTCAATATTCCTCGAATAACACTCCACTTTAGCTGTTCACTAGAGTTGTTTTTACAGTATGGGGGTTTTTAACGTGGAAAAAAGTTTTAGCGTGGAAAAAGCTTTTTCAGCTGCTCCTAAGATTCTATGCACAAAAAACAAGTTCACACATAATCGCATAGTACCAGTCATTATAACCAATCAAGATCGAAGGTTAAAACTTATGTTATAAATATAAATATTTTTACAATTTGGCAGTTCTGAGACAATTCTGGGGTTAGAATGCATTAAAATGAATGTTCTACCATGATCCCAGTATTATCTCTTCAAAATCGAAGCTAGAAAAATTATTTTTCCAAACGCTTGCATTCTATTACAAATTGATTTTATTATATCTCTGTTATACATAAACATATTTTAAACAATTACTTTGTTCTAACACAATATTTTTTAGATACTTCTTAAGAATTAGGCTTATACTTATAATTTATTGAGATATTTCTATTCCACATCAATCAAGATATGGATGACGATATTAAATGCATAGTTTCTATTAAAGATTACATTTGATTTATTTGAAATTAATTTTTTGATTATTATGTTTTTGTATTTTAATAAAAGAGTTAACAAGAACTATATTATTTGAATCTATTTTCATCTAAAACATCAGAATTTTGAAAGAATAATTTTATACAATACTTCAATAAGCATTGTAAGCACTATCATATCAAACCCGTATATCTATGCATGTACATAATATTATATCTGCTGTGAGCTAGTTCCTAAATGCATATATATTTTATTTGATATCGAATACTTACAAACATCCAGTTCAATCTAATATAGGAATATCTTTTAATTCATCAACAAAATTTAATTGTCGGCAACACTCTCCTGTATAATAAAGATACAATTATTAATTATATATATAATACAAATCTAAGAACCATGAATCCCGAATAGCAATGTATAGTCAAACAAATGTTTTTTCATAAACACAATAAATATTATACTATCTTGATTTAAAATTATATTTTTGGCATTTGAAATTGAATCATTTTGAAATGTATAGATTCTGTTGCTTTTAATGGATGCATGATACATTATATGATGATTATCAAGTAAATCTAAACTGTTTTATCAACAATTAATGGTAATGAAGAAAATCTGAAAAATAATTTAACATCAATAGGATATTTGGTGAAACAATTATTAAACAAAATTAAACTTAAGAATTCAACTATATTTATCATAAAAATATCTATGAAAATTTACTTTAATATGTTTCTAGATGCATTTTCGTGAAAATCCACGCTAAAACGGTCTAGCGTTATCTGAAGGTCCTACGAACAGGATCTCGACGGATATAATATTGAATACATGTATAGATGCATACATACGAAATACTAATAAAAATTATGCTTATTAAAAAATATGATAAAATATTTCATCAAACTTCTTATTATATTATAATATCAATTTTAACTTAATAATGTATTTATTATTTCATTAGTCAAAAGTCTTTACTGACAATGTATTCAAATTTGTTTTTTAATTAAAATGATATTATATCAAAATATTGATATCTAATGTCAATGTTAACATACAACATAATATATTAAGTAATATAAGATTTTTATGATAGATAATATATTTCAATAATTGAAACAGAGGGAGTTTTATTAAGTTTTCATGTATATGTATCCACACATGCATCCAATATTATATCCGTCGAGATCCTGTTCGTAGGACCTTCAGATAACGCTAGACTGTTTTAGCGTGGATTTTCATGAAAATGTATCTAGAAACATATTGAAGTCATTTTTCATAGATATCTATATGACAAATCTCATTTTATGCCTAATTATGATTGATATATACAAATAATTCCTCAAAATATCTCAAAAGTTAATACATTATAATAAGATTCTTTGTAATAGTCTGCAATTTACATGAAAAAGTGTCTTAATCACAAATACCCAGAACTTACATAGATTTAATACACTAAATTATTAATCTTAGTCAAATATGTTGTGATCTTATTAAATGCAGAAAATAAGATGCATAAATGGAAATATTTATTGTATAATTAGTTTATGAATGATATAAAATAAACATTGTTTTCAATGTTTGACATTCTTACTTAGAAAAACAATGATCTAATTTTAATTTGATATTGTTATTCCTTTTGAATGATCAAATGATATACATAATCAGAATCGTGTAAACAATATTTTGGAGAAAAATCCGTTTATGTTCATTTTAATGGCACATCTTTTTCAGATAAAACAACAATGGAAGTAATTGAATATATATCAATTCCCGTTGAAAAGCTAAAATCTTTTGAAGTTTTTGTTTATCACCAAACTAGGTGTTTACACCTGGTAAGCCTCATCCATAGAATAATGAGTTAAATAATTTCTATTCTAAAGAAGCGAGTTTTTTGTTGTAGTGATGATAATAGTCCTTTCTAATTATATATTTATAATTAAATTTGAAAGCAGTGGAAGGCGAGATGAAACTATTTTGTGTATTGATTATAGCATTTATTCATGTATTTAATAGGGTTTTTACTCCAAAAAAAATATGTGTATAACTCCAAAACCCTCACCAATTATAATGCTGCAGTCTTTTCTTCTTCTAATTGTCAATTGAGAATTAACTATTTTGTGTTAAAGGTTTAATTATTTCTGTATCAAATCTTCTGCTATAAAATTTATATGTTTTTCATCAAAAGTAATATGTGATATTTCATATAGTAAATGTATTCATTAATTACATATTAAATATATTTTACTACATTTATACATGTAGAATACTTTTATAACAGCAAATTTAAATGTAATCATATTTAATTTAAAAAAAATATAAGACTATGATTTATTATTTTGAAACTTTATTTATGGTTGTTATAGTCCGACAACTTTTCCGTTCGTACGTTTAACACATTCTTCAAGATATGGATAAACTTCATCGTATATATGCTTCTTAAAACATACAACATAAAATTCTAAGCCTGATTTCTCGATCAGATCGATGTTCTTAGTGATTTGTTCACAAATCAGATCAAGTGGATTTAAGTGAAATAAAGTTTATTAGATCCTTTCCTGTTTGGATATTTAACTGAATTGTCCCATGCTTGAAGAATTGTTGCCTTGTACTCTGCTTCTAAGATGTATCCCTCGATTTGATACGTGAACTCAGACTCAACAACCTTGCGACCGAAGTTGAATGCAGCTGCATAAACATGATGTGTCATTTGTTGCATGTTTGTCTTCATGATATTATGATTAAGCTGAGTAGTTGTGACTGTTAAGTTACTGTGTGATCCAATCTTATAATGGTTGAGATTGTCCCAATCAAAGTTCTTTTTCTTCAATTCTTTTATATCTTCTCGTGTGATATATGGAAATACACTTTTAACGAATATCGGTGTTTCATGAAGCAAGTTGATCTCTTCTTCGAATTGGCCTCGTTTACCATGGATATCGACAAAATAGTTTCTGAATAGTGCTCCTGCGGCACATGCAATAGCACAATATGGACCTTGTGTGAGGTCATATTGATAACCGGAAATTCCATCATAAGTAGTTTGATTGCGACTACAATACTCAAGATAATTGAAATTTGATGCAGCTAAGAATTGTGAAGCAAGAGAATCAACCGGGGAAACTCGTTTGGAACATATTTACCACCAACTATGATGTTAAGTGTTCCATTATTTCGATCTTCATGCCTAGGAATATCATCAACTCCAACAACTTCGAACTTGCCTGCTGAATATGTTTCATTTAAGACTTTATTGTGCATAATGATTGCCCCATCGTCGTTCTTTGATATCTCGATGTTGTCACTAACTGATTTCATTGATTCTTTAAATCCAAATACAATATCGAAATACGACATTCAAAAATGAAGTAAATTTTTGACTAATATAGTCAATTTTTTATAAATCTATTAGTTATCATTATATCATTATTTTTCGCTAAGATACTTATCAAATCCTAATATTTTTCTTACTCCCCTCTCAAGAATGATCGTATAAACCAAAATATTTTGATTTAGAGGAGTCCCCAGAAAGAAAATAATAATATGTGATTGAATTTGATTCATTATTTATATTGCATTTCTGATTTCAGACTCGAAAAACAACATTCTTTCTCATTGAGAAAGAGCTACCGATGAAGAAATGGTGCATTCATAATGACATGCAAATGATTGGCAATATCACACATTTATGTTCATCAAAATTCAAGTTTTAAATTTTCATCTATCAACAAATCGAAAATATATCTTTTTTAAGTCAAAAATGAATCTCTTCTCGGATTTGATTACAAATAAATGATATAATTATTCACTAAACTTTAAAATCACGATCTTTGTTTAAGAATATTCTAAAATATACATTAAAACAATTTCGCAATAGTATGTTTTTGATAACATTTTTCGATTGTACCAATATTTCGTTCAACATTTAAAGTTCAAGAAAAAATTCAGGATAACATTTAAAAATTTTACAATTATAATAATTCTATTGACTAAATTTGCTTTATTTTCTACTTTATCAAAGTTCTAGTATTGTTACTCTAGAATATCGAGAAAATAGTAATAATCAAGTTGTTATTGGTTGTACAGCAGGTTCAAGTGGTGAAGTTTTTATTCCTAAAGATGTTATTGAAATATATAGCGATTCTCTATTTAAATCTGCATTTCAGAATTGCAAAGATTCAATTACATCACTTAAATTCGAAGAAGATAGTAAAATTACCAGTATTAGCAGATGTAGTTTTTATCAAACAAGTCTTGAATCAGCAAATCTCAGTGAATGCAAACAACTTTCATTACTTAATGAATATGTCTTTGGTAACTGTAAATTCTTGAAATTAGTTATACTTCCTCCAAATATTTCAAGTATAGGAATTGGTTGTTTTTCTAGCAATAAAAATCTAACATCAATAGATTTACCAGATTCTGTAGTTTCTCTTAACGACCATAAATATTTCACCTAATTCTAAATTAGAAACAATAGGAAATTATTGTTTTAGTTATATATATACAAAACTTTCTTCAATTTTTATTCCAAAATCTGTAAAATCAATTGAGCAAGATGCTTTTAATCAATGTCCATTAGAAAATATAACAGTTGATCCAGAAAATACAAATTATAAAAGTGATTCTAAATCATTTTATACAGGAAAAGATAATTCAACATTATTTAGAGTTTTTATTTCATATTCAGGTGAATATATTGTTCCTAGTTATGTAACAATGATTAATAGTTATTGCTTTTATAAATGTGTAAATATTTCATATATTCAACTTCATGATCATATAACAGATATTGGAGAGTACGCATTTTATAATTGTAAATCATTAATAAATTTTACTCTTAACGGAAACTTAGACACAATATCAAATAGTCATTTCTATGAGTGCGAATCTTTAACAAACATTTTATTGAATGGAAATGTAAATAAATTTGATAGGTTTGCATTTTCTAGAATGAAATCATTAGCAAATGTAACAATAAATGGGAATATTTCCTTTGTTGGAGAATCTGCATTTCAAGACTGTACTTCATTTACATGTGTTACAATTCTTGGAAAAGCTACAACAATTATTGAAAGTGCATTTTATGGATGTTCAAAATTAACAAATTTAACAATCAATGGAAATATCTCCAAAATTGGATCAAGTGCATTTCAAAACTGTGTATCATTGAAAAATTTTATCGAGGATGTTTTATTGTCGTCTGGAAAAGTGACAAAATTATTATTGTCGTCTAAAAAGGTGACAAATTATTATTGTCGTCTGGAAAAGTGACAAAATTATCATTGTCGTCTAAAAAATAGATTTTTCAAGCATGTTTCGGTACCTAAATAAAGGAAGAACATCAATTCCATCTATGTATATAGTATGCAAACACGCATGATATATGGAGTAGCTCTTTATCTGGCTAAAAATCCTATTATTTGAAAATTCGCATTGTCGTCTAAAACCGCCAGACGACAATAATAATACCCCAATTTTATCATTAAAGGAAATGTAACTGGAATATACGATAACACATTTTTCAATTGCATATCATTAAAAACTCTTACAATTCCAGAATCAGTGTCATATATTCAAGTATATGCATTTTGGAATTGTAAATCATTAACGTACATTTCAATTCCGCAGAATGTAAAATTTATTGGAGTTTCAGCATTTTATAATTGTATTTCACTAGCAAGCATTTCAATTCCAGAATCAGTAGCAAATATTTATGGTTTTGTATTTGATAATTGTACAAATCTAAAAAGTATTACATTCCGAAACAATCCAAACTCTATCTCAGTCGGAGATTGTGTATTTAGAAATATTCCAAAACCAATGAATATTCACATACCAGGGAATTTTAATCTTAGTATTTCTCATCCAAACAAAACATTTCCAGAAAGAAGTAAATTATATGTTACAAGTGAAACAATTTTATCAGAAGAATGTAAAACATTTTTTGGAGAAAAGTCAGTGATTGTTTACTTTAGAAACACAACTAAAATCACAGATGAAACAACAAATGAAGTCATTGAATTCATTGCCATTGCAAAAATATGTGTCAAATCAAAACAAGACTTCATTTATCGTCATATTAAATGTTGCCTGAGCATAATCATTCCAGTTATGAGCATCTTATAATCGAGTATCTAATAGAAATAATTTCAGAGTTGTGACGATATTTTAATATAGAAATTAATAGTGAACAGATTGAATTTAGAATAATCGTTTTTGCTCATTTTTTGCACTTGTAGGAAAACCCTAACAATTGATAGTAATTTCTTATTTTCAAATATATGCTTGACTTCTAAAAAAATAAACACATTACATATTTATTCATAAATGTATATAATTGGATCGATATCAATGGAATATTTATGTGAAAAATTCCAGAGTTGTCTGTTTTCTTCTGAATCTAGATTTGGTAAAAATAGTGGAAGTTCTGAAAGATTTCGAACTCCAAATGTTGAATATAACCATTCTTCATCTGAATATCGACTAACAATGAGTGCAATAGAATTGACTGTTTGGACTGCCATGCAAAATGGATTATTGTTATTATCATTACATGAAAATCCAAAGTATTCTATTCGTTTTCTGATATAAAGAAACAATTGGAATGGATCGAATGTTTTAATGTAAATGAAATCTGAAAATCGACCATCTTCACCATTCGGATGTTCTGAACGAATAACTGGCGTATCTAAGAAGAATCGAGCAATCTGTTTCATTCTTTGGTCTCGTAAATTAATTATATCTCTTAAAAACATGATACTGTTTGAATCAACAAATGAACGGACATAATATGTGAATCCAGAAATAACATCATACCTTTGTCTGACAATTGACTTTTTTGATGTAATTGGGAATGTATGTGTGATAACTTTGATTCTTTTGTTCCCAGATTCATCGAAATAAGTTATTTGAACTTGGAATGATGAAATTCCTGAACCAATAGATACAAAATATCCTTCTTTGAAATCAAAATTAACTAAAATAGAATCTTTCGTTGATAAATTACAACAAAAAGCTTCGTTTTCTTTGATAATCTTCCCGTTCAATGATAATTTCGTTATCTTCAATGCAGGATGATGACAAATCTCAATACGAGAATGCCAAAAATATTTGTTTCTTAATGAATTACAAAGATCTGAAAATAAAATAGGAAAATCTTTTGATTCATTGAACATCTTATAAACATTGAAGAATCCTGATGTAATTGTACATGGAAGTGCTGTCAAACTTGAAAAATCATCTCCTGATGATGATAAAAATAAGTGTAATGAAATATCTCGTTCAACAAATTCATTCGAAATAGAATTATAAAATTCTTTCGTTCGTTTTATGTTTTTGTAAAGATTAATATGTTCTTCATCTGGTTCTATAATTCCTTGGCCTGTTGTTGTGTAGTTTGATGTACAAACAATTAAGATTCCTCCATAAGGAATCAGTTTACAAGCAATACTATATAAAGAACCTAAACAATTTTCATTTGTTTCTGATTTTTCGAGATTTGAGAGTCTCGTTAGGATATTTAAGTAATAATCCAATGATTCTGATAATGGTAAAAGATCAAGTGACCACATATCAATATCATTTAGATCTAAAATGTTGATTTCTCTGCGTTTTTTTGGATCATAAATTGTTATAAAATCTGAAAATGTAATTAAGCAGATTCTGATTGTTTGATTCATATGTGGAAGTAGTTTTATCAGGGATTTCGCAAACGATTGGGTAAACTTTCTTTTGACCGAATTCTCTGAAATATCAACAGCAATGAGGAAGATGTTATTTTGCTTATCATCATCTTTTTCTGTAGTGATGATTTCGTAATCTTGTGTTTTTTGACCAATAAACTTAACTGGTTCGAAATTATTATAATTTTTATAATATTTCTTGCATGTGGGGCAGTAAAATTGATTTGATCGTAAATCATATTCTGTATATGGTGTAAAATATGATGAACAATTGGGGCATCTGGGAACTTTACCATTAATTTCGTTAAAATAATAAATATCTTTGCAATTTCTTGGTGTAACTATAAGTGAACGTGGTGTTTTATTATCAGTGGCGCTCTTAGAACTTGGAAATACTGGTGTTGAGAGTCTTGTCGAGGTTGAATTTGGAAGAATTTCGGGCCAATTAGGTCTTTTTAATAGAATATCGTATTTCCAGATATCTTCTGGCTTCTTTACTTCTGAAATTCCGTCAGAATTTTCATCTTCAGGAACTAGATATAATTTCTTTTTCAAGACTTTAGTGGAAATGAACTTTTAAAAATGTCAAAGTTTTCATCAGATGCTTGTATATTGTAGCTAATGACAACAATGTCATAATTACTTCGAAAGGATAATACAATAATCATAAACAAAGGATTTGCAAAGGGTTTTCTTTAAGTCTCTTCTGGTAGATATAAATTAGATTGTAAAAATCTAAATTTAAAAAAATATATTCAGAAAAATTAAAAATTAAGCATATTCATAAAATCACTAAACTAATAACAACATTTATTCGTATAATAAAGCGGTATTTCTAAAAAACAATTCCCGTTAATTGGTATATTGATAAATAAGTTAGTGTAACAATAACTACTGATATAAAATTCGACCTAATATATACGCCATAGCATAGAAATGGATAAGATATCATTATTGAAATCGGAATACTTATAACGAGTTTTGGGTAAACTGTGAACCATCTTTCGACTGTTAAATCAATTTTCTTTCCGAATGATTTACTTTTGAACATGAGAAAGATATATGAAATGACTGCATACGCGATGAAAACGTATGATAGGTAAATATAAGGATTTTCCGCTGCCATTTCGAACAAATTAAATTTGCTCAATAGGACAAGGATAATAGCACTCATTAGAGTTAGTAATGGAGCTGTAAGTATAAGTATGTTTTCAACAATCTTTTGAGTTTTCCAAATCATTGATTTCATATCACATGTCTGTGAGTTTGACTTATGATAAAGAAAAGATATGTCATATCTGGAATATTTTTTGAATTTCAGTTGTGTAAAAAAAATTTTACACTTTTCCGATGTTTTGTCAGGGGCGTGAAGCGACCCAAAAAATGTCGGAAAAGTGTAATTCTCAGGTATGTGATTATTTTTGCTTTTAATGCCGAACAGCATTTGAATCAAAAATAATCGTATGTCCGAGAATTAACAATTTTCAACAATATCGCTTTTGTTTTCATGGATATATTATTATTTAGTTCTGTTCGATTCATGATCAATGTTTCGACTCAAATGTTTGAATATTCGAGATATTAATTTCAATTCTCTACATTGCTATTCAAACGCTTTTAATGAAGCAATATACAATAAATCTTTAGATGTATTATACTAAATCAACATCTACTTTCATATAATCTGGAGATAAAAGTGTTAAATTGGGATATTATTAATTGAAATCTCATAAAAATATACTTTTTTCTGTGTTAAAATATGATTTTTTATTTAATAATAGGAAAGAGACTAATAATATGTGAGCATTTAATTTGAGGATAAAGATAGTTTGCTTTTGCTGTTAAATATATTTGAGGAATTGCTATGAAATCAATAACTTCTGTTGTTTTTTCATCGGGAATTTTAGTTCGACCTTCTATGTGAACATAAACTGACTTTTCTCCAAAAAAGTCTTTACATGATTCTGATAGAATTGTTTCACTTGTAATATATAAATGACTTCTATTTGGGAATTGATTATTATAATCTGAAGAAATATTAAAATGGCCTGGAATATAAATATTTATTGGGTAATCTATATGATAAAATATGTTAGAACTAATCGTGATGGTATTGTTATTGTCTAAGAACGTAATTTTGCTTAGATTATAGCAATCGGAAAATACCTCATTTTGAATTGTTGTAACTTTTTTAGGAATTGTAATGCTTTTTAATGATGTGGAATGGTCGAAAGCATTATATCCAATAAATGTTACATTCCCTGGGATTGTTATACTTGTTATAGATGTACAATAACTAAATGCACTGCTTCCAATAATTGTTACATTTTCTAATATTATTATATTTTTTAATGATATACAATGCATAAATGCACTCCATCCAATAGATGTCACACTTCCTGGGATTTTTATGTTCGTCAATGATATACAATGGTCGAATGCATGCCATCCAATAGAAGTTATATTTTCTGGAAATGTTATGTTTGTTAATGATGTGCAATAGCTAAATATATAATCTTCGATTGTTGTTACTTGTTTTGGAATTGAAATATTTGTTAATGATGTACAATGGTCGAATGCATGCCATCCAATAGAAGTTATATTTTCTGGAAATGTTATGTTTGTCAATGATGTACAATGGTCGAATGCATTCGATTGAATAGATGCTATATTTTCTGGTAGTATTATATCTTTCAATGATGTACAATATTTAAATACACCACTGTTAATTTTTGTAATATAGGGTGTCCAAAGGTGTGTTTAGCACAAACCTGAATACTGCAAATAGAAATAAACAAGTTACATATATATAAAGTTTATTTAAATATAATCACCATTGGATTCAATCACGCGTTCGCAGCGATCGATCCAGGCTTGAAAGACACGCTTTAAATCATCATGAGAAAATTGCTCAAATTGCTCTCTTACAAAATTTTCAAGATCATCTGGACTCGCGAATTCGCGTCCTTCAGCTCTCTTTTTTAGCGTGCCGAATAAATAAAAGTCAGAGGGTGCAATATCAGGTGAATAAATTGGGTTTGGAACAACTTTGACATTGTTTTCCACCAAGTAATTCATTACCTTATGACTTTTGTGAACTCTTGAATTATCAAAATGAATTGCAAACTTTTGTTTTTGTTGTTTGGATTTCTCAAACTCATCAGAATTGATAATTTGAGTAAGAACATTGTCAATTAGATACTGAGCATTCATCGTATTAGGTTTTTGAAGAATATCAATTGCGATGATGCCATTCACGCCCCAAAAAACCGACAACATCATCATTGGTGTGTCAATTTTTTTCTTCGGGAATGTTTGCGGATTTTCATCCTTCGGGATCCACATGATTTTGGCTTCTGTTGCATATTGAAACCAAGACTCGTCCCCTGTTACTAAAAAGCGAAACTTCTTGGATTGATACGCACGCAATATAGAGAGGAGCTCTTTCGAAGATTGGACTCTAGATTTTTTTTGAACTGAATTAAGGTTGTGCGGAACCCAACGTGTATACGCTAGTTTGTAGTTCAAATAATTGTGCAGATAATAACTGACTGTTGTACGTGGTATCTTTGTCATCTCCTCTATCCTTCTGAGTGATGCTCTTGGGTCTTCATCTAGCGCTTGAAGAATTGCTTTGATTTTTCTTTGATCCGGTGATTTTTTGTCAATTTTTATGATGGGCACCTTTTTGTTCATGAAGTGATACATCCTAACATGATACGTTACAGTGGAATAGCTAGGAGCATCCATACCGAAGCATTTTACCAATGTCTCGTAGATTTTTTACAGTCTTTGCATTTTTTTGCAAGAGCGAGGATGTTTTCTTTATGATTCATTAAAAAAATGAAAAAAATCCCGCCAAAATTTCCCGCGAAACCGCCTCTTGTCTCAAAATTCATTTTATATCCCGGCATGGCGCCAAAATACAACTTACTCATCATATACATATATTCATATTTTTTATTATATATTTATAATCAGCATATATCTCCTTTAATAGTCTCATATAGAGCGCTGTGCTAAACGCACCTTTGGACACCCTATATTTTCTGGTAATGTTATGCTTCTTAATGATGTGCAGTAACTAAATGCATCATTCTCAATAGATGTTAAGCTTTCTGGCATTGTAATGTTAGTTAATAATAAACAATGGCTAAATGCTTCTTTTTCAATAGACATTACATTTTCTGGGATTATTATATTTGTTAATGATGTACAATAACAAAACATAAATTTTTCGATAGTGTTTAGACTTCCAGGAATTGTAATCTTTGTTAATGAGGTGCAATAACGAAATAAACCAATTCCAAAATTTCTTACTTTTTCTGGAATTACAATACTTTTTAATGATGTACAATTTCTGAATGCATCATATCCAATCGATGTGATATTAATATGAAGTTGAATATATGAGATTTTTACTCTATAAAAACACTCAATATAAATCTTTGTAACAAAACTAGGAACAATATATTTATCATCTGAATATGCTGCGCCGACTCTAAATAGTGTTGAATTGTCTTTTCCTATATAAATTGAATTACGCTCGCCCTTATAATTTTTGTTTTCCGGATCAATTGTAATATTCTCAAATGAGCATCTTAAAAATGACCTTAAATTGAATTCTTTGAAAGATTTGGGAAAATAAATTGAAGAAAGTTTGCAGCCATCGAAGCATAAATCATCTATTGTTTCTAATTTAGAATTAGGGGAAATATAGATTGATGATAATGGGCAACCTTGAAATGCACTATCACCAATAAAAACTACAGAATCGGGTAAATCAATTGATGTTAGATAATCATCATAAGCAAAACAATATGCGCGTATAATTGAAATATTTGGAGGAAGTATAATTGATTTCAAGTATTTACAGTCCTTAAAGAGTGAATTATTAAGAAATGTAAGTTTTTTGCATTCACTTAAATTTGCTGTTATAATACTAGTATAATAAAAACAGCCACTGCTAATACTGACAATTTCGCTATTTTCTTCAAAATTAAGTGATGTAATTGAATCTTTACAATTCTTAAATGCATAATTTGAACCATTTACACCATGAATTTCTGTTACAGTTTTAGGAATAAAAACTTCACCAATAAAATCTGGTGTGCAACCAATGACTACTTTTTTAGTATCATCTTGATATTCAAGAGAACCAATACAAGAACTTTGGCAAAGAAGAAAATAAAACGTGTTTAAATAGTACTAATATATAAATTATTTTAAATTTCTCGATTTTTTTACTGTAAATTGAAAATCTTCTTTTCTTTTGAATGTTTATCATTAATTTCAAATGGCAAAAACAACGGTTCGAATAAACGATTTCTTCGGGAAGTATTAGAATGGGTATTATTCTTATTGTTTAATCTTTTAAATGGTTTTATAAGTTTTGGGACTACTGAACTAATTGAAATTACTTAAAACGAGTAAGGCAATCATTTCTAATTCTTTAAATGGAATAAATTTCCAAGATTGATGGAATTAATTGTTGAACTTGCAATAATTAGTGAAATAGACTGTTAGATTTGATGAATTGCCGTTGTGTATGGGGAATGTTTTATTTCTAGAATAAAAAATTATTACCCTTTGATAAGATTTCTGAATTAGAGGTTAATTTTGAAAAATGATTTTAGAAATACTTGCCGAATGCGACAATCCAAAGGTGTTTATTTCAATCACTTTAATTCCTGTAGGTGAAATTCTCTCCAGAGCATCACAATCTTTATATCAAAACAAAGCAAAAACCTGTGCTATTATTTATGCTACAGAATATTTCATAAGTTTCTTGCAGTTTATAAGATATATATCAATATTCGACACAATACAACTTTACTCCTAATTTTTTGACACAATCTGCCTTATCATTTAGTTAGAGTGTCAGAAAGTGGTATTCTTAGAGAGCAAAAAATAAACATATGTTTTAAACATTGGTTTCTAACATTACAGTACGTTGACCGCCGTATTGCTCAAGAAGTAATATCATCTCTTTGAAATTTGCAATATATGCATAATCAAGGGCATTATGGCCAGTATTATCTTCTGCATTTATGTCTATATGATGCATTACAAGGAATTTTGCTTGATCCAAATTATTCTTGTATGTCGCAAAATGCAGAGCGGAGTATCCATGAATTTCTTTATCATTTATATTAGCACCATGTGATAAAAGTAATTCTGCTATTTCAAAACAGTTTTGGTATATTGCTGTCATTAATGGACTGAGCCCTATATTATTTTTAATATTAACATCGGCTCCATGTGAAATTAAAAGCTTTACAATATCAATTGAATTATGTCTTAATGCCAAATATAGTGCAGTCTTCCCTTCATTGTCTGTTTCATTAATGAAAGCGCCATGTGACAGTAGTAATTTTACTATTTCCACATAACCATGTTTCGCTGCAATAATTAGTGGAGAAGATCCATCATTATTTTTTGAATTAACATTAACACCATGCGAAATAAGAATTTCTGCACATACGTAATTATTTGAGTTAGCGGCAGAATGAAGATTGGTAGAAGTAATATCTGCACCATTTTCAATAAAAAATTCAATCAATTCTTTGTCACATGATGGTGCTACATAATCAAGAATAGAACCTCCATTTAAATCTATTGAATTAATCTTTGCTCCATGAGAAACAAGAAGTGTGATTGCCTCTTTGTTACCTGTTAATGCAGCCATTTTAAGAGCTGTTCGATGCAATTTATTGTCTGTTGCATTAACATCAACTCCTTGTGAAATAAAATATTCCAAAAGCGAAGGGCTGAAAATGGTACTAACAACAAAGCAGTTTTCAATGTCATTTGAAATATCAAGATGAATAAAGAAAGCCTGAAAATTTCTCCATAACCTACAAATATTCAAATCAATTTCCAATTCATATTCTGTATTCAAAAAAGTCACAAAATCAATATTGAATGATATAATTGCATATTCCATGCATTCTTGATCAGGAACTTGGAATTTCAAACATTCATTCAAAATGTCAGGTTTTCCACTTAAAAATGAAAATTGAAGGCATTGTGGAGTTATTTCTGAGTCGAATTTTGTTCTTAATAACTTAAAACAATTAACAGCTCCGTGATAACAACATAATTCAAGATATGAAAGTCCTTCATCTGAATGTGGATATAAATCATGTTTGAGTTTTTGATCTCTATCAAATGATTCACTTTCAATGAATACAATAAATGAATCTTTGTCATCGTCCATAATAGATCTATAAATTGTGTTTTTTTCATGGATATCTAATGAATAACCTCCGAAAAGTTTCTGATCTCGATAACTTATTGGTAATCCATATTCCTTATTAAAGAAATAACGTAAAGCTTGATGATCCTTAAAATCAAATTTTATATGAAATTCTTCATAAAACATTTTGAAAATGGACAAATATGATTTCAAATATCTATTATTATATCTGTAAGCGCTGAATATTGTGCTGGGAATTCCATTTGGGAAAAGACTTGTCTCAGAATAAATTGTTTTAAACCATACGCACAAAAGAAGCTATGGTTTCATGGTAGTTTTGATATCTTTCTGTCAACTCTTTGTACATGAAGTGGATATCTTTGGATACTGGACCATCTGTCTTTTCAGTTATTTTTGTTCAAAAAAGTGACTGAATTAGTTCCAAAAATTTAGGTTATGCCAATATTAAGCAGGTGAAACATATTTCTTTGTGTTGATAACAAAATTCAAATTTGATTGTTTTATTAATTTAATTTATTTCAAAATACAAACTTATCAACGAATTATTAAGACGTCAAATGAGTTGCCGAACTGAATCTGTAAGGTGTCGGATATAAATACAGACTGATATACCTAGTGAATCAAGCCCATAAACCAAAATAAAAACAAGAGCAGAATACTTTAGTCAAATTAATCGATGTGTCGACTTATACGACAACATAATTAAATGTAATTGTTCAATTCATTTCAGATATAACGTAACACAGTAAAAAAGCTATAGAAACAGAGTTTTTGTTCGGATTCACTAAATTTTTAATACATTATAAGTTTTTATCTGAATCAGCCATAAATTAACAATAATATTATTCAAAAAAATTATTTTCATGTGGATGAGAACTTGCATTCGCTTATCTCAACTGAGGAACTCATCTTCTTAAATTGTATTTCTTCAATCTCAGTGTATTGAAAATTGCAATCAAATAATTTCAAAGAAACACCATTATTTGTACTACAAATACTTCCACCGTGTTTGTTGCCAAGGGTACTTCCAATAAACGTGGAATTTTGTATTTCTGCAGTTGATGAAAACCAATAAACTGAATAAGCTGCTCCAAGCATTGGAGATTTATTGAAATCGAATATACAATTCATTACTGAAGCTGTGTTTGGCTTTTTACTGCTTGTTCTTAAAGAACCAAACTTGTAATTTCCTGAATTATTGAAGAAGCAAGAGCATCCAATAATAGGATTTCCATCCCATATATCAAGTGCTGAAACAGATGCTGATTCGCATTTTGTAAAGTTATTCAGGAGAAAATGATACGAATTATTTGAAATAGTTGATGATTCACAGAGTAAAGCGCCTGCAAGCACTTTTGATTGGCATTTCGAGAATACGTTGCTAGTAATATTTGATTCTAAAGGAGAAATTAAGTAAATAGAACTAGCAATCGAAGCTGAATTGTTGACAAAATAGTTATCTGATATGTGTACATAAGCTATATCTAAATAAATAGCTGCTCCTTTAAAGGAAATTAAATTTTGAAACGTATTTCCGACAATTGTAGCGTTAATATCAATATAAACTAATCTATTAGACTCCATGTTGATAATAATAGCATTTTATTGACTTGATTTATAGATTTTTCCTTCAAAAATGAAAGAAATGAAGTAAAATAATCATGCAAAAAAGTAACATCGAAGGCACAATTTTTTGATAGGGGGATACCCTTCTCAATTAAAATACATGGATTTTCAAGCTCTAGGAGTCCATCCCGACATCATAGCGGCCGTTGAGTCGATGGGGTGGTCAAAACCAACACCAATTCAAGAAAAAACCATTAAGCAAGCAATTGCAGGCGAAGATGTTTCTGGTGCAGCAGAAACAGGCTCAGGAAAGACAGGAGCATTCTTAATTCCTTTATTACATCAATTATTAGAAAAAGATAGACCAGAAAAGTACGGTATTATTCTCGCACCTACAAGAGAACTCGTAATTCAGATCGCAGAAGTTGCTCAACTCATGTCTGCCAAGCTTAATATCACTATCGTTCCTATCTATGGTGGTGTTGATGACGTTGAGCAGATGGCTCAGCTCGCAAAACGTCCTCATATCATTGTTGCAACACCAGGTAGACTTGCACAGCTTATTCGTGATGCAAAAGGTTTCGACTTAAAGCCAGTACGCGTTATTGTCATTGATGAAGCTGATAAAATGGCTGCTGTTGAATTCTTTGATGATATCTCCGTTATTACTTCAAATTGTGCTAAAACGCATCAGATTATGCTCTTCTCAGCTACAATGCCTAAAGATCTCGAAAAGTTTACAGCTCTTTACAGTAAAAAAGCCTCAATTGTTGAACTTACTTCTGAAAAGCAAGTTCCACAGGCATTGCAAGAATATATGCTTACATCACCAAAATCACAGAAAGAAGCAACTCTTGTTGCATTACTTCATCATTTTGAAACATCCCAAATTATTATCTTCGTCTCTGGTGTTCGCGAAGCCACAATTCTTACAATGACACTCGAGAAGATGAACTTCGCTGTTGGTTCAGCAACAGGAGGTATGTCTCAGTTCGATAGAGAAGAACAAGTCCAAAAATTCCGTGAAAACAAGATACGTATATTAGTAGCCACAAAAGTTGTTGGTCGTGGTGTTGATATTCCAAATATCGATGTTGTTGTTAACTACGATTTACCAGATAATGGAAAAGAATACATTCACAGGGCAGGACGTGCAGGAAGAGCTTTAAAGAGTGGTATTGCAATTACTTTTGTTACTATGGAGTCATTGCAGAAATACCAGGACTTAGAAAAGTATCTAAAGAGAGAACTTCCGAAATTTGAATTTGATAAGGAGAAAAAGATCCAAGAAATATCAAAAGATCTTGAAGAAGCACATGAACTTGCTGTTGAAAAGTATAAGAAGTTAAGTCGTGGTATCAAGGATTAATAAATATGTAAATATAGAGGTAATTTTAACAAATTAGTTTTTTTTTATTAGTTATCCATCTTATATTCCGAACAAATTAGCAACCATACGGTATAAAAGTTGCACGCGGATCTGTTCAACCGTATTAATGAGCCAACTTTCCGAAAATGAATCATCGATTAATATAATTCTTGCATGTTGGAATTATCGATCGGGTAAATTCATTATCTTTGCATAATAAAATGATTTCATGATGTTATGCTTCTAGAATCTCTTTGTCTGAATTTGCCTTATCAATTATCAAACTTAAGGGACGGACAGGCTCCATCAATGGATTGTTCTGCTGATAGAAATTACATCCTATGCACTAAAATGCGTATCGTGGCAGAAAACAAGATATGGCCTTGTCATATGATAGGGAACTATCAACAAGGGAGGTGAAGTTATGTTGGAAAAAATAAAAGTATTTAAATCAAGAACGATTTACTTTAGTTTTTTATTACTAATAGATAAATACAAACAAAAAGGAGCAATTATCCAGTTCAAAAGTCCGAGCTATCAGAACCGGATGAAGCTGAGAGCATATTAATCGCGGAAATGGGTTTCGATTTGACTGGGCCGTCCAATATTGGAGCTCTGAAATAATGGTTTGAATGTGGTGCTTTGCAACGTTTTATACATGACCCTATTGTCGATGGACTTGATTTGAAAATGTTTTTATAATCAGCGCAAATGTGGCGAACAAGAAAGGGACTCGTTTGTTTTTCCATTTGATCCATTAAAAACCGAAAATAGGCTGTCAATTATATTATTGAGAGAAATTTAATCGTAATCTAAAATCAAGCTTTTGAAAAAATCTTAAAATAATATTATTATTTGCTTATTAAATATATATCCTCCAATCCGTCTGATCGTCACTTTTTACGTAAACACAATTAACCAAACGACGATAAATGTCAAGTTTGTCGCTCAGATTATGCCAATTTCGATAATACGATAAGAAATTTAGTTTTTCCAAAAATCAATATATTTGAAGGATATATTATGATTTTTAAGTTTGAAGAATTGAAATACTCAAAAGGATTCTTTATGGGTGGATAAAAAAGGAAATGGCAAGCAAATTTATTTCAAGCTGATACACCTAAATACTAATTTGATAAAAGAAAATCAATCGATTGCCGAGAAATAATTTTCAATGAAGATCTAAAACGGGATATATCAGCTCAAACCGGAAATATATATGATTCATGAATTACAAAGCATTAAACCTCTGACCCACTTGTTTATCTTATGATTACAAGACAGAAAATTGTCTTTTCATGGGAAATCTTACTTTCTTTTGAACATAAGCCACAAAAACTAATAAGTATATTAAATAAACACTTTATTATAATTAAACATTTGGCAATAAGTTCAGATCTGACAGAGTTATTCTTACAATATCTTTTTGTGTTAATTGTGGATTCTTAGATTTTCTCTTCGCGTCCTGTGAAATATTCTTAAGGATTCCTTCAGATAAATCTGTTAAAATATCAATTACTGATGATGGAGCAGAATTAAATTCATTTTCCTTAATAACAAGCGACACAAACCTTCTCAAGGCCACTCTTGTGAATGATGATGGTGGCGCTGATGGAAAATCAATGCTGCAGTTCTGATAAGGTAAAGGAATGGGTTGGCCTTCAGAATCACAGAAAAGTAACTCTGCAAGAGATCCTTTTTCGTATTGTCCTGTTTCTGCTGTTGTTCCAAGTCTAGCGCTGATCATAGAAGGAGTTAATGCGAAAGCAGTTCTTTGTGGGAAAGGAAGAGCCATTTGAGCTGAAAGAGCTTCGGCTTTAGATATCGTAATGTCGTCAATTGGTGGATGAGGAGAAGGAACTAAATTCTGATGAACAATATTTTCTGCGTCAACCATAAGTTGTCCTAACGCTTTAACAATGGCAGGTGCTATTTCGAAAGAATCAAACTCTTTTAAGTCTGATCTTGGAAGCATTAAAGCCATATCGCGGACAAATTCACGAGAGTTGCAATATTTGAATTGTCTAAGCTTACGCCATATAACGGATAATGCTGGAGAGAATGTTTGATCTATTTTTTCGATATATTCTGCAATTCTTGAGTATTCATTTCTTATTGGTTCGTATGGACAATTTATCCATGTATTTCCGTTGCCAATATATGCATCACACATGTATTGGAGAGCTTCTACATCGAAGAGAATGTCTGCACAGTTCCACAGCTTCTCTTCTTCATCGTATGACCAACCTTTTGTATTTTGTAGAAGATCAACGATCATTTCTGGTGTTGTTAATGGAATTGCGATTGGGTTTGCTGGTATTGGCTCGATGTCTGATGAAATACAATTTGCTTGGAAATAATCAAAAACAAATGGATCAATAGAACCATCTGGAAAATCTTTGCCAGTTAACTCTACAAGAAGTTCCTGCTTGTGAAGTTCTAAAACAATAAGAGGTGGAAGAGAATTTACTCTTTCCCAAAACGCATCATTGCTTTCTGCAGCCATAATCCAGAGGGCAGTATCAGTATATGGAGCTTGATCCATTAATATGCGAAGAACTGACTCTTTGACACCAAGCTTCGTTGAAACTAGAGCAAAGTCTGGAGCTTCGTCAGTCATTTTTGTGAAAAAAAAAATTAAATTGAGATTTAATCAAAGATATCAGGATATCTTTTTCAAACAAGAAAAAAACTCAAAAGATAAAAAATAGAGATTGTTTCGCCAAATTCATGGGGATTAGTTTCTATAATGAGAGCAAAGTATATCAAGTCTACTATATGCTTAAGGGCAGATTTTCATTAACGCGCTAATATTCACAAAAACTACAAATAGAGAAAAATGACTGAAATATTGAATGCTTTTTATTCATTTTTCATCTAAACAATCTTATGAGTCGATATATTTTAAGTATTGAAAGATATGCCTACTCAAGTTGATTGCTAATTTGATTCCTATGCAGGATATACATTCGTAATTTTCTCAAAAATTGTTATATAAGAGTGAATTGCAATACAAACTGCATATTTTCATCTATGTAACCATGATTATCACTAATATGTGTCTCAATTCCTTAATGAAAATTCCAAAAAAAATTCAAAATTTTAAAATTATATGTAAGAAATACAAATTTCTCATTAAAATTAGAAAAATAGAAAAAATTTGGAATTATAAACATTATTTATAATTAAAGTAAATGCTAATACATATTGTTCTGCCTCGCTAGAATTTGCAAATTTAAGATTGATAATTTTTTCAAAAAAAATATTAAAGATTTCTTAGTTATTGTATCAGTGTTTGTCTGTGAAAGACAATGCAGGATATGTTTATTGAAAACAATGAGAAAAATTAGTAAAATTTGAATATTAGCATAATTTAAAGGTTTTATTCAAAACTTGTATTGCAAAACACTTTTGAAGGCAAAGTGAAACAATGCATTCAAGCTTCTTGTAGTAATTCTTCAGTAAATAGTAAAATTTTATCTTATAATCGGCTTAAAATAAATTGTAATTAACGAAAAGATATCGCTTATTCTTACTAAGTATTATGCACATGCTTTTATTTCGGGGTATCGACTTTTAAAATGAAAACTGATAAAATTGATTTATATTGAATATCGGTCTGTATTGATAGATAATATCTAACTTAGTTAGTACAGATTTTGGAATCTTTGTTTGCTTTAAGATTAACGAAAGATGAGTCGCTGAACTAGAGAATACTTGTAAACAAAATGACTTTTTCTCGAAAACTGTCTTGCAAATTTTCATGAAAGTTAGTGTGTAAAATATGTATCAATAGGAGAATCTGTTTATTGCAATAATTCGTGAATTCTATCTTTGAAAGTTTCGATCAAATTATTAAACTTTAATGTATGCAATTTCCTTCATAGAACGCAATATTTTAAAAGAACATGGCTTTTGGATATATTCTTTTTAAATATTAATGATATTAATTTTAATTTGCATTTATATCAGCCAATATTCATACGAAAATATGAACGCTCTGCATGATATAATGGAACATTTCGAATACTTTAATTTCTCTACGATGTTTCTGACAAGTTACTGCTTTAATACCGTGTAAAACTTGAATGAATTTGCTTTCACTAAATAAAAAAAATTTTTTCATAAAAAAATTGTCATTTTTTTTATTATGCTCAAACTTAAAGTTGAGAGTTACTGACCAATGGTGTAGAGTTAAGAGTATCGATAGCCTTTGGAGATCTACGGACTCTGATGCAGAAAATGACGAAGACAACCAATAATACACCCAATGAGCTACCTAATGCAATAACAGTGATCTTCATTACCTTAGATGAGCTTGGCGTATCTGGCTTAGGTGTTGGCGTGTATGGAGCTACTGTTGGAGCCTTTGTTGGTTCAGGAGTTACTGGAGTTGGCGGAAGAGCTGTTGGAGCTGGTGGATTTGGTGGAGTATCAGTGCATTGATCAAGTTTCTGTTGGATTGGATGGCCAAGGAATGTATTTTCCTTGTATTCTTTAGTTGTATATACAAATATGTAGTTATGATGCTGCAAGGTAACATCGGCCGGTTCATCATCACCACAGTATACGATATTACTGAAGTTAACTGTATCTTTGAAAGCGAATTCTGTAATTTGAGGAACATTTTGTGTAAATATCGCTGTCTTAAGGGATTCGCATCCTGAGAATGCATCATTTCGGATTATTGTGTTAGCACCAAGAGTTTTGACTTTTGCAAGTTTCTTATTATTACTTAACATAAATGAGGAAATTTGCAACAAAGAAGCTGGGAACTCGAAGCTAGTGAATCCACAGTTGTTGAATGCATACTTTCCTGCGTACTGGAGTTTGTCCATATTTGTAATTTTATTCAAATTGGAGCAACTGCAGAATGTATGCTCTCCAATCCTCTGGACGTTTGATAAGTAAACTTCTGTCAATGATTTCAATCCATGGAATGCCTTATCTTTGATTTCTCTTACATCATTTAGAGTAATTTTTGTAACACTCGGGCAATCCTGGAAAACTCCTTCGAAAATAGTAGCTACACCTGTTGGAATAGTTATTTCAGTAAGGCGTGGCATCTTAGCGAAGGCGTGTTCGCCAATTGTTCCAGATTGATCTCCGAAATTGATCTTCTTCGCATTATTTCCATAGAATGCGTATGGCATGATCATTACATAGTTATCAGGGATTGTAATTTCTTCGGAATCATCATTGGCTACGCATGCAATTAACGTTGCATTATCATATCTAACTAAATACTTACCGTTGTTAGCTGTCATCACCTTGGCATTACCACCTTCGACATTAAATGTCGATGCGCTCTTGATACTGGCGAAAGCGCCTGGTGCAACCCATAATGTTCTCCATGGAACGAAAAGTGAAGAGAGTTTTGTATTCATGAATGCCAAATCCCAGATCTGGAACATGTGGTCGTGGTAATGGACAGTCTCAAGATTGACACAATTCATGAATGCGCCCGGTGGAATGGAATACATCGAAAATGGAACGGTGAACTCGGTCATTGCTTCGATTCCTGAGAAGCAGTACATCTCAAATATGTAGTCTTGTCCATCTGGAATGGAAATAACAGCCTTTAGACAGTTTTGGAAAGCATATGATTGGATATAAGAAAGACTCGTTCCAAATGTGACTTTGGCGAGTAAACTGCAGCTTTGGAATGCTCCAATACCAACTTGAGCAACATTTTCGAGATTTGCTTCAACCATCTTCGTATTCTTGAAACAATAATTTGGAATCTTTGTAACTGATGTTGGGATCTTCATGTTTACTTGTGAATCAGTGAACATTCCTTGACCAAGCTCAGCTGTGTCATCAGGAAGCTCGCATGTAACTAAAGATTTACAATCATTGAAAACATTTGGTCCAAATGTACGCTTCTGGCCTTCAACTGGCTTTGATTGATCACCGTCAGCAAGCTTGTATTCTTTAAGGGAAACGCATTCTTGGAATGCATTACCTTGAACGGTCATTAAAGAATTTCTGTAGTAAAATGATGCGAGACTGACGCATCCTCTGAAGCAATCAAATCCAATATATGTGCAACCATCTGGAACTGTGAATGTTTTAAGAAGAATGCAGTTATAAAATGCAGCATCATTAATCTTTGTAATTGTTGATGTAATTTTGATATCTTCGACATTCATCATGGCGAAAGCACCTTCTGGTATCTCCTGATATGTTCCACTGATTTCAATGTGTTGAACATTCTTTCCACCAACGTAAACATCGATTTCTTTTCTTGTATAAGCAATATCTGCGTTAATTGTAAGAAGTTGCTTGGTTTCGTCATACTTAATATCCGTGCAAAGTGCCCGAGATAATAGAATTCCAATCATCTAACTTCTTTTGCTTATTTGTAAACTACTCAATTTATAAAACTATGAAACCCAAACGTTTTCGTTTTTCATGAATGTCTATATTTTTACAAATCTAATCCGAATAACTCTCAACTATACTGTTGAATTTTGAATGATCAGAAAATAAGAGTTTCGGAGATCATAATATTTTCATATTCGTATAGCTGAGTTAGCAGATAAATTTTTTTTGACATTTCATTGCTTTTTCAACTCTTTTCTTGATGTTTTCTTATCTTATCCTTTCGACTTCTTCCCATTACGGAAGACCACCAGAGATTTTGAACCTCAAGAGAAAGATTAACTGCGCAGAGTTTGACTCCGAAACAGCTCGTTGCACTAAATGCGAAGAAAATTATTTTATTAATCCATATGGCGTTTGCGAAAAGCAAAAAGCAAGTACAGAAAAGAGTACTGTTAATTATGATACACAAGAAATCTTTTCAAACCCAGTTCATCATCACCATGATTGTGACCATGAGCATGGAAAGCATAGTAATGATATTCCTGACTCGCAATTACCAATTATTCCATATCCTAACAGCGTCAAGCTCTATCCTGGCAACTTTACTATTCAAGCTTCAACAAGAGTTTATACAAATTTGCAGGGTGACGATAAGGCATTGTTCCTAAATTACATTTACCTTGAAGAACTCCCAGTATCATCCACCCCGTTCGAATTAGAGAAAAACGTCATCAAATTACTTCTTGATGATACATTAGACATGAACGATGAAGCCTACAATCTCCTTGTTACACAAGATGCCATAACCATCAAAGCTAAGACCACAAAAGGCATCTTTTACGGTATACAAACCATTCTCCAATTATATCAGAAATATGACGACGAAGGAGAGATCCCATGCTGCGAAATCTATGATAGTCCAGCATTTGAATACAGAGGCGTCATGCTTGATGTCTCACGCCACTTCGTACCACTTGAATTTATTTACAAACAAATTGATATGCTAGCACACTTCAAGATCAACACTCTGCATATCCATTTAACAGATACAGGTGGCTGGCGTATCGAAATCAAGCAATATCCATTACTTACCCAGAAAGCCGCATATCGAAACGAATCTGATTGGAACAGATGGTGCAATTCCGGACTTGACGGACATTACAATGACACAGGAACACCAGGAGCATATGGTGGCTTCTATACACAGGACCAAATGAGAGAATTAGTTTCTTATGCAACTAAAAAGTTCATAAACATTGTTCCAGAGATTGAAATGCCCGGACATTCAGAAGAAGTCATGTACGCGTACCCAGAATACTCATGTGCTGGCCAGCCATACGTAAATCATGACCTTTGTGTTGGAAATCCTGACACTTTTACATTTTTATGCAATGTTTTGACAGAAGTCATGGACATTTTCCCATCTCCTTATATCCACATTGGAGGCGATGAAGCTCTTAAATACGGATGGAAGACATGTCCTAAATGTCTAAAAGTCATGCAGGACAACAATTTCACTGATTTCGATCAATTACAATCCTATTTAATCAAAAAGATTGAAGCTTTTTTGGACGAACACAACAGACATTTACTTGGCTGGGATGAGATCTTAGAAGGAGGATTGCCACCACATGCTTACGTCATGTCATGGACTGGCGAACAAGGAGGAATCATTGCCGCACAAACAGGTCATCATGTTGTTATGTCACCTTCTTTGTATATGTATTTAGATCATTACCAAGATGAATTCTTTGCACAGCCTGATGCGAGATTACCACCAAGAACACTTGAAAACATCTATAACTATTACCCTGTACCTGATGTTTTGACTCCTGAAGAAGCAAAACTCATTTTAGGTGTACAAGGAAATGTTTGGACAGAATTCATCACTTCACCTTCTCATGTTGAATATATGATGTATCCAAGAGCAATGGCTGTTAGTGAGATAGGCTGGACACAAAAGAATAATAAGAACTACAACTTGTTTATGGATAGATTGCATCATGAAATACAGAATTTGATTGCTAAAGGTTATTTCCCACATAGAACTGATAATTTGTATTTGAACAGACAACAATCATTAGTTCCTAAGAAACACTTGGCTTTGAACAAGAAAGTTACTTACACAGCTCCTTATAATCCTAATTATCCAGCTGCTGGAGATGGTGCTTTGGTCGATGGACAACTTGGTGGTTGGAATTTCGATGATGGAACATGGCAAGGATTTTATTATAGAAATGATATAGAGTTCCAATTCGATTTAACTATTGATTTGGAAGAAATTACAAATATCCATAAAGTTGCTGTTAACTTCATGAGACAGTCTGAACAGGCAAGAATATACTGGCCACAGAGATTCGTTGTTTCTTTGTCTTCTGATAATGTTAACTGGAATACAGTTTTGGATGAAACTTATGATTACGTTAACACAATTTATGGATTGTCTTTGAAGAAATACACAGGTGATGGAGTTTCTGCTCAATACGTTCGCGTCCAGGCTAAGATGTTCGATGACTTACAAGACCAATGGCTATTCGTCGATGAGGTCGTTGTTGAGTAAAAAAAAGTAAAATCTTATAATTTTAAATTATATTTTTTAAGGGTGCACTTACCACTTTCTGACATTCTCTCAAATTTCTTGTTTAAGGTTTTATTTTCTATGCATCTTCACACCCGTATATCTCTTTTTGAGAGAGTGTCAGAAAGTGGTAAGTGCACCCTTAAAAGTGAACTTACCACATTCTGACATGTTCTCATTATATCAATAAATCTTCATTTTTATAGAAAAGGTGTATAACAGCCATATGAGGTAGTAGGTAGTGATTTATAACTTTTTTCCGATCAAAAATACTAGTTTTTTACCATAGAATATTGGAATAAAATTTGGTACCAATTGATGGAATGTAGAAAATGGTAAATTCATTCTTAATTATTAAGATCGACAAAAAAGGGGCGTAAATATAAAATCCTCAGTTTAAGTACTTTCTGAAACTCTCATTGTCAACCGTATAAAAATATAATTGAAAATATATTGAGGAAGGGGATGAATATTTTCTTTGTTTGAGTTTAATATTAATTTTTAATGATGCTGCACGCCAGCTTTTGGGATTTTGGACTGAAGTTATAAGGGTATAAGCGCATTTTAAATTCAAAAGATTGAGGTATGGCAAAGGCTCTATATGGGTTGATAATGGTTAGATGTCTAAGTGTTCTTTTCAAGTCAAATATCTAGTATAATTTCCTTTATCATTGTTATGAATTTGATGGAATCTCTTTACAATTTAGATAAATTGTATGAAAAATATATGTCGAAAATTCTTCTGTAGGGTTATGTTTCCAAATTTAAAGTAATGAAAGCAATTCAATTGAGATAAATGTTTATTCCTATAATTGTATATTGTAATTAGAAGATATAATATGGTTGAAATTTCTTTCACATTCCAAATTTATCATATTGAATGAAAATTAAAAAATGCAAAAGTCATTTCCTTACTATTTTTAAGTGTTGCATGACAAGGAACTATTTTACCATTATTATCTTTTTCATAGATATTTGCTTGAAATGAAAGAAGAAGTTCAATAATTTCTATATTTTCAAAACTCTTCTTCACATATGAGATCTAATAATTGATCTAAATCAATATCATGATCATTTTCAACTAAAATGTGTTTCTTATTGATATCTGCACCATGTGAAAGAAGTAGTTCAACTATTTCCTCATTATCGTCCTCTTCCGCATAATAAAGTACTGTTTTTCCGAAATCATCTACTTCATCAATTTTTGCACCATATGAAAGCAGAAGTTCAATAATTTCCTTACTATTTGTACGTGCTAAAGAATGAAGAAGTGTTTCTCCTAAGATATTTTTTTCATTGATATTTGCCCCGTATGAAAGTAGAAGTTCAACTAATTCTTTTTTATTATGACATATGGCAGAATAAAGAGCTGTTAAACCTTCTGTATTTTTCGCATTGATATTTGCACCATGTAAAAGAAGATATTCAACCACTTCTTTATTATTTGCAACTGTAGCAATATGAAGCGCTGTTCCAATAATTTTAGCTTTGCCATTGATATCTGCACCATGCGAGATAAGAGCTTTAATTATTTCTATATTTCCAGCATATGCTGCAACATTAAGAGGGGTTCCTAATAATCTATCTTTTTTATTAACATCTGCACCATGTGAAATAAGAAATTCAAATATTTCCTTATTTTCTTGTCGTATTGCCATATGAAGTGCTGTTTCTCCATATGAATTTTCGGCATTGATATCTGCACCTTGTGAAAAGAAATATTCGCAAAGGGCTAGAATTTCAAACATTGGTGAACTATTAAAACATTTGTTAACATCATTAGTTTGATCGAAATAAACAAAAAACGCATCAAGGTTATTATAAATTGCGCAATATTCTAAATCTATTTCTATTTTGTATTCATTCATCAAGAATGAAACAAAATCAATGTTGTGTGAAATAATTGCATATCTCATGCATTCTTTATCTGGCTTTTGATATTTCAAACATTCGCTCATTATCTCTGGATTTTTTCCTAAAAATGATAATTCTAGACATGTTTGAGTTATTTCTGAGTTAAATTTCGATCTTAATAACTTGAAACAATCAACTGCTCCGTGGTAACAACATAATTCAAGTAATGAATGTTCGTTGTAATCTGGAAATAAACTGCTTTTTAGTGTTTGATTTTTATTAAATCCTTCAATTTCAGTGAAGTATATGAGTCTTTCTATATCATTATACATAAGTGCCTTGTAAATTGTATCTTCTTCATGAATATTAAAATTTACTAATTTGTAGAATTCATCTGATATGTCTAAACATATTCCATATTCTTTATAAAATAGGTATCCGGAAATAGTTGAAATCTTGGTAACCTTTTTAACATGATAATCATCAATTATGAATTTTACAAGTTTCAAATATGACTTGGTATAGCGATTATTATATGGAATGATATGTAAAATATCTCTAGCAATATTGACGGGAAGGCAATTCTTTGAATCAATCAATTGTGCTTTGATAAATTTGTAAATCGAGTTTAATTCTTCTTCTTCTCCCGTTTTTAACTGATACAATGCATTAAATGAATCAATATAGTATTTGTAGATGCTTTTTAGCTCATTGTATTTAACATGATGACTGTCATGGTCTTCCATGAAAAAATTTAAAAGTGCCAAATAATGCTTCTAATGAACCTGTAATGGCTAATTCCATCAACGATTCCGAAAAATACTTTAGATTCAAGCTGGCTATGCTTCCTTCACACAAATTTCAAAGATTAAGCAATCATTGCTTAAGCTATTCTCATTAGTTGACACAATTAACTAAATACAGTAATGTCTATTCATCATTAAGACCGCATCAATGATTTATCGAAGGAAAATAATTCATACTTCAAAAGTCTATATACAGATAAATAATTCGGTATACAATACATATTTTATAGAAGAAACCACATCAATGACTTCAAAATGTTATTAACTCACATTAATAGAATTTTTCAAAGGCAAATTTGTAAATCTCAACTAGATATTTCAAGGGAAGCTCAATAAGATTGAAACTATCAAGATGTTGAAAGTAGATTGTTAAAATCCATAAAAACCAGTTAAAAAGCTTCAAAAAAGATAAAAAAGCAAAAAACGACACGAACCAGATTTGAACTGATGCGGGACAAGCCCATGGGGACTCTAATCCCACGCCTTAACCACTCGGCCATCGTGCCTTGACATTTATGTAACATTATATTTCTATTTTCTTATTATATTATCTTAAAAATATAAATCCTCTAAGGGAACATGTCTAAATTACACCTATTAATAAAAAATGTCAAGAACAATCATATACAATATCAACGATATACACTATTATAAAACATAAACTATCTCTAATTCAAACACCAATAGATCTTTATTCTTTACCAAATTTTTCATCATTATTGATTTGTAAAGCATAATCTATTAGAAATTCAGCAGTGTCTTTATCTTTACATTCTAATGCATATTGAAGAGCAGTTTTCCCGTCTTTGTCCATAAGAGTTGTAATTGCTCCATGTGAAACAAGAAATTCTACCATTTGCTTATAATTTTTCTCTGCGGCTAAATGAAGAGGAGTTTTCTGATAACAATCTTTTTCATTGATTTGTGCACCATTTGAAATAAGCACTTTGGCAGTATCTATGCTATTATAAGCTGCTTCACAATGAAGAGGTGTTCTACATTTTCCATCACATATATCCATTTTTGCATGATGCAATAATAGGATTTCTACTATATAATTAAAATTATCCCTTGATGCACAATGCAGAGGGCTTTCGCCAGATATATTTTTGACATCTACATCTGCCCCATTTGAAAGTAGAAATTTTACTATTTCAACATTATTATTGTATGATGCTATATGAAGAGCAGTTTCATTGATCATATCTCGAGCATTGATATCAATTTGATGCAAGGCTGATAAAAACTTGCAATTATCCAATGCGTTAAACCTAGCTGCAAAATGAAAACATGTTTGCCTTCGTGAAGTGAGTTTGGTATAATCTACCTTTTCATTTTTTAATATTTCAAGAATTCTTGGAAAAGCAGCACACCATGGGAATATTGAATTTTTATCTTTCTCAAACATAAAAATTACAGCTTTGATGTTTTGTGATGATAGAATATCCTCAATATCAAAATCTTCAGGCTTAAATAGATCATGATCAAAAATGTATTCAAGGAATTCGTCATTATGAGATAATAAAATATCCCTCAATAAACTTCGATCAATTTTTTGTACTTTTAAACATTCATTGATAATATCTGTGTTTCCGCTAATAAGAGCGAAATTAAGACAATTAGTTGATATTTTTTGACCAAAGTTTGACAGAAGAAAATTAAATACATTCACAGACCCATAATAAGCGCTGGCTTCTAAAGGTGTAAGTCTATAATGAGGGAAAATTTCAATAGTATCTACAAAGGTATTGTTAACAATATATTCTTTGAATTTATCGATTTGATCATACATTATGAAAAAATGCATTTCATTCTGCTTTGGAAATTGTATGGAGTTCAAGTCAATTTATAAAATATTAGCATTATTTTTAACAAACTTGAAACCATAAAATTCTGAGAATGATGAACAATACCTTTCATTAATTTCAGAATTTGAATAAATCGCAAAGATGTGATTGATGATTTTCGCATAAAACTTAACGGAGCGATAGTTATATGACATGGAAGAATCTAAATGATTAACCAAAGCAATAATTTTGACGTTATACTTTTTGATAAGAATTTTTGCTATTATATTCCAAATTTCTTCAAATATGTCGCTTTCCTTTAGGTGGAATATTTTATTGTATGCGAAGATTAAGTCTTCATAATGCTTTAAGTACTCACTCCGCATAAATTTAAAATTTGATTACAAGACTTTTATTGGCGTGAAGCACCAATATACTTCTAACTTTTGACATTAATTTCAAGTGTCAAATGCTAAAATCCTTTGCTTTTATTCATACAGTTTCACTATTTCTGTCAATAATCCCTCCAATTATCACCATCGCTTTACTTAGAAACAAAAACAGTGCTTTTACTTTTGGAAAAACATTTTCAATTCCTCTTACTATAGAAATAGGCACATATGCTGTTTATGTCGTTATTGCATTAATAGGTTACATTTCAATATGGATTAAAAATCGACTTCTGGGCTTTGCATATTCTTTTTATTATTTGCTTTCGATAGCTTTCCTTCTTGCTTCCACAATTGTATTTTTCAGATCAGACAAGTACGTAGTGCAGCATATGTCAATGCTTTATAATACTCCATCATTTATCAATTCTTCTTCAATTACATATATACACACTAACTTAACATGCTGTGGATTAAAGAGTCAAGCAATCAATTGTGAATCCATTTATAATACCACAAACTATAATACAACCTGCGAAACTGCTGCATTTAATGCATATAAGAAATGCAAACTAACACTTCAAATTGGAAATGTACTCGTTGTAATAGTTTGTATCGTTAGATTGATTTTCTTAATCTTTGATATATTCCATGGGGATTATGATTCTAAAGATTCTGATAGTGTTTTGGCGAAATTTGTTAATTTATCATAAATGTTTAATATTCTATCCATTTACATTTGATTTTTAGAATTCAATATTTATTTTCATCAAAAAATAGGACAAGTCATGTGGTTTATGTATGTAAATGACTTGCCAATAATATGAATTAAAGTTCTCGGGCATAATGTTTATGTTGAAATTTTGGGAATTTTCAACTCGACCTATAAAATATGCATTTAGAATATATGTGGCTAGTTCTAAAGATATAAAGTACTCACAAAATCTAGATTGAGAGGCGGTCAATGACTTTTGAGGGGAAATTAACGCATGAAATTTAATATTATTTAGGTTGATATTCTTGCTTATTATTTCAGAAAAAAATCTTAAAAATTTCAATATGAAAATTGAAAGCAATTCAAAAAAATTGCTAACATGTAAATTTTAATATCCTATGCATAATTTCATATTTTGAACATTTTTTATTTTTGTTTAAAACTTAAAATTTTGCGAATTTAATATAATTTATAAAATATAATACGTATATATATTTAAAATACACTAAATTTAATTGTTAATTGACGTTTTTGGGAATGAATTTTATCAAAACATGCCTGAATCCGAAAATTTGAAAGAACGAATTACACAATCATATATGTAGAATTCAAAATACAAACTTAAAGATTGTATACGTTTAAAATTATTCAGATTGTGTTTGATTTCCACTCATTCTGTTTCTTTTGAACTCTAACACTAACATTTCATGATGATTACATGATCCATTTATACATGGTTGAATTGTTCCAGATTCTACCAGAAAATCAATCCAAATTTCTCAATGCATTCATGTTGATTGGACAAAATTTAAAATTTATCAGCCTGTTTCCAGAGAAACTCATATATTCCCTAATGAAATGTAATTTTTGCTACATTTATTTCAATCAAATTTCAAAAAATTGACTGCAGAGCTTGAAAAGGTGATGAATCATGTTGTTATTAGATGTACATATTAGATTTACTATTTCCAAAAAAATGCTCAAATTTGAATAGTTTTTAGAAAATTTGGAATTACACTCCTTACATTATATATAATTAAATGTTTAAATTTTATTTATTTTTCCCTTTTAATTTTATAACGTGCTCTATCAAAACTAACCTCTCAATTGAAGGCCACAAAATCTAAGTAGTGAGGGTACACAAATTTTGTATGGAGTACGGTTCAATTTTTGAGAGCCTCACTACTTAGATTTTGTGACTACCTTACATATGAAAATTTGTTAATTTGAAGATTTAAATTGAAACACGCTTGAAATGCATATCGGTGTGAGAATATTATAAAACTGGCTTTGTATAGTATGTGGTAGGAATATAGAACCTATGCAGCCAATTAATTTTATGAATTAAATAAAATATGAAGTTTAATAGGTAATTTTAGGTGTAATAATATAAAATTCAATCCTCTATGTTAAATATTAAAGAATTAGTTCTATATTGTAATCCCATTAAAATTTGATTTTTTTTTTGTTACTCGATTGAAATAATTTATAAGAAAGGAGATTCATTTTGAAAATGACTTGAAGATAACTTCATTAATGCAAGTGATACCACAAAATGCCTACTATCATTGTTTCCAGCTTTAAACTGAAAATTATCAAATTAGTTTTAAAAAATCACTTCCAGAAAGCAATAATTTTATCACATAACTATTTTTAACGGAATTTAATGCTTAAATGACTGCTTTAATTGTTATTATCTTATCTTCCAGAAATCAATCTAAGATATAATTATTTCATAACTTCTTGCAATATAATTCATTTTCAAACAAGACTGTTTAATAATTATAATTTATTACTATCAGAGAAAAATGTCTATTCTGGAGTATGAAATGATTTTCCTCCATGAGAAATCAAGAATTCTTCAAATTCTTTATTGTTGCATTGTCTTGCATAATCGAGTGCTGTATAGTTTTCATCGTTTGCTGCATTTATATCAGCACCTAAATTAATCAGTATTTTTGCTGTTTCCATTTCATTACAGCTTGCGGCACTTATTAAAGGAGTATTACCACAATTACTTCTTGCATCAATATCTACTCCATTAGCTATGAGAACCTCTATGAGCTCTAAAGAGAATCGTGTGCACAGGAAATGAAGAACTGAATTTCCATCTTCATCTCTTATGTCCAAGTTTGCATCAGAGTTTATAAAAAGATTGAGCATTTCAATTGAATCATCACAATAATGTAGAATTGGGATTCCATACTGATTTTTTGAATTTACATCTGCACCATGTTTGATTAGGAGCTCCGAAATTTCAAGTGAGTTAATACTGACTGCATTACCAAGGGCTGTCATATAACATGAGTTTGTGGCAGGGACATCTCCGCCATTATTAATCAAATATTTAACAAGGGTTAAACTATTAAATTTTGGAGAATAAGTTAAACATGTGTTGATATCACCAGTTTGGTCTAAGTAAACAAAAAATGCTTGGATATTATTATATGCTACGCACATACCAAGATCAACTTTAATATTAAATTCGTTCATCAAAAAAGTAATGAAATCAATATTATGAGAAAAAATTGCATAATACATACATTCTGAATCTGGTTTTATAACTTTCAAACATTCACTCATTATATCTGGTTTTCCGCTTAAAAATGAATATAGAAGACATTTATGTGTGATTTCTGACTTGAATTTGGTTCTCAACAACTTAAAACATTGAACTGAGCCAAAATAACAACATAATTCAAGAAATGATGAATCAGATAAGCACCAAAAATATCGGCATGGATACTTTTGTTGTGCGTCAAAGTCTTCTTTTTCGGTGAATCCTATAAATGCTTCGATGTCGTCTTCCATGATTGATCTATATAATGTGTTTTTTTCATGAACATCAAGAGAAAAATTTCGAGTTTTGAGTTCCTCGATTTCTTTTTTGAAAATGGTCGGAATAATGCCATATTCTTTATACATGAAGTAATTTACAATATAATTGTTGGTAAAAAATGGTTGTGGTTGAAAATTGTCAAAAATCATTTTGAATAGAGTCCAATATTGTCTTAAATATCCCATTCTATACGTCATAATATAGTCTATTATATCTAAAAGCTGTAGAGCAGAAAGAATTTTGGGGTCAATCAGATTGATAACAATCTTTTGATAAAGATCATGTATTTTTTCGTTTGAATCTAATTTATATAACGAGTCGAAAATATCAATGTATTCTTTGAACATACCCATAAGTTCTGAATAAATCTTTGAATGCTCACTCATTTGGAACAAAAAAATTTACCACCCTTTTTACACTTTTTGAATTTTCAATTCAAAAAGTGTAAAAAAGGTCGTCATTCTTTACGCACTTTTTCAATAAAATTTTTCATTTTTATTTTGAATACTTCACAAAATTTGAGTAGAAAATTGAAAAAGTGAAAAAGAATGTCATGTTTTTTTATTTGAGGCTGTACATACACCCATCTGACTTTTATTCAATTTTTTGACAACTGGCGCGATGTCTCATTGAAATTCAACCTTAAACATCTAAATTGAAGGTCATCTCATAGGAGCGTTAGTGCACCTTTAAAACTAATACTTGATGAGGTTATGCATTCCAAAACAAAAATGCTTTCACCTCTCAGGAGGCAAAAATGCCCTTGTATGAAGAGATAAAATCTGATCATATTAACAGAACCATTCTAGTTAATGGAAATATTATCTAAAAAAGTAATTTTGACTTCTTATGGGTGCATTGACACCCTTTACAAATTTAATTCAAATTCCTTACAACGGGATTTAAGTGTCATTGAAAATGAACCTTAAACAAACACAATTGAATGCCGTATCTTTCGGGCAAAAACGATTATTTTACATTCAATCTCTGCATTTTTTGTGCATTTATAAATTAATCCGCATAAAGTAGCACATATTTATAAATTTCATATTTATTTTTGATTATGCAATTGTTGTTAATCAAAATTTCCCAAGAATTTTCAAATTCCCAAATTCAATTTTAAATAATCGTTTTTGACCCCATGTAAAACCTTCCTCTTAAAAAAAATATTTAATAATATCATTGATAATAGGTATATTAAGCAACTCATTTTGATAGTTGTCTAATATTATTCTTTATTAAGTCAGAAGTGAAAGATCAATGATTTGCTTGTGAAAAATCTAAACCTGCAAACAAATTTACAGCTGAACCGGGCTGTGACAAATTGACTGGTGCTGACATTGGGCGGAAGTCTCCTCCAGTCATCATTTGGTTAATTACTGCGTCTCCGCTTGGTTTCTTTGCCCATCTTGCCATTCCTTTAATGCGTCTAGAGGAAGAGTGTTGGACTATAACCTGAGGCTGACGCTGCTCGTTCATTTCATTTATGAAATCAAAGCTACTTGAAGCTTCTGTATTTTGTATTTCTGGTGGCTTAACCTCTGGTGATTTTGATATTTTAGGCTTTGTGACAGGTTTAATTGGATTTGGTTTCGGAATTTCTGTTGGAGTTGGATTTGGCTGACTTACAACTGGTGCTGGCTGCATATAAGGTGATTGCATCTGTTGGTTACTTGGTGTAGCAAATCTTCCCTTGCGATTTTGAGGTGGCTCACATGAATCGGCCCAGCGGCGCTCTACGTACTTTTGGCGAATGAAATTTTCCATTCCAAATCTGTCGTATGGTGATGGTATACTGAAATCTGCAGGAAGATTATGTAGCCAGTATTCATTTGCAACTCTATTGCCAACACGCTTCATAACGCGAGCCTGTTCAGGAGTCCAACCATCTAATGTTACTGATCTAACAAATGATATGTGTGTGCCTAATGAACGATGAATACCACTGCATTCATAGCAAATAAATATTCCAAGTGTAGAACTAGCCCATTTTGATACATTTTTCTGGCAATCTGCGCATACAGCGTTCTCAGGATCCGCTAGAAGCTGCTTTACAAGCATCTGCGCTTCTGGTGTACACTTAGACATTCAAAATCTATCTTTGGATTTTACATGGCAAAATAGTACTCAATTGATAACTAAGATTTTTGTAAATAGTCAAAAATAATGTTTTGACGGTGTAAATTTCTAACTGTAAAAATTTGTAAAGCGCTTTTCTTACACCAATTGTCAACCGAAACCGGAGTCAATTTTACAAAAAAATCTTTGTGTATCCGAAATTTTAAATAATATATTTGTTACTGTTGCTATTAAAAACAATATTATCATGTTTCTGGCAAGATTTTCCATAGATTTTAAATCTCAAGATTAGAAAAAGAGCTTGATATGAGTTCTTACATATGGAATTCAATTTGTTATCTCATAGAATGTAAGATCCATCAATAGAAAGGACTCTCCTAATAAAATTTTGGCGAATAAGAGAATGATTAGTTAATAGAAGCGCAAAACACTTTAAAAGAAGATATTATAGCAGGTGAACTTTAGCAGGCATACATGCACTATATGGAAATTAATCAATGAATCAATATAAGCTTTGTCACTTTTGCAAAAAAAAACACATAACTGAAAATTTAGAAAAATGAGTTATAGAAATTCGGGTTCAGAGCGCTCTAAAATTAGAGTCAAAGTTCCAAGAAAGAAGTATGATGAAAATGGAAACGAAATACCTCATGTTCACCATCATCACTCAGAAAATGAAAAAATTGTAAAGCACTCTGATGGCAGAATTTCAAGAAAGACAGAAACATCCACATACGATACAGGAATTACCGTAGATCCGATGACTACAAGTGATATTACATATGAAATGTTTGATAAAATGAATCAAAAGCCAAAAGAAAAGCCAACTAAAGTTTCACATCAAAGATATACTCGCGATAGAACCAAAGTCAATACAGTAGGTAAAATTAAGCATTTTCAATATGATTCATCGGATGAAGATAAATTATTTACTCAATTAGATCCAGATTATGAAGCACCAGTTATTAAATATAACAACATATTCGTTGGGAAAGGTCAATTTGATACTGTTACTACTTCCTCTGCATCCACAATTGAATCAGCAGCTTCAACTCAAGAAGTTGTTTCAAGAGACCTTAGCACACCATCACCAGACCAAACGAAAGAACCTCGCACATCCCAATCCTTTACAAGTTTCATTGGTGCAGAAAATGCACAAATTACTCAATTTACTTCTCTTCCTGATGATTCAGATAATCCTAGACCACGTGCTTTCGATAAATCAGATCCATTTAAGGTTGTTGATGACAGAGATACGAAACTTCTTTATCCAGAAGGAAGAGGAATTCCAACTCATTCATTTGACTCTTCTCAATACGAAGATCCATTTAACTGGCTTTATAAAGGCCGTGTAACATCATTAAATGATATAAATAATGATAATGCAGATGATAATACTTCAAATAACAGTGGATCGTTCCTTGGTGATGCTTATATCAAAGGAAATGCATTTTCACCACGAAAGTCATCATCTTCATCTCGTTCTGTTAAAGAAAAACAAAGATCAGAATCAAATACAACAACTTCAACGACTGAAGACGTTTCTAATGAGTATTTGAACTATAATGGTAATCTCCAATCCGTGAGTAGTAATATGGAGTCATTACATTCACCAGAACCCAAACAAAGAAATCAAAATGTTGATCAGAAACTTGTTTCAATGACAACTGTATCTGAACTTATTTCTGCAACACAAGGAAGTGCTGACTACGTTGAAGCAACGAGATCTGATGATAAAAGAGCAGAAAAATACGTTGAAGCCACGAAATCCATGGATTCTCATGTTGAAATGCCTGATGATGAACTCGAAGAGGAAGATGAGGAAGAAGATGACTATGAGGATGAGGAAGAAGACGATGAAGAAGATTTTGAAGAAGAAGATACAATGAGAGATGAAGAAATTTAAATATTAGCTTTGTAATTTTTTGTTTTGAATAAATTTAATGTTTTATAAGTTATGTTTACTTAAATTATTCATTATAATTGGATTCAATATTTCTCATTGAATATACCCTAAATTCTATTCATTATTCCTTAATGATAGCTAATAATTTTGGATGTATTTATAATATCCTTGGTTATAACTTATAGATCACGATGTAATCAAAGCAAATATCTCGATATTATTATATTCGAAGGAAATACATCTATTTGGATTATTTGACATGATAGAATAGCTACTCCAATGTTATTTTTACATCTTAAAGTGCATGCAAACTGATTTTGAAATCAAGATTCTGTGATTTATTGAAACCTTTGAAATTTCCCTGAATTTTGATTTTGCTTGTACTTTCTGATCTGCGATAAAGCGTATTGTAATGATTTTGAATTTAATTTTTTTGAAAACCGTAAATTTTTACGAATAATATTTATATAATCCATAGATTATTAAAATTTGAGAAAAATTGCTTTTGAGATTTTGAGAATGATAGATTTTTTTATTAATTTTTTATTTGAATGAAGCCTATTTTAAAGTATGGAAATGCTCCAGGGAAGAACGTTCTAGAGTTTCCTCGTTCTTTCCTGTTCTTTTCCTACTTGATCAAAAAGAGTCCAAATATGGAACCTTTGAGGGAAATAAAGTGGATTCTTTATCATATTCAAACAGTTTGTATTCCATTATTGCCATTTTTCACAAGAATGATCTTTTTTAATGAAGGCGATGGGATTCTAGCCAAAGTTTATTCTATTGCAGTCACATATAATTCATTCGAACAAATAATGGAAAATAGATATATTACAATGTTATGGGTATATGCATTTTCGCTAATTGTATTTACATTTATGCTCCTTTTGCATCAATTTTTCAAAATTAAAGGAAGTCTTCCACAATGGATTACTATTTTATCAGAACTTATCTTTGACATTCATCCACTCAACCTTATGGTTCCATTAATTAATGCAATTGGATATGGTGCCTATAACATTTTAAGTGATAAATCAATATTATCGCTGTCATATACGAACATGGTGATATCCGCAATCAATTTGCTATTGTTAATCATTTTTTACTACTGGGCGATGCCTCTCGCGTTTCCTTCCCAGTTTCAATACAAACAATACATGAAAACCATCATTATATACGGTAAAAACATCTTTTGGTCGGTTCTCCTGTTCTTACTAACCATTGTAATTACTGTTGCATCAAAGTCTCGCTCAGCAATTCTCGAATCTGAGTTAATTATTGCTTTTTACTTCATGTACAGTACAATTACAGTATGGATTAAGCCTTCAAGTAATTTTTTTAGATTCTGGATCATGTTATGTGCCTATTTATGCGCTACAATTGTTGCAATTATGTCATCTATTTATATTTACGTCAAATACGTTGAAGAGAAGTATTTTGCGGTCATATTGATAGGAATATGGGTGTTATGCTGCGTAGTTTCAGTATTTCTGATAAGATATAAAAATAAGAAGTTTGATTCAATGATTGAGACCTCAAATTTCTCCGAAGCACGTCCTTATGATATAATGTATATCTGCCAACGCGCGCTTTTCACTTCAAAGTTTTCCCAAAACTTAATTGTCTTAATGGACGAAATGTACTCGAAAGATTCGTCCACGGACAACTTAATCTCACTCATTGCAACGCAATTGGCCTACGATGTCCATCGTCAAGACCTGGATTTGATGATTACAATTTTGGCAAATTCTTCAAACCTTCCTAGAATCACTCAGTTCCTTGTCTACGAGCTTTACAAGAGGTATACCAATTCATCCAAGCTAGTTTGTTTACTATCCGGCGTGGAATCAATCGATAAAAGAATCCAAGAGTTCAAAAACAAGTCAGACAAATTCTGGAAGTTTACGATGCTTGGGCAGACCTCAGAAGCAATCAAATCCGTTGGTTTTCTTAAAGTTTTATTGGACGATTTGTCTTATGATTACAGAATTTACGAATCCTTCTTCCCGTCGCATTCCAAGGTTCATACTCTATACAATGAATTTTTCAAGAAGTTCATTATGAAGCCTGACGCCAAAATTTCAGAGTTGACAAGGTATTCTGTTGCTGATGACTTAGTTATTCAAGATACGACAGACGGATCATCATCAGTGCATAGCTCAGATAGCAGCAGTGATGAAGAACTAAGAAATAGCCAGCAACAATGGATTAATGAAAATATCAAAAAATTAATTCAGAAATCTGTCAACATTCCTTTGTTTATTCTAGCGGTAGTCATATGGATTGGCACCTTGTGCGTCTATTACTTCCTAATTCAGAAGCCTTCCGAGACAAAAGACATCGCATCTGAATATCAGTACATTCCCGACGCAATTTACGCAATGGAAGAGATGACGATATCATGGATGAAGATTGCCTACATGATAGATGCATTCCGAGCCAACATGGATCCTTTAAACTACTCATTTGACAAAGTTAAAGAAATTATGCACCTTTTGTCAACGGATTTCGTGACAACGGCACAAACAGTGTATAACAATATGACCAATGAACTCCATTCTCTCCAGAAATTCCTTGGAAACATAGAAACAAAATTAGTAAATTTGGATAATGCGGAAGAGAGCTTTGTAGAGTTGAAATCCGATTGGTTTGTATCTAAAATTGTTGTTGATAACTTCAATTTGAGCATAGATGAAGTTCTTTCGGCTACATCGAGTCAATTACTTTCAATTAAGACTGAAAACATGACGAAAGAGAATTTTACTGCAGCAATAGCAGAGAGCTGGAGTTACCTCTTCGGAGTGACCATGAAAATCGAGCACCAAGTCTATAAAATGCTCAAAATCCTCAAAGACTTTACAAAAAGTAAAATAAGAACAACGATGATCGTCAACAAAACAAAAATTATCATATTTTTGTGTGTAATTGCTTTTTGTGTGTTATTAACCATTCTTATGGTATTTTTAATTGTTAATCACTTCGGAAAAGTCATAATGTTGCATTTCCGACCAAATGTTCACCCGAATCCGCAATTAGAGGTGACATTGTCCGACAACATATCGACAAACGTATGTTCGCCAATGTTTATCGGTATAGTTTTCACTTATATCATAGTTATGGCGTTTTTCATCGGAATTTACTTCTTAACTTCGTATTTCCGCGGCCAATTCTCAAACGAGATCTACAGATATTCCGATTGCATCATATCTGTGCACAATGTAACCCAAAAACTTGGTTTGCTTCAGTTCAAATTTGTATCAGATTTAGAATCAAACTCATTTGACCTGCAAAGGTACCAAAGTCTCATAAATGATGCAGCAACATTATTAATACAATCGTTACAGTCGATTTACTATGCGAATTACCGTGGAGATATTTTATTTAATTTTATTACGAATTATAAATGCAACATTACGCAGGATTCGACTGTTTCCGATGTATTTGGATGCTGGGGATCAACCGTTACCTATAATTTCCTTGTCCATTACTCAGATCGAATGAACAAAGAAAATAAAACCAATGGATATGATTTCTGCCACATGCAGTACTTGTATTTAGACATTCTCTTGGATGACATGATGACTCTCTGTGGAGAAATCCTTAATTTAAGTCATTCAACGGTTTTAGAATACAAATACATACAACATTCAAATTATGGAGTTTTATTTACATTGGGAATCTTTATTTTCTTTGTTTATTATGAGATTTTGTTTGCTTTATATGTAGTTGAACTCCAACTTGGTCGCCAGATAGCAGCTCTAAGTCCAATGTTCATTGTTCAACACCAATGTTTAGTTTCTTACGTCGCGGATTTGAGTGAAGATGAAAAAAGTGAAAAAGAAGTTTTACCTTTCTTCGAAATTTATGATTCATCTGGTGTAGCTGTTGTCGCTTTGAACGAGAAACTATCTATAATAGCTTTCACAAAAGAAGTACTAAAGATATTCGCGTACAAAGCACAACAGTTATACGGACAAAGTATCGAAGCTTTAGTTCCTTTGAATGAAAAAGTTTACAAAAACAACGATAAAAAATTTTACAGACAAATCGAGTTGGCGAGGAATCACGAGGCCGCAGCACGATTCAGTCGAACAGTTACTGGTTGCTGCAGTGACAGAACTCCCGTCGATTTGAAAACATCTGTTTCTTACGTAGAAACAAGTTCTGGAAAATATTTTGTCATTGAATTTCGATCAATTGCCAGAGAAACATTTTACGAAGAGCAGTACATTAACTCCAGCAAACTCATTAACCAGTACAGATCTTCCGCAATGCCAATCATGCTATTCACTGATGACCCCGCTTTGAACAGAAGAATGACATTCAAAGAGACGATAAAAGTGAGATATCGTCATTACGCGGCGGTTTATGTCGGTTTGATTATCGACGAGAATTTTGAGTTGAATGATTTGAATGAGAGCTCTTTCAGTCCTATGAAGGACATTCTCAGTTTGAGCACTCCTCTTTATTCAGGTGTTTCTGGAGCGTTGGTTATCGACGCGACATGTGAAACAGCAATTATCATTTTCGTGAATGATGAAGATTCAGACGCTCATTTACACAACGCTATCGGTTTCTCCTTGGATTTCTCTGAGAAAAACATTTACCCAACACACGGAGTAATCATCGAGGGTGATGATATTGATGTGTGTCTCCATCCCCTCCCTGACGTAGTTGATCAATATGGACAGAACTCCAAACAAATTCGTCCTCAAATGTCAATTGAACCTGCAAGTGAAGTTCTCCAAAAATTGGCAAAAGTTGTGCAGATTGCGATCGAAAACTGCTTGATATTGCCGACAAACGCTGCAGAACTCATCGCTGATGTTCCTTCTTTGCCTTTTGCAAACGATTTGGGTCTGGATCTTTCGTTCATCGAAATCAAAATTAGTTCTTTTGTTAATTGATAATTTATTTTGTTATTTAATATATAATTAAATATCTTGTTTAAGCTTTATTTAATTTGAATTAAATTAAATAATATAAAACATGAAATGAAATCAAATGATTGAATTATATATAAGTTACTGAATGAAAAGTCACTTGCCACGATAAAAAGAGCCCATTTCAACTTATGCATCCCTGAAATCATTATATAGATATATAAAAAAAATATCCGATTATTTCAAAATCGTTAATTTTGATTTTTAGAAAGAAATTATGAAAAAGAAATGATAGTTTAATACTTAATGTATCTGTTAAACTGTTATATTTTATTCAATCAAAAAAATCAAAATTTTCTAATTGTATACACTCGTTGCTTATTCTTATAGTAAGTTATTAAGATCAATTGTCTTTATGGGTTGTAAGGAGATTGTGGTGGCTGATTATAGTTTGGATATCCTGGTGGTACAACAAATGGATCTTGAGGATTGTATTGTGGAGAATAAGGTTGAGGTTGATATTGTCCAGGAGGATATTGCTGAGGTGGATACTGCTGTTCTGGATAAGGTTGAGGAGGATATTGCTGTTGATATTGTTGTGGAGCATAGTAATTGGGTACTGGTGTCTGAACATTTTGAACTCCTTGATTATTATTTTGAATTTTTTTCTTCTTTTTATTTGAACTTGATGAAGATGATTTTTCGTTCTTGAAGCAGTGTGTTTTCTTCTTTTTACAATGCAAAACCCAGTTTATGATAACCGCAAATAGAATCACAATTAAAAGACATGTCACGCTGAAGACTGTTGGTCCATGGCCAAATCTTAATGCTGATCTTCGAGAAGCTATTTGAAAAGATAACTGGAATCGAAGTTCAAAAAATATTTTTTGTTCAAATTCAAATTGAATTTGAAATTGAAAAACAGTATATCGTTGAAATTTAGATTATTTAATACAATGGAATTTTAATACAAGCACAGGAAAATTTTCTGAAAGGGAGGTTTTTTATCTCATTCGAAATCTGATCTATCAGATAGTTTATAAAGAGAAGACTTCATGATGACAAGTTTGAATTTGAAAATATTCATTGAAAATTTTTCAAAATGATTGAAATTTAAAATATATGGAATATGTATTAATTTCCTGAGTTTGGATTATACCTTAATTATCGAAATTGAAAGCGCGTTTCATTTAACGATTTTGAATTGCGGTCTCTGAATTAAAATTTTCTGTTCAAAGTGTTCAAAAAAATCATGTAAGGAATTACATTTTTGTAGCCGGTAATAAATCGAAAACCTTTCTTTGAATTTATTAGGCAAATATCAAAAAAATGTTAAGTTTATCAAACTACTCATTTTTAATCTCTATATCATTCGTTTTTCACTTCTATTTGAATCGGAAATTTTTTGTTTTTCAAATTCTGAATTAACCTTTTGATATATTAATTTCCGAGAGTGAATATACTTTATTCTTAATAAGGATTTTATGCAGGTGGCGGTGGCGGTGGAGGCTGATTATAATTATTTGCCGGCGGTTGTTGAGGATCTACTGGCTGTGCGTAATAAGGAGATGGTGCTGGAGCTGGTGGTGATGGAGCTTGACCATCAACTGCTGGTGGTTGGGCCATATATGGCTGAGGATATTGTTCTTGTGGTGGATATTGGCCCTGAGGTGGATATTGTTGTTGTGGGTATGGCTGCTGTGGGTAAGGATATTGTTGTTGATTATAATAATTAGCATTAGGATTTTGTGGATCATAGTATAGGGTGTCCAAAGGTGTGTTTAGCACAAACCTGAATACTGCGAATAGAAATAAACAAGTTACATATATATAAAGTTTATTTAAATATAATCACCATTGGATTCAATCACGCGTTCGCAGCGATCGATCCAGGCTTGAAAGACACGCTTTAAATCATCATGAGAAAATTGCTCAAATTGCTCTCTTACAAAATTTTCAAGATCATCTGGACTCGCGAATTCGCGTCCTTCAGCTCTCTTTTTTAGCGTGCCGAATAAATAAAAGTCAGAGGGTGCAATATCAGGTGAATAAATTGGGTTTGGAACAACTTTGACATTGTTTTCCAACAAGTAATTCATTACCTTATGACTTTTGTGAACTCTTGAATTATCAAAATGAATTGCAAACTTTTGTTTTTGTTGTTTGGATTTCTCAAACTCATCAGAATTGATAATTTGAGTAAGAACATTGTCAATTAGATACTGAGCATTCATCGTATTAGGTTTTTGAAGAATATCAATTGCGATGATGCCATTCACGCCCCAAAAAACCGACAACATCATCATTGGTGTGTCAATTTTTTTCTTCGGGAATGTTTGCGGATTTTCATCCTTCGGGATCCACATGATTTTGGCTTCTGTTGCATATTGAAACCAAGACTCGGCCCCTGTTACTAAAAAGTGAAACTTCTTGGATTGATACGCACCCAATATAGAGAGGAGCTCTTTCGAAGATTGGACTCTAGATTTTTTTTGAACTGAATTAAGGTTGTGCGGAACCCAACGTGTATACGCTAGTTTGTAGTTCAAATAATTGTGCAGATAATAACTGACTGTTGTACGTGGTATCTTTGTCATCTCCGCTATCCTTCTGAGTGATGCTCTTGGGTCTTCATCTAGCGCTTGAAGAATTGCTTTGATTTTTCTTTGATCCGGCGATTTTTTGTCAATTTTTATGATGGGCGCCTTTTTGTTCATGAAGTGATACATCCTAACATGATACGTTACAGTGGAATAGCTAGGAGCATCCATACCGAAGCATTTTACCAATGTCTCGTAGATTTTTTACAGTCTTTGCATTTTTTTGCAAGAGCGAGGATGTTTTCTTTATGATTCATTAAAAAAATGAAAAAAATCCCGCCAAAATTTCCCGCGAAACCGCCTCTTGTCTCAAAATTCATTTTATATCACGGCATGGCGCCAAAATACAACTTACTCATCATATACATATATTCATATTTTTTATTATATATTTATAATCAGCATATATCTCCTTTAATAGTCTCATATAGAGCGCTGTGCTAAACGCACCTTTGGACACCCTATATTGTGCTTGAGGAATTGCATTTGGATTTTCAATGTCATGTTTCTTCTTTGAACTACTTGATGAAGATTTCTCCTTTCTGCAGCAAGCGCAGCAGCATATTTTCTTCTTATAGCAATAATAGCATGCATAAAATGGAAGGATTAATAATACAATCAAAAAAGCAAAGAAGCCACTACCACTATGACCACTGCTTCTACTACTAGATCTTGTTCGTAACGCTTCTCTGTTTACATTGAGCAGGGAGAACTGCAAAAGAAGAAGAAAGAACATAATGAAAGAAAATAATTAAATACCAACGGCGGAATTGAATTCAAAATTCAAAAATTGAGTCCATTTAAAACAAAATTAACTTTTTGAATCACAAAATCGATATTTCAATCAATCAGAGATTTTTAAAATTATTCCAATTACAATATGTAAATAATAATTTATGTTTCCACATAAAATTAAAATTGAATTTACTCAAAATAAAATATCAAACATGACATTAGACATATGCGTTTATATATTTTTATTAATTAACGCTATATTTTTCAATTGAAGTTCATATTTAAATACCTTTCAAAATAATATTAAGCAAAACCAGTATGTCTATGGTGAGCAAACATTAAACTAATGAGGACAATTTTATTTGGTATAGATTGAGTAATTTTAACATAAATAAAGATCATATCAGGCTTGGTCATTAATTAGGTCAGGTAAGTGGGGCTTCCAGGCGCGTTGCGCCCTCTAGCCCCGAAGATGTTTAGTATAAATGAAGTTTTTATTCGGAAAATTGTTAGTCTTCTGGTGTGAATTCGGAGGACTCTTCTTCTTCCTCCATTGCTTCTGGGAAGAAGCCTTCTTCTGGGTCGAAAACATTATATAATGTGTCGCTTTTCACAAATTATATATGTTTTCATGTTTTGTCACTTTTCTGTCACTTTTCGGGTAAAAACATTTTTATTATTATATATAAATGAATTTTACAAAACCACCGTTACCGTTCTTTGGAAATAAGAGTAGATGTAAAGATATTATATTGAGAGAACTTAAGAAACTACCGAATGGTCTAACATTTGTAGATTTGTTCGGTGGAAGTTTCTATATATCCCATTTATGTCATACAATATTCCCAGACTCAAAGATTATATGCAATGACTTCGACAACTATATGGACCGTCTCAAACATATACCAGACACAAACAATATATTGAAAGAGTTAAAAGAAAAGATACCTATAGGTAAGATGGAACGTATACCATTAGATAACAAAAATATTGTGAGAGAGGTTTTGAAAAAAGCAGAATATATAGACTGGGATAGTATATCTGCTAGACTATTATATAGTGGTGCTATAAGAGTTCATGACATTGAAACACTTATGTCAAAAGTTTTATATCTTAACTATACAAATGTTTTCAAAGAGAACATAGAAAAATATATTGAGGGTATAGAGTTTGTGAGATGTCATTGGACAGAGTTGTATGAAAAATATAAAGACAAGGAAAATGTTTTCTTTATAGTGGACCCGCCGTTCTATAACACATGGGATTTTCAATACCAAGTAGACTGGACTTTGAGAGACTCTTTAGAAACTTTAGACGTTATACATAACCATCCATGCTTTTACTTTACATCCGATAAAAGTGGTTTGGAAACCGTTATGAGATGGTTAGAGGACATACATGACTATGAGTTTATATATGACAAGATAGAATATGAGAGAGGTCCTATAAACTGGAGAAAGTGTCATAACAAAGAAATTTTATTAGTAAGTAAATGTGGTTTGAAATCGGATTGTTAGTTTTAGGTTTTTTCCATTGTGTCATTTATTTATTTGACGTGGCAGAAAAGTACAGAGAATATGAAGATGAACCAATGCCTGCAAATGTTCAGTATATGTACTCGTAAGAGATATTTTTATCTAGTATTAAATGGACGCACAGAACTTAGCGAATGCACAGCAACCTGGACAACCAAACCCAGAGAATATTCCAAATGAAGTTAGAATACAAACTGCAATGGCAAACTATGGTCAAGTGCCAACAGATGTACAAATGCAAACTGCCATGTCAAATGACGCTGCGTTAGGTTTGCCACCATGGTATGCAAATATGAGATGGAAAGAGTTTTATACAAACCCTGAAGTCGGATATAAACAACTTTATGCAGATGACGCGAACACAGGAGTTGACCCAGAATATGTTTTCTACCAGAGGAGAAACAGAATGTATGAGCTCCAGTTAAAGAATGCTATGGAACTCAACAGGAAACGTAAAAGACTTGGCGGACATTAGATTTTTACATATAGTAAAATGGGTTTCTTCAGTAAGATAGGAAACTTCTTTCGAAATGTTGGAAGAGGTATATGGAATGGAATAAAATCTGTCGGAAGAGGAGTATGGAACGGTGTCAAAAATATTGGTAAAAGAGTAGGTCAGTTCGTTGGTATTATACCTAAAGACCCTGAACCAGAAGAGCAAGCTCCTGTTATACAACAGCCTGAACCTGCACCACAGTCTAGTTGGCAACCAAATCCAACACCTCAACCGTATTAAAAAATTATATTTTTATCGTTCGATAGTAGTTGTATATGAAACTAAGTTCTAAGTAAAACGCATGGTATAATGGAATTATTCTTTTTCTTCCATCTGTAGTAAACCATACTTGAAAGTCTGAAATACTTCCACTCGGCGGTTCATATAACTTTGTAGGTTTTTCGTAAAAGTCATTCATCAGACATAAGAAAGAGTTTTGCGCACCAGAAAATGAAGCATGAACAATAATAGCATCTGGGTCGAAAATATTTTCATATGTCCCATTAGGGTTTTCGACTTCATAATAGTCCGGGTGTACTGGATATGCTGCAGGCTGATTTAACATCCTCAGAAATCTATACCATGCCAAGTTGTTATATTTTGTAGAAATATAAACGTTTTCTCCAAGGTCTTCTATTTTATTGATTTTAACAGTTGCATTTTTCCTGTCATAAATAATATCGAGATGGTATTCTCCTTCGTCAATGTTAAACTGGTTTGCATATTCAATATAGATATCGTTTATTTTTTCTTGAAAAGCTTGAAGAGTTGTTTCTAAGTTTATAAGCAAATTAACTTGTAAAAGTTTTCCTTGTTCAAATTTCTCATACATACGTTTTTCTTTGTTATAGTATCGAACTTCAAAACCGACCGTAAATGGGAAACCATGTATGGCTTCTGAAATGAACTTCATTCTACGAAAGCCAATAGCTTTTGTGACGGATGGGTCTCTTAACCATCTTAATGGGTAGTCAAAACGATAGCCTTCATGCTTTACGGTATCTGTCTCAAACTTTTGACCGACATTAGTAAAAAGTTCATCTAATGGTTTAGTTGTAGCAACTCTAGAATTTTCTTTTTCTATTGGAAGCATATTTTATCTATAATAAAAATGTCAAATGAAAACAGCGTCTATGAGAGAAATACAACACAACCGACAAACTCATTATGCAAGCTCTAAATAAGAACACAACAATTTTCAAACTATTAGATATCTGAGTCATTGAAAGGGGGTGACTTAAAACTGACAATAAACCCAAT